ATATAAATATTAAATATATTTATTTCAAAAATAAGATAAAATATTTAATTTTTGAAGATCATTATAAATTATAAGTATTAAATCTAAAATTATAAAAAATACGGTTAAATTAAAAATTCTTTGCTCATTATAAATAATAAGTAATAGCTATAATTCTTTGAATTATAGGATTAAAGTATGTATTATCATACTATTATAAGTATTAAGGCAAAAAAATTAAATATATAAAATAAATGATAAATTCATTTTTAGATCATTATAAGTATTAAGTAAAATAATTGTAATAATAAGATTAAATTAGAAATTATAAGTTAACAATTAGTAATAAGTATAATAGATAATTACTTCTATTATATGATGATATTGGATATTAGTAAATCATTATAAATTAGAATTTATTATCAATAGATAATTTAATTATATGATAGAAATGTAAATTATTTAGTCAGTCTCAGTATAAAGATCATTATTTCTATTTTAAGATAAAAAATGAAATTATTATGTCTTTATAAATAAAAATATATAAGAATTCTTATGCTCAATATCAAGGCTATTTGATTGTTTTTTTGAATTAACTAAGCTTTCTTAATCTGCTTAGTAAATTAGAATATTAAAACATAATCTAAAATTATTAATTATTTTAATTTGAATTATTAGGATTTAATATCTATATCATAATATTATAGTGAATAATAAATAAAGAAGTATAATATGGAAATATTATAGTTAGCAATTTGACTTTAACCTTTAGATTAATTTTGAAAATTATTTAATATGAAAAATGTTAATGATGATTAGTTGAATTATATAATTTAAGTAATTTAAAACAATCTTCTACAAATATTAATTAATTTAAAAAGAAAATATAAAAGAGTTTCAAATTAAAGCAATTAATTTTAATCAGATAATTTTACTATAATGAAGAAACAAATAACAACATCTATTAAAGCATCTTAACATATGTAATAAGATAATTCTAATAAAATAGATAAAATTAGAATATTATCCAAAATATAAAATATATGATTATTTGTACAACAACAAAAAAATATTGTGTATAGATTTTGTAAAGTAATATGAAAAGTATAAATGAATAATGTTCCATTAAAATTAAAGGAATTGTCAGAAATTCATCATTTATAAGTAAATAAGTTTCTATCTTTGTTTATTGTAATTTTTTTTTATTGTAATTGATGAAAGGAAATTAGTTGTTTGAACCATAGATAGTTTCGAAAAAGCATGATTTGAATGAGAAGGAAATCTCTTGCTCATATCCAGATAGATTAATTATTTGTTATGACTAAATAAAAAAAATTCCAATACCTTTATAAGGAGTTCATTATTTTTTAAAGGTTTTGCAAGGTTTAGTAATAGTGGAAATATAATAAATTTATTCAACTTTATGTTACCAACAGCCAATAGAGGTAGAATACTTATTTTCAATTAATGAAAATGCAGCAGTCACAAAAATGATTGTTGAATTAGGGGATAACAAAGTATATGGAATAATTAAGGAGAAAGCGGAAGCAAAATAAGAATATGAAGAAGGGATTAAGTAAGGTAAAACAATGGCGTATAGTGAATAAGATGAGTAAATCCCGGAAATCAAAAGAGTTAAAATTGGGGCCCTCGCTCCATAGAAATAATTAAAAATATTATTTGAATACATCCAACCCTTAGATGTGTTTTTAAATAAATTTTGGAAGGTAGAAGTTTCCCCAATGATTGATGAGAATTACTTAAATTTATAATTTTAAGAGTTTAGAAGTTAGAGCTAATATTTAAATAGAGTGAATAGATATATTTAGAAATACGTTTAGATTGACTAATTTGATTACAACTTCAAACAAGATATTTCTGTATAAATTGATATCGGTTCCCCAATTACGTATTATAAATGCCCTACACACTCTATTGTAAGTTGTAGAGCAAATAATGAAAATGTAAAGTCGAAAATTGACGAAGAACATTTAAGAAAGTTAATTTTGATTTTAGAGGATACTCCATCCAACTTTATTCCAACAAAATAATTTACACTACTTTTTTCAAGTGATGATATAAATCTCCCTCGTGCAATTTTAAGTCATACAAATAATGACGCTTTATTCACTTAAAAGTATTGTGCTACATTAAGTTTTATTCCAAAGTTTAATTAAACTACTTTAGATGATGCATATTCACAATACTTGGATGGACTAAATATTGCATAGAATTAATTTATTAATAGAGGAAATTATTTATTCTTCATAGACAGAAGTGGATCAATGGCTGGTAGCAAAATCTATAAAGCAAAATAATCTTTAATCTTATTCTTGAAAAGCTTACCTGAAGACTGCAGATTCAACATAATTTCATTTGGGACAAAGTTTGAATCTTTATGGTCTGATTCGAATTAATATTCCTAGGATACCTTAGAGTAGGCCATAAATCATGTTTATAATATGGAAGCGAATATGTTGGGGACAGAAATTCTAAGACCCTTGTCTGAAATTGTCTACAATAAATCTTATGGTAAATCAAAAACTACCACCTTGAATATATTCTTACTTACAGATGGAGAAGTAGAAGCCACCCCTATAATAGATTTGGTAAAGAAGAACAATTAAGCAGAAACCAGAATTTATACTTTAGGAATTGGATAGGGATGCAGCTAAAATTTAATTAAACGTTTGGCTGAAGTGGGAAACGGAAAATTCTAATTTGTTTCAGACATCGAAGACATAAATGCTAAAGTGATTGATTTATTAGAAGATTCATTAACACCTTATTTAAAAGGATTTAATCTTGAAACAAATATAAGTAACATTACTTAAATAGTTCCAAATCCAGAATCTATTGTATGCTTAAAGAAGAACAAAGAATTAACTATTTAGGCATTCTTTTCTATAGAAGAGGAGATCGATAATTTGTAATTTACTTTGAGTTGTTTTGATCCGCAAGATTAAAAACCAATAAAATATTCAGTTACATTAAATTTAAAGGATTCTTAAGAAAATGAATATTTTCATAAGTTAGCTTCACATAAGTTTATTACCTATTATGAAAACAGTTTGAATTATGGTGACAACCATCTAAATTTTATCAAATTTAATAAGGAGAAAATACAAGATCAAGATATAATTAACACATCAATAGCACATCAAATATTGAGTACTAAAACAGCATTTGTTTGTGAAGTTTGCGAATTAGAAGATCAATTCAAATAGCAGATGAAGTAAAAAGTATGTATCACTTAAAATAAAGTTGTTTTCGAATAGGATAATTAAAATTAACTTTTAATCAAAAGTTCATAATTTGAATCTTCACTCAGAGGTCATCTTTTTTTTTGTTTTAGTAATTTAAGAAAACCAAAAATGAAAGAAGAAAACTACATTAAATAATAAATTAATTAAGATAGAATAGTTTGTTAATATTAAGATAAAGTTGAATATTTATAATAAAAAGAAATGAATACTGGTTTTGCAGGAAAGAAAGAAGAAAAAGAATAAAACAAAAACAAAGAAAAATTGAAGAGTTTTAGTCGTAAGTATACAACTGATGAAGAAAGAGAAATAGAATAAAAAGGAAAAAGTAGATCAAGAGAAAGAGAAAGAGAAAGAATAAAGAATTTACCAAAAATTCATATTCATTCTAAGGAAATTTCAGCTAAGCAGATCATCTAAATTCAAAAGATTGAATATGAATAGATAATTTCATATGCTAAAGCTGATGGTAGCTTCTAATATGATGAAAAAGTTGAATATAATCTAAATTTTGAAGGATGGAAGAATTCACAAAATTACCCTTAAAATATCTGGTTGACTTTACTTGCTTTGTTATATTTAGATTTATAATGTTCTTAAAATAGAAAGTCTTGGTAATTGGTTTATTAAAAGGGAATTCGATTCCTTTAGAAAAATGGTTTAGATTATAAGTAGTTTAAGGAAGCATACCAATAGTTAAAGAAAATTTGATTTAAAATAGTTTTGTTAAAAATAAATATATTTATTAATTTATTTTATGAATTTAAGGTTGATGCTGGGTATGGCATCGAGATTGATAAATGCATCTAGACCTTTGATTTGGATGCAATACCCATAACTGCATTTGTATACAAATCTGTTGAGTATGGGTTTCACTAAGCCTATCTTGCCTGATATTTCAATATTGACAATTAGCACTTTCAGAAGAAAACCTGCCAAACTTAAGAAAGCCAAAAGAAAACAAAGAAGAAAGAAAATCAAGAGGATGAATAAAGCCAATAGAGAGAGACGTAACTATTGAGTAAATATTAAACACATATAAATATTATTGTACTTATATCTAAATATAAATTTGTCAAATTTCTAGACGCTTTTCACTAACATAAATTCCATCCAAGAATTGTCTGATATCCTTATTCTTAACAGCACAAGCTTAATGGATAAGTGCACAGGTAAGTGAAACATTATTCAAATCATTTCCTTAAAGTGTTAAGACATCTAAAGTGTGTATATGATTATTATAATACTCTTTTCTTCAGTTTCATTTCTTGTGATTGTGACTCCTGGAAGACATTTAATTGTTCTGATGATCTTTTCACCAAGGAAATTCTTGATTTCAACTCCCATACCTTTTTCTAAGAGATTGATAATGATTGGAAAGTGAGCATATGCCAACACCATCTTGAATTTATAACCAGTGGTCACACCTCTAATCATATTTTTAATTGAAGAGGCAACTGAATTAACTTGGCATCTTTATTTTCTATATGATTGCCACATTCTAACACTGACTCTAGATTTAGTAGTATTTGATTTTTTGTTCACTTTTTTTTACACCTAGATATCTAAAGCAGCATGTCTAAAGTTTTTGATCAATTCACCTCTTGGTCCTAATATTACTTAATATGCACAAATACCTTTTACTTTGACCTACTTGGATTTGGTTGTGATTTCAATTTTCTCAGGAATTGTAACATGCTCCTCAGTCAGGATGTATTTCATATCTTTTAATTCTTTTAATTAAATTTTTGAAGTCTCAACCCGTAATATTAATTATTATAATCATTATACTACAACTATATAAAAATTGGTCATCATATACATTATCACAATTAACNAAAAATGGTTTAGATTATAAGTAGTTTAAGGAAGCATACCAATAGTTAAAGAAAATTTGATTTAAAATAGTTTTGTTAAAAATAAATATATTTATTAATTTATTTTATGAATTTAAGGTTGATGCTGGGTATGGCATCGAGATTGATAAATGCATCTAGACCTTTGATTTGGATGCAATACCCATAACTGCATTTGTATACAAATCTGTTGAGTATGGGTTTCACTAAGCCTATCTTGCCTGATATTTCAATATTGACAATTAGCACTTTCAGAAGAAAACCTGCCAAACTTAAGAAAGCCAAAAGAAAACAAAGAAGAAAGAAAATCAAGAGGATGAATAAAGCCAATAGAGAGAGACGTAACTATTGAGTAAATATTAAACACATATAAATATTATTGTACTTATATCTAAATATAAATTTGTCAAATTTCTAGACGCTTTTCACTAACATAAATTCCATCCAAGAATTGTCTGATATCCTTATTCTTAACAGCACAAGCTTAATGGATAAGTGCACAGGTAAGTGAAACATTATTCAAATCATTTCCTTAAAGTGTTAAGACATCTAAAGTGTGTATATGATTATTATAATACTCTTTTCTTCAGTTTCATTTCTTGTGATTGTGACTCCTGGAAGACATTTAATTGTTCTGATGATCTTTTCACCAAGGAAATTCTTGATTTCAACTCCCATACCTTTTTCTAAGAGATTGATAATGATTGGAAAGTGAGCATATGCCAACACCATCTTGAATTTATAACCAGTGGTCACACCTCTAATCATATTTTTAATTGAAGAGGCAACTGAATTAACTTGGCATCTTTATTTTCTATATGATTGCCACATTCTAACACTGACTCTAGATTTAGTAGTATTTGATTTTTTGTTCACTTTTTTTTACACCTAGATATCTAAAGCAGCATGTCTAAAGTTTTTGATCAATTCACCTCTTGGTCCTAATATTACTTAATATGCACAAATACCTTTTACTTTGACCTACTTGGATTTGGTTGTGATTTCAATTTTCTCAGGAATTGTAACATGCTCCTCAGTCAGGATGTATTTCATATCTTTTAATTCTTTTAATTAAATTTTTGAAGTCTCAACCCGTAATATTAATTATTATAATCATTATACTACAACTATATAAAAATTGGTCATCATATACATTATCACAATTAACATCTTCTCTCGACATAAAGCTTAATTATACCTATATCTAATTTTAATTTAATTATTATGTCAAATTAAACTTATATTATTAGAGAACTAATAGATAAACTTAGTTAACAACACAAAGACTATAAATTATTTAAATAGCTCATAAAACGTCAGAGTAAGGCTCTTGAATCATTCAACAATGAAATGATTTAAATTAGCCGCTAATATAATAGTGATCTATTCAATGGAATTCATTATCATATGTCTCACTTCTAAAGCGACTTATAAAATCAATATGCTTTACTCAAGGAACTAGGCAAGCACTTTTATGAAATTAAATAGGAAGTATAATTCTGTATTTAAATTAGGCGCAATATTATTCTAAAAATTATACTAAATTTGAATTAAAACTTAATTCTACTTCAAATGCTTTTGATGAAAATTCCTTAAAAGTTAAACAAACGCTATAAGAAACAACTAATTTCTGGGCTTAGAAATAAGAATATTCAGTGATTAGAATAAATGATATGTCTAATAAAGGAGAAGAGATAATTAAAAAAACTAATAGTTTAATTTATAAATTTTCTGAAAAACATTTCTTCTTCATTGAAAATTATAAAACTTGCTCTGGTAGAAAAAGTAGGAATTCATCTTGTAATCGAACATCTAGTTCTATATAGTCTGGTTTGAAATCAAAAGAAACAACAAGTATTTATTAAGACAAAAGCATTGACTAAACAAATTTTTTTTAGGTTGGATAATCAATTCAAGATTTTGAGTCGAATTTTAATACATTAAGTATTATTGAAAAGGAATAGAGTTAGTTAGAAGATAGACGTAACTTAAAAAAATGGACATGAATAATTATAAATATATATTACTAAATAATAATTTTATTCTGTTTATTTACTTGAAAAACAATTAAAATATTTTTCTAACATTATTTTCTGGAATTTGTGGTATTTAAGAAAATCTGCTTTATTATTTCTTATTATTACTGAATTTGATTATAAAGTAAGACAAATTTCTAATTTAATTATTAATTATTATAAGAAGACTTTAGCATGTCAAGTAATCAGAAAATAATGTAGAGGAGAATAACAATATCTTCTGAAATTGCAAGTCGTTCAATATCATTAGCATAACTTTATCAAGGTATTAAAATCAATGAAATAGATTCAAATTAATAAACCAAATTTGATAATAGAAACTCAATCAACTAATTCAAGTTTTCCTAGCAAGTATCAATTTTGAAAATTCCTGCTTCTCATTCTAAAATTATAGAAGAAAGGTAGAATGTTATTAATTCTTAAGAGAATTAGATCAATCATTTTGTTTAAGTAGCCAATATTTTACAGAAGACTCTTTACCTTCCATAAATGTTGTAGATAAATTCAATTAATCAATTGATAGTCAATCGTAATTTGATTTCAAAAAAGAGTAAAATAGTCAGAAGTCAAAGAAATAAAAAAAAAACTTATTTATTGGTGATTATGAAAATTAAGAAAATTTTTTAAAGGAAGCATAATAAATATCATCAAAAATTTTTGATGCAAAAATTGATTTAGAAAAAATAAAACGAAAATATAATAAGCTCAATTAGAGAAATCCATTTAAAGATCCTTATTATGTTTAATTGAAGGCGTTGAGTGGTTATAACAGATTAAATTATGAATTGTGTGTAAAATTATCTTGTTATTTAGCATTATCATGATAAAAATAAATATTTAGTTATAAGAAAGATAATAGTTTATATTTGCTATCTTCCTTCTATAATTTTTGAATCAATTTTATAGACTGTGTTTTTCAAATTATTTATGACAGTACTTATTTTATGCAATGTTGGATTATTTATTTTTGTGAAAACTAATAAAAGAACAGATACTGATGACATTGAATAAGTCATTACAATCTTTTTTTTAAGTGAAATTGGTATGAGAATCATAGCATCAGGTGTAATTTTGAATAAATAGAGCTTTTTTAGAAGTCCACTGAATGTTTACGATTTTCTTTTAGTGATCTTAACAACTTTGAATCTATATAGACCAGATATTATTATTATAGATTTATCTCCTTTTAGAATGATTACATTATTAAATTATTTGGGGGATATACTTAAAGGATTATCAACTATGTTAAAAGCATTAAAATCATCTATACGATTACTCTTAGAGGCATTAATTATAGTAGGTTTATTTTCTTTATTTTTTGGGGTTTTTGGAGTTTTGTTATTTTAGAATTTATTTAATTATAGATGTTAATTTGAAAATGGATAGGAGACTGAAGATTGGATTTAATGTGTGTAAGACACTTGTCCTGAAGGGATGAAATGCCTATATTCTAATTAGACACCTAAAATGCCAACATCATTTAATAACATTGTATATGCATTGGGATAGATATTAAGAACTATTACTATGGATGATTGGAGTTGGGTAATGTTTTTTACAATGAGAATTTATCATCCTTATGTATGGATTTATTACTTGTTGATAATATTTGTGGGAGGTTTTTTTGGTTTTAATTTGGTCATTGCAGTTTTGAAGACACATTATGCTGAGGCAGCAGAAGAGACTGTCTAGGAGGAAATAAATTAAGAAATGCTAAAAAGGTTGAAAGAAAAACAAGAAAATCCAGAGAGAGATTTAGTTTCAATCTTTGATGTTGCCATTCTAAAATATATAGGAATATATTAATAATATTAAAAGTGTCATCTAGAATTACTACAAACAGCTAATATCAGTTAAAAGTTTACAATAGAAAAAATTAATAAAGAATTAAAAACAGCTTAGAAACCAAGAACATTATCTGGTAAATAAACCAAATTCGATCATGTAATTTTATAATTATTAAATCTTAGAGAAATAAAGGTATTTAAGATTATTTGGATAAGTTTAACTTGAAATATTTGTTGCTACCAAGATTTAAATAATTAGAATAAAATTAGAAAGAAATTAAAGCTACTAATTATACAGATGACCCTTTAGAATTGAAATTGATTCATAAGTTATTGTAATATGATTTCTATTAATTAAAACCATATCCAAATTATGAGATCTATTAGGAATTTAATAGTGTAGAAGATATATTATTGGCACAAACGTAAATATATTATTTGATTTAAGTTAAAAATAATAGACTTTGAAGGAATAAAGTTTAAAATAATTAATATAATAAAGACGTACAATCCACTTAAAGTAAACTTATTCCTTGTCAAATCGAAAGTTATAAAAGAAAAAACCTTTAAAATAAAAGAGTAAATTACCAATGAAAAAAGATAAGAGATTGTTAAATACATTAAGATAAGATAGAACATTAGAAAAAGCAGATGAGAATCAAAATAATAATGTAGATAGATAGCAGTTAATTTAATTAAATAATTTAAAGCATGGTAATATTATAAAGGGGCTTCCATTCACAGTTACAAACAAATAAAAGACATATGTATTGATATAGGAATAATATATTGATTATGAAGCAGTAAGTGAGAAAATAAATGCAAAGATATAGATTATTCCTGATAATTCTGAATCTAATGAATTTAGATATGGATTAATAAGGAAAAAGGAAATGATTAGTAAAACAATAAATAAGAAGAATTGGTCTGGGAGAGATGTACTTTATTAGAATTTGACAAGATTCATAATTTTTAATTAAATAAAGAAATAATTAAATCATTAGGATAAGAAGATATGGTTAAGAGGAATTAGTGGTAAGATTAAGATTGCATAAAAATATTGTTATATGGTTGTAAGTAGTAAGTTTAGTGAATTGTTCTTTGATTTGATAATATTATTTAACTTTGTATTTTTATCATTGTAAGGGATTGTGAATCCTGAGTTGATATCATAAATAGAGGATATAACAACAATATGTTTATGTATGGAGATAGTAATGAAGTTATTTTCATTTAATTGTAAGGAATTAATGAGTGATTGGAATCATGTAGTTCAAATATTAATAGTTTCAATAAATTTTGTAGAATTAACATTAGGGGATGAGATTGGAAGTTCAACACAATAAGGATTGAGATTGATTAGAGGGACAAAATGTTTATTATTTTATAGATGTCTAAAATATAATAAGATGGCAACCAAGATAGGATGGATAGCATAAAAGACATTTGAATAATACATTTATTTGACATTTTTAATGTTCTTAGTTATATTCATGTATGCATTAATAGGAATGGAAATGTATGCAGGGATGTTTGATTAATAAGATACTTTAGGATAATTACATTCATTTGATAATATAATAAAATCATTTATGACAATTTTCAACATAATGACAAATGATGATTGGTATGGTGTTTATGTAATGGGAGGGAGTTTGAATTACATTTTTGCTGTTATATACTCATATTCAATGGTGATAATACTAAATTATTTAACTTATGGTTTAGTGTTGGCTATATTGTTAGATGGATTTGGAAAATATTTAGGAAATGAGGAAGAGATTATAAAAGAAGATGATAAATTAAGTATATAGAATTCTATGTATTCTGATTAACATGAAGTAATACATGATGAAGAGGAGATTAAGGATGTGGAGATTTTAACAAAAAAAAGATATAAGTTAAGTTTGATTTCGAATTTATTAATTTCAATAAAATAAGCATATCACAATATTCAAATGAAGAAGGCTTCAATTTATAATGAGATATAGTGCTAATAATCATTGTATTTATTTGATAAAAGCAATACTTTCAGAATTAGTGTAACTAAATTAGTGATATCACCATTCTATATATATTTGATGGATGGAATAATTTACTGGTCTATTGTTGTATTTATAATAAAGACATATCATGATTATGAGATAGATTCTTCTGATCTACCTGATACTTTGTAATTAATAATTAATATATTGATATTAATTGATTTCTGTTTAAATATAGTTGCCAAAGGTTTAATATTAGATAAAGGATCACATATTTAAAGTATTTGGTAAATTGTTGATATTATTTACATTATTTCATACTTTATACAATATAATAGAAGCAATTATGCACCAATAGTTGATGTTTTAATGTTTTTAGGTTATTTTAGACCAATGAAATTGATGTATAGAATTAGTTGGTTGATTTAATTAAGGGCTGCATTGGCATAGGCATTGATGGATATTTTAAATGTTTTGATTACTCTACTAACAGTATGGATGGTATTTGGTGTTTATGGTATCATTTTATATGAGAATCAATTTGGATTTTGTGAAGACAAGATGGAATTTTATGTTTCTTAAAAGGAATGTTTATCATAAAATAAAACATGGGTGAATTATAAACATAATTTTGATAATATAACTGTTGCTATACCTACTTTATTTGTAGTGTCTACTTTTGATGGTTGGGGAGAGATATTATAAGTAGCTGAAAATAGTTAGACTGCATATACAGGACCAGTTCCATTTGATGGTTATATTTAGACATATTTCTTTTTAATTATATTTTGCTTTATTGGATCAATGTTCTTTTTAAGTTTATTTACTGGAGTTCTATTTACAAATTTAAAAGAGAATTAATTTAAAATGCAAAATAATGAAATGAGTTAAGTACAACAAGAATTCAAAAAGATCACTAATATTATAATGTCAGACTTTCCTATTTATTCTGCACCTCCAAAAAGTGGAACTCGTAAAATAGCATCAGATATTGTTAATAATACAAAAGTCAAATATTGTATATTTGTATTTTTTATTATGGATCTAATTATTTTATTGTTATTTAGTTCCTAAATGGATAATGATTACTTTCTTGTTACAAATTCACTACATAATGCTTTAACAATTATATATCTTCTTTGGATAATTTTATTAGTATTAGCTTTGGGTGTAAATAGATTTTTTGATAATAATTGGAGACGATTCTACTTCTTTTTAATACTTATAGGATTGATTGATTTAATTGCTCATTACATTACTGATTGGACAAAATTGTATTACTATTCATCTCCTAATGATTAGTATTATTAACTATATCGTTTCTTCTTTGCATTAAGAAGTCTAAGAATCATTCTCATTTTCTAAGGACTTATCAATATATAGAGACTCATTAGAGTTATGGCATTTGCTGTACCATATCTAGTTAAAATATTCACTATACTTATCATAACTATGTTTATATTTGCTTTATTTGGATGTCAATTATATGGTAAGATAGATTCAGGTTAAGTAATGGATGATCTCATTAATTTTACCAATTTTGGAAATGCTATGTTGGCACTCTTTAAATGTGCATCTGGAGATGATTGGAGAACTATCATGACTGATACAATGTAACATAATCCATTATGTTAAGAAGATCCATAATATTGTGGATCTACTGCAAATCAATTATATTTCATACTATTTATGCTCTTATCCAATTATGTTCTTCTTAATCTATTTGTCTTAGGATTAATAGAACAATTTGAATAATTCTTTTAAATGTAGAATTCTTAAATCCAAACATATGTTGAAAATGTTGATAACATCAAAACCATTTGGTGTAAATACACCACTTAAACTTAAGGATAAACTATGCATTATAAATTTTTAGGTAAATTTCTTATGGATATTGGTCTCCCACTTGGAGTTGATTAAGATTCCAATCTTTGGGATGCTTGTAAATTATCATCCAAATTTAAATTATAATGGTATTAATTTTGATTATAATTTTAGTGATTGTCATGGTTATATCCAATATAATTCACTTATGTATGAATTATTTAGAAGATGTTTTTATTAAGAAGTATTCACTTAAGGTACTCCAGAATCTATTAAACTTATTAAATAATTTAATAAAGAATAATAATTTAGACTCAAATATTATCGTAAAAACAAAAATATCCCAAGAACAAATATTGGTCCTGCTATCACTATACAAACAAATATCAATTTACTTCATGACTATTTAAATGTTTTAATCTTATTTAAAACTTGGTAATAATTCAGCTAGTGTCTTATTAAGAAACTTAATTAAGATGATCATCAATTTACTGATAGTGACATATCTCTTTAAGATCCTTCAGAAAATGGGTAAGATATATAATTTAATTTTTAGATATTAAAAGAGTTAAAATCATATTTTATAAGAAGAATGTGAAATTTAATCCAGATAAGATAGTTATATTGATTAAATACAAATTAGTCATCATAGTATCTCATAAAGTAGTTAGATTAATTAATATAACGATTTGCTTTTTTATAAAGGAAACTATGAAACATCTCTATAAAGTGAAAATCGAGACTTTACATTTCTTAAAACTGAAAAAAGATATGAATCTGATTTATGAATCACATATATATATTTATTTTTATTAAATTTGTTTCCCTATTAAATTTGTCATATTAATTAAATATTATATAGTATGAAATAACGATTAGTCACTTAAGCTGATGATACTCCCTAAGATAACCAAATTTAGAATGGAAATAAACTATCTAATTAATATCAAATCTGTTCAGTAGTTGGCAATGGAACATTTGGCATGGTTTATTTAGTAAAAATGAGAAATTGATTGTTTAGGCTATTGATACTAAAACAAATGAGAAGGTAGCTATAAAGAAAGTGTATTAAGATAGAAGATACAAAAATAGAGAGCATCTTATAATTTCAGAATTGAATCATCCATGCATTGTGAAATTAAGGTAGGCTTTCTTTACCTAAGGAGACAATGCCAAAAATGTTTATATTAAATTTAATGTAGACGGAAGATATCTATTTGAATTTAGTAATGGATTATATCCCAGAAACACTTAGCAAAGTTATAAGGAATTTCAAGAACAATAAAAAACCATTCCCTAATCAATCACTCAAAATTTACAGTTACTAAATGTTAAGAGCATTAGCATATTTATAAGGTTTTTGAGATCAAATCAATTTAGGAATTGGCATTTGTCACAGAGACATTAAACCTTAAAACATATTAGTAAATCCTAATAATCATGTATTGAAAATATGCGATTTTGGATCTGCTAAAAGATTGGTTGCAGGAGAACCTAATGTTGCTTATATATGTTCAAGATATTATAGAGCTCCAGAATTAATATTTGGAGCAACTGAATATACAACTGCCATAGATATGTGGTCAATTGGTATTTATCTATCTATTATTTTAATAGGTTGTGTTATTGCAGAGATGTTATTAGGTGAACCCTTGTTTCCAGGAGAAAGTGCCACTGATTAATTAGTTGAAATAATCAAAATTTTAGGAACACCTACTATAGATTAAATCAAATAAATGAATCCTTAACAATAGTAATTTAAATTTCCTTAAATTAAGTGTCATCCTTGGGCTAAAGTACATAATCTTTATATTATTTAGGTATTTGGTAAATTTAAAACAGAACCTCATTTTATTGATTTCGTAAGCAAAATATTGGTTTATTCTCCTCGTGATAGATTGAAACCATTAGAAGCTTTGTTACATCCTTATTTTGATGAAATTAGATAACCAAATTTTGGAGATGGACATTTAAATTTGCCTAATTTCTTTGATTTCTACAAAGGTAATATGCATTTCAATGATTTTCATAGAGGAATTACAAATTTAACCAGAAGTAGCTCATAAATTGACCCCAAGCTGGATTAAAAAGTGATTGAAAATATTTATTTCCAATTGTTTATTGCTTCTTTTTTGATATAAAATATAATAATGAGTAAAAAAATAGAGGGAACTGAAAAATAAAATTAATACCAATAGAAATTACAAAAAATCTACAATTAGTGTCAAACTGCAACAAAAAAAATAAGATTAGGCCTGTTGGAAGGATGTGAAATAAAAATTTCAAACAAAGATATCATATATATTTTCGAGTACTTGTATTTAAAATTTTAAGTGCTATTTATGCTTTGACAAATGAAGTTGGAAATGCTTAAGCATATAAGAATTCGACCAAGCTATAAAATAATAATAGAGTAGAGAAGGTTGATTAAGAATTGATCTAATATTTTCAGGATATTTTGAATGAATTCATTGCTGATATCTATCAGAGACTTAATGAATTTTCAGGGGAGAAAGAGAGTGTATAAATAAGTATTAATATATTCAGGTACTCTAAATTGTATCAAAAACATACCATGATTACAAGGCTTATTCATATTGGCTATACAAAATGTTCTATTATTTGGATAAATTTATTATGCCATAAGTTGGAACTACTTTGTGTAGCACTTCTTTAAAATTATTAAAGGACGGTTATTTTGATAAGTGTAATAAATTAATTTTGAATACGATTTTACAATTTATATAGGAAACAAGAAAAAATGGAATATTGTTAAATAAATAAATCAAACAACTTATTCAATTGTATTCTGTAATGGGTTCTAAAGAAGTTGAATTAAAGTATATGAAAGAAGTTGGAGAATATGATTATATTTGCAAAAAGCAAGAAGATGCATAAAGATTCTATAAAGAACAATTCTAATCTCATCTTTTGACTGAAGTAACATTTTAAATTCATGTATATATAGACTTCCAAATTCTACAAGGAAGAGATAGATAATAAATAAAAATTTACTACTCCAGAATTTGTTAATTGGGGAAATTCCATTTTTAAACTGGAATTGAATATGTGTATAGAATGTTATCCAAAGAGTTAATAGGCTATTGAAAATAAACTAAAAATAATATTAGTCAAAGATTAAGCAGCTAGATTGGTAGATTCACCTACAGGTGTAGGTTATATGTTATAATATGACAAAACTGATGAATTAAAATAATTATTTTCATTTATATACAGAACTAAGGAATGTATTACTCATATTGCAAAGGCTTATCAAAATTTTTTTGAATAATAAGGATAATTAATTAATAATTCTATTGAACAAGAATTATAATAAATTAAAGATGGTCGTTAAATGCGTAATTAATATAATATATTCAAAAATAGATGAAGCTGAAATATATTTTACTAGAATGTTAGAAGTAATGGAAAAAGCTTAAAATATATTAAAAAATTAATTATAAGATGAACCAGAAATTTAAAAATCTTATAGTGGAGCATTTATGTTAGTGATAAATAAAAATGAGAAATCACCTATTTGGTTAGCCATTTATACTGATATCATCATAAAAAGTGATAAGGGAGTAAATGAGATGGAAACAGATAAAAGATTAAGTAAAATTGTTTCTCTCTTTCAATTACTATATTAAAGAGATGTATTCTTTAGACATTATTAAAAATTCTTATCAAATAGATTACTAAATCAATAAATATAAAATATTTAATTAGAGAAATAACTCTTGTAAAAATTCAAAGGAGAAACTGGTACTAATGTATTGTAATTATTTAAATCATATTTAGAACTCAATTATCTAGTATGATAAATGATATTGAATAATCTAATAGATTTGCATCTGATTAATAAATTAATAAGGATACTAAATTTGATTTGAATGTTTTTTTATTATCTTAAGGATGTTGGCCAATCACTTCTATCTAAGATAGTATAATTAAGCCACTTCAGATATAACATGTTTTGGAGTATTTTTAATAATAAATTTAGAAATTATGAAAAAATGTATTTAGAAAAACATAATGGAAGAATACTTACTTGGTGTTTTAATATGGGTTAAGGAGAATTAATATATAAAATATAAGCAGAAAAATATTATTTGAATGTAAATACAATGTAAATGATTGCTTTTCTCTTATTCAATTAAGGAGTTTCATTCTCAATCAAAAATATCTTGGAATTGACTAAAATAGATAAAATAGATTTAGAAAATTCATTAATTCCTTTTGTTTGCATGAAAATCATTTCAAGAGATAAATAGGATATTGAAGATTTTTCAGATGAAAATGAAATATTAAAATTAAATATGAGTTTCAATAATAGAGCAAAGAAAATGAAAATATTGCCTAATCCTAAAATGTAACCAAAAAGAATTGTAAAAAAGTGTTTATTTATTATCTAGAGTAAAGTCAAGGAATAAAATCAAGAAGAATTATAATAGATGGAATAAATTAACAAATAAAGGGAATTTGTAGTTGATTCTTAATTGGTTAGATTGATGAAATCAAAAAAGACTATTAAACATCATGAATTACTTGAAAATTGCTAATAAATGATTTCAATATTTAAACCTGATATATTATTCATTAAAAAGAGAATAGAAAATTTGATTGAAAGAGAATACATTAGGAGAGATGAGAAAGACTGGTATTTATCAATATTAACAATTTATTAGGAATATTTATCATTATTTGAATTGAAAATTATTAAATCAAAATTGTTATAATACATTTATATTTATTAACTAAAAGAAAACAAATTCAAATATTATGTCAGAATTACCTGAAACAATCACTTGCACAGAAGATTTTACTCCCATGAGGAAAGGTACTTTCAATTTAAATCTCTAGGAATATTTGTCGAACTCTTTCTTCTCTATTTAATATATATGGTTATTAGTATTGCATCATATTATTAAAATCCTGAGTAAGAAATATCTCAACCAGCTTAACATAATGATGGAGCTGCTCCTCCAACTCAATCTTAAGTAATTATATAATAATTTATAAACAGGTCAAACCTTCATTAATCAGCGTAGAAGCATTGAATAAATTTTTCACTATTTTTTTTGGATATCACATTATACCTATTGGAATGGCATTATTATACTAACCTAGAATTTATTCAATTGTGATTTGTTATCTTCATTTTGTGGGTATTTATATGTAATAAATTAGCCTACATTGTGATTATGGTTGCATATTAAAAAGAAAAAGAATCCATTTTGAAAACAGCATATGCTGCATCAGGCTTATTTAATATACTTCTTATATTAGGAGCCATAGTTGGATTATCACAAACAGAATATGGATGTCTTTGATCATATAAATTCAAATAATCAATAGTTTATATATTAGAATTAATTAATTATCTCTATTTCATAATAGTATTAATTATTAGAGTAGAACAATTAATACTAATAACTATTATATTTTAAATTAATATAAGTTAAATATATATAAAATATTAGTAAATTATCATATCAATTTTTATTAAAATCCTGTACTATTTCTTAATTATTGATCAGTTTAATAATATTATTTAATGAATTTAGTTATTTAAGTAGAAACATCAAATTCTGCTAATAGATTTTTGCTTACTGAAGTTCTTTTAGGATTAACTATTCTAATTAAAGATGGTTTTTCAGTTTTTAATTTTCTATCAGGACTATTAGGAATAGATTAAGTTTGTGAATAATATTATTTAATTTTAGTTGTATCTGGTGTTGTCTTATTACTTTTAATAATGGTTCCTTAAATGTCTTTATAAATCATACACAATTATAATTATTCTTTTGCTTAAATGATAATTTTTGAATTTTCTAATAGTAAATTATTAGAGATTTGTCTTAGAGTATTCAATTCTTTAAGAATATTCTGTAATTTAAATTTAACAGAAGATGGTTAATTGAGTTTATCTTCTTAAGCTATAATTCTAAGATGTTCACTTTCAATTGCATAAGTTTAAAGTTGAGTTTGAAAAAGAATAACTTTATCTTTTAATCTATGAATTTTGTCTTATGCTTTCTTTTTAAGTGTTTCATATTGTTATCTATAATTATCTTTGTCTTCTTTTTTTTATCTATTTAAGTCTTCATATTTAATCCGTTAATCGATTAACTTTTACTAAAGTTCTTATTTCTGGAATTCAATTTGTTAATTACATGCTTTGAGTATAAGAAATTCATTATTAAGGTCATCATAATGTTATTTCCATGTATCATTTTGAATATCTAATGTTTGACCAAAAAGTAATTATCTAAAATGAAGATCAATTGTACTTAGAATAATTATCAGAATTGTTAGGTTTAGTATTGTTGATTTCATTTATAAAATGCTTGATAGTTATAAAAAGTGAATCGATCACTTATTCCAATTCTAATTTTAATTTGTCAGATGGATCTAATTCCTTTGATAAAATGAGGAATAGTTGTTTTGGAAATTGCTATTGTAGCAAAAGAATCCCTTACATTTAATTATTGAATATTTTAATTTATATTCTTCATTCAATAAAGGGATATACCCTATTCTTACAAAGACCTAATAATTGATTACTCGAAATCCTATAAAGCAACTTTGCCATCACAATCTGTATCTGTCATATCCATCCAAGCTTAAACATCTTATGGTGTTGGTTCAAATTCAATATTCAATTACTTATAGGTTTCTCTCAATAATCCTGGAACCTAACGATGTCTTTATTTTAAATACTTCATTTCTTGTCAAGAATCCACATTAAGTGACATCAAATTTCTTAAATAATCTTCTAGCTACTTCCAATCTCTCTTCAACCATTCTATTATATTATCTCTAAGGTGGTAATTGGATACTGTAAGAAGGTAATGGTTAGATACCAGCCTAAATAAATTAATATATTTTGAACTAGTATGCGCAAAGCATAATTCTCTACATCCTAATATGTGATCTTGCCATCTCTATTGACATCCAAAACTTAGACGAATGTATCTACATCTGCCTGTTCTCAATATTATATTTTACTTGTGTTGGATTAAAGGCCTTACTCATTCCTCTATAAGCATCAACTAACATTGGTGAAACTACTTTAAGTTTTCTCTATCTTACCTTCTTGACCATCAATTATACCATTTCTATCTCTATCATATAAATCAAAGAGTTTCTTTGCTATAGCTTTAGCTTATTCTGGATCACAAATCCCTTAAGGAGTTACATATTGACTAGTTATCACTTATTCTGATCTTCTGGTTGTGGATCTCATCAATCAAAAACGATATTTTATTTATTATATTATAACAATAATCATCCTCTCACTTCTTCTATAAAATTAGAATCATTATTTATATATAATTTTTTTATAATGTACTCTTTTTAATTTAATAAATTGCTATCACTTTCCTACAAAACCTTTAAGATATGTCTCTTTTTAAGCTCTAATAACTTCCCTCTTGTCTGTCTTTCTTGACATATAGATTTTTGTTTTTTCAGATCCTCTAGTTTTCTTCAACTTAGATTTTACTTCCTTCCATCCCTTTCTGCTTCCATCTCTCTTTGGAATTATGCCTCTTCTTCTCAATCTGAATTTTGGTTCAAATTTCAATAAATATCTAACATTATTACTCTATTATATACTATTATGTATCGTAGATCAAAGCAAATCCTGTTGTTCTATTTCCTCCAAATGATGTTCTCAATCCATAAACTACGACATTTCTTTCATCAGCTTTATATTTTTGAGCCAATTCCTTAACAACTGATTCCTAAGATGGAGTAGGTTTATTTGGATGAAGTAATTCAACACTCTTTTATTAACTATTTTATTACTAATTATCTTCTATTTAAGAGCTTGTTAAGTAATACTTTTCTGGTCTTTACTATAAATGTCATTATCTCTCTTATTTTTTCAAAATTAATTAAATCTTTTTTTTATGAAAATAAACTCAATTCATTAATCTAATCTCAAATATATTCATATTTATCATTTCTATTTACTTAGTTATAAGTTTCTCAATTCATTACTAAATTATATACTTGAATAGACATTCTCAAGTAATAAGTTAGTTTTATAAAAAGACTTTCATATAATAATAATATTATATTAATTCAGATCATATTTAAGACTTATAAATTAGATATAAACAACAGCTTTATATTTTAATATTAGAAAAGAGATAAAATAATTTTTTTTTAATGATTCAACAGATCTCAATATAGTTTTAAATAGCACTTCTGTTGTTACAACATCTGATTACTGTAGAGTGTATATCTACATGTCCATTCACTAATTACAAAGATGCTCTGTTGATCATAGAGACATCATCTTAAAGCTACACAGAATCAATTAATGATAGCGATAACTAAAACACATTTGGATTTGCATTCTGGAGTATCAGTATTCCATTGCTTGAGAAGCTTGAAACAATAAATAGAAATGAGCCGTTTAAAAATGACGAGTCAGATAATGGAGAGCTGTTGTTTTTAGTTAAAGATTCTATTCTAAACTAAAACTTTATATATGGTTTTAAATCCTATGACTATGAAAACAGACAGGTCAAACATATAATAAAATTCATGAATTAAGATATTAGTAAAACAATAATATTTTCATTTGGATCACTCGAATATGAAGGAATTTGGATTTTTCATTTAATATTGTTATAGCCAAGTTTAAACTTAATTATAGTTGAAGTGAGCAGTTAAGAAAAATAATAGACAAACTTTGATTTATAAAATCAATTAAATTTACAAATAAGTATTGGAGGAAAAGGATATGTAACATATTATATAATTTATTTAGATTGATAATTTGAACCTTAACTCATTTAGAGGAAAATTATCAAAATAAATTTATTTATCTAAATTTATATATTCAACAACTACTTTCTAATAATAAGTATAAGATTGCAAGATTCCATAAAAAATGATTGGAGAATAAACAATTAATATCATAAATGGTTTAAAGATATTTGAGGGAAATTAAGTGTTGTAGCAATTCATAGATCATTATGGAAATAGATATTGTATTTAGGGATGGGTTAAATATACATTGCCAAAAATAAATGAACATAGATATACATTTTTAAAGATGTCTGGTTAATATAATTTTGAGTAAGAGGTTATGCTTGGAGATGAATTATTTAGAATAGAAGTTTTCATTTCAAAAATAAATCCTGAATAATCATCATTAATTATAAATGTTGATGCTTATGGTATGCCTGTGAAATAATCCTTTTAATCATAATATGATCTATTATTTTAAGGAACCATAAATGCAGATTATAGTGTCTTATAAGTAAAAAGAATATATTAAGATCTTAATACTTAACTTTATTTTGAAGGATTATAATAATGGCATTATATTTAATATGAATATGGAAGAAATAATATAGATGAAAGAATGTTTTTATAGATTAAATTTTCAAATGATTTAGGAATTTTATAATAAAATTTAGGAAATGATATCTTTAGTGGATCTTTTACAAATTCAAGATTTAATTTATTTATTGGTGGAGATATTGTTAATTCAAATACAAATAATTAATTTCTTCAAGCTTAAATATATGATTTGAAAATGAAATTTAATTATGAAGAAGATAAACTATTTGATATAAGTATATATATAAATTAATCTAGAATGTCATTATTCATGTTTTACTTGTAATGGACCTTTAGATTAAAATTGTTTAACTTGTGATCCTAATTCCAATAGATTTTATTAAAATGAATTAAAAATGTGCAAATGCAATTCAGGTTATTTAGATAAGGGTATCTCTATATGTGATAATAAATTTTATTCCTCAATACAATTAAAAGAACTACCAATTGATTCTGAGGTAGTATGTCCAATTGGTAATTTTAGATTACCTAAAGATGATGGGAATGGTTATGATTGTTTGGAATGGTATTATTAAATCATAATATTTTAGTCCTTAATTCAGTAATTTCAAAGCAGTTTTATGTGCAAATTGTTACTTATATCCTTTTACTTGGTACATAGAACCAGTTTGTAATATGGATTATTATACAATCAAATAAGTAGTCAATGATTATGAGGCATATCATTTGATAAAGAGAACTGATATACAAAATGATGTTTATTCTATTGAATCTGATAGAGCATTACACTTAAATCCTGAACTTGCTTATTATTGTTAGGGGGATGAATGTTATACATTTCCGAAATTACATCTTGGAAAGGCCATAAGGGCTGAATGCAAACCAAATTATTATTTTAATGATGATTATTAAGAATGCTTAAATCCAGGTCTTAATTGTTTAAAAGTTAATATTCTAAAATCATGTGATATTTGTCCTATAGGTACTTATAATAATTATTATACTGGATGTAATAATTGTCCTCTTAATTGTTATGCTTGTACAAACACTTTTTAATTTATATTAACTTGTGATGCTTGTATTTAATATTATACCTTATAGAATGGAGTATGTAAATAATGTGGACTTCGGTGTGATGTTTGCAAAGATTATTACGATTAAAATTTAGGATATAATTATCTAAAATGTTTAAAATGTATTGATAATTCCTTATATTCAATTTCTTTTGATGGTATTAATTGCATCTCTAATGTTATACCTCATTGTGTTCATTCATTTTAAACACTTATAGATGATTATACAATTAATACACTTGATATCAATTTTATACCTTAATTTGATTCAAATAAGTTCAAATTATTGTGTGCTAAATGTGAATCAAATTATGTTTTTGTATTTGAAACTTAATCTTGTGTATTTAATAATATCAATACTTAATGTGATATTGGAATAGGTTAACTTAAAATAAGTGATCAATCATTAGAAACTGTTACATGTCTAAAATCATATTATTATGAAAACTAGATAGTTGAATTTATGGATAAATGTGATTAATAAATTAATAATTGTAAAGTCTGTCTAGAAACTAACATATAAAATTATTATATTTGTTTAGAATGTTAAAATGGATATTATGCATAATAAGTAACTGGTTTATGTATATAATGTCCAATTCAACTTAATTGTAATTCATGTTATTCATAACATTCCATTAGTAAAGATCATTGGAAAAAAGATATCAGAGCATTTTATAGAAAGTATATTGAAATTAAAAATACACATTAATATATCTTAAATGCATAAAGTTAAAATCTAAATGATTATGAAATAGTATGTTCAACTTGTTAAGATGGTTATAGATTACATAAGAATAAATGTATTAAATATTGTTCAGATACTTGTGTAGAATGTTTACTTAAAGATGATCAATATTATTGTGTTAAATGTTAAAATGATTAAAAAGGAAGAAAGCAATCTACTTATAATAATGAATGTATAGATTGTCCAGAAGATTGTGCATTATGTAGACCAAGAACATTAGAAGAGATTAAATAAATCAATCCTTTATTCAATAATACTAAATATACAAAATACACTCATTAATGCATCTTAAGTTTTTAAGATTAGAATTATAATTATGATGAAGATATTGGAGTCTTTATTAAATGTGAATCATTTTCATCAACTGGTTGTTATAAATAATTAGAAATCAATTTAAATCTCTATGAAAATACTGATAGATATAATCAGGATTATAATTAATTACAAGATGAAGAAAGTAGATTAAAATTTAAAAGAGAAAATATTAGACTAGATTTATTATTCGAATGGAATACTTTATTCTTATAAGTATAATTATTTAAAATATGTTTAGTATTAAAATGATGAATTTTATTAATTAGCCAATGCTAATCATATTAAATCAATTTTGATTAAAATAACTAGTTCTTAACCATTTTCTGGTGGAGGCTATTACTTAAGTACTGGTGGAATTAATTAGGTGTTCTCTTAAAATATATTTTCCTTAATGTAAAATTTATCATTATTTAAAGCAATGTTGAAATTGAGCTTAATTTTCCAGAAAATTCAAAATTAATTTTGTTAAGAAATATGGAGATTTCATTCTTAAATTTTAATAAAGTTACTATTTAAAATCTTAAGATATTAGGATGCTATTATTGTACAAATGAAAAAATCATTTTTACTAGTGTATTTCCATAAAAAGTAATACTTAATCAAATATATATTGATCACATCACTTAAAATAGTTATTCATCCTTTGTTTTCTTATTTCAAAATGTCTCAACTTTGTATATAGATGGTTTGACTCTCTATGAATTTTCTAATGATTACACAACTTAAATAATTAATGTTTAAAACACTCCCTTTAACAAATAGATAACCTTAAAGAATATCAAAACTATTAATTGTAAACTTAACAATTAAATATTCTTTTATTTTAATTTAGGAAATGATGATATAGTAACTTTTGAAAACTTTGAAATAGATGGTATTTACAAATCATTTAATCTAATTAAGATTATTTCAGAAGATTAGAAAGGTGGTCTTATTAACATGAAAAATATAATCATAAGTGCTAATATTACTGATTCTATTGCTTTCATCAATTTTGAAAATGTTAGGTCTCTATAGATATCAGATTTTTTACTCAATACTTCAGTACTTGGAAACTCATCATTACTTTTACTCAATCACATTGCAAATTTAGAAAATTTTAATTTCACTGATAATCAAATTATGGATAATTCTGTTTTAATTTTGAATGTTAATCTAAAGGACAGTTATGGATAATTCATTTATAATATTAATAACATTAAATTTGAAAATAATTAATACAATAGTGTCATTAAATTCATTAATTTTTAGAAATATTCAAGTTTAAAATAATTTATATCAATTAATCAATTAAATTAAATTAATAACTTTTTAATGGATGCCACCTTATAATATAATGTAAAGTAAGAAGACTCATCCTTAATATTAATATTATTTAATGAAGTTCATATTACAAACTTTCTTATAAATAGAGGTTTTGGTTTTAATGATATTACTATCTCTGAATCATAAACAATTAAAATTGAAAATGGAATAATAATACAAGATAAATTTACATTCTTAGGATTGCATAAACATTTGACATGTTAATTACTCTATGTAGATGGATAGTATTATTCAGTATCTCTAAATATACTATCTTCTCAAGATATTATGATATTAAATCTAACATTCTCAAAAGTACAATCTTACAATTTTCCATTTATATTCATCATTTAAACAGATATAATAAAAGAAATTCAAGATTCAAATATTATATTAAAAGATATTTTCTTTTCTGGAAACCTTGTTTTACTATCCAATCCAGTCTTTTAGACTTCTATAATTACTATTTAATCTTCTTAATAAACAGTAATATCGATTTAAAATATTACTTTTCAGAATAATCTATTACATGTTTATATAGAAGATGGATTGGTAATAGCAGCTGGATTACTTTTAATAGATTGTCCATCTTCTCAAGTAATTATCAAATACTCAACCTTCTAAAATAATCTTGTAACTAATAGCAGTACAAGTATTATGTATATCAAAAGTCAATCATTAGAAATTAATAATTGTTTATTTGAAAACAACAGTTTCTTTAATTACAATGTTCTTCAACCACATCTAATATGGGCATTTACACAAATTGTAACTCAAAAAACAATTAACAAAATCTTTAAGGTAATATCAACAGCTGGTAATGGTTAAATATTAGTTCAATAATTGAAAATTCATAACAGCAGTTTTTACAATTCTATAGGTAAATTAGGAGGATGCTTTTAAATATTTACATTAAGATAATCAACCATCGAAATCATTAACAATGTATTTTACAATTTTTCAACATAATTTATTTCTGAAATTGAATAAGGAGGTGTTCTCTATATAGATGGCTCATCCTCTTCATTATTGGAAATTGTAATTACAAACATCACTGTTTAAAATATTTATTGTAGATAATATGGAGGCTTTTTATATCTGAAATCCAACAACTCTCAAACTCATCTTACCATAAAAAATGGTGTTTTTCATGATATATATGCATAACGAGGAAATGTCATTTATGTGTCTTATTCAAATTTAATAGAAGAACCATAGACTTTACATGCATAAGGATTTGAAATTATTAACTCTCATAACAATTATCTTAAATACTTGAATAGATTTAATGATCTATCTAATTTATAAGAAATAAGTAGTTTAATTAATAATAGATCATCAATATATGTAGAATATGGATCTAAAATATTTATTCAAAATATTTCAGCTAATAACTTAATGTTTGAATCTTTTCTTAACTTTGAATAATCAAATTTCATCTATATTTCAGATATCACAGTTGAGAATTGTCGATTAAGTAATAATCTTATTAAGATGTCCTAAAATTAATGTAATCAATTATTTTATTTATTTAGTTGTAAATTTAATCCGTAGTTAATTTCGATCAATAATTGTTGGATTTGAAATTGAATCTGTAAATTGTTAAATAACACCTGAAACAAATGAAATTATAAATTTAGAATGTTCAAAAGGATTTGAAAGTGCTCCTATATATCTCGAAAATGATGTAATTGATGAGAGTATAGATAGAGGACTATGTGTCTCTTAAATTATAAGATCAAACTTAGACTTATCAAATTCAGGTCTAATAATGATTAATGACATAGAATATCAAGACTATGTTAAAATAAGTTAATTTGATTTGAGTAACATATCATGTGCTAATTGCACTAATGGATTACTGTATATGTAATTTTTGAATGAAACTAAATTGGAATAAACTTAAATAGTCTAATATCCTAAAGTAGTTAATTCAATCTGTGGGAATAAGGGATGTCTGATCTTTGAAAAATTGTTAATTATATTGAATGGTAGAATTCTTTCTTAACAGGTAGGTTCTTAATAAGGATATGAATTATAGATTTCTTATTTAATTTGTGAAAATAATTTAGCTTTTACTGGAACTTGTATAATGATTAATTCAATATTTACATCTATTTAAGATAGTGTATTATAACATAATAATGCAACATTTTAAGGTGGAGCAATAGTTGTAAAAGGTTCAGATTAAGTTATTATTGAAAATTCTCTTATTTAATACAATAAAGCAGAAGTTGGTGGAGGATTGTATCTAGAAAATACATTTGCTTTAAATTATGAATTATTAAAAACAAGAGTTATATTAAATACAGCTATTTTTTATGGAAATAATATAGCTTCAATTCCTGAAAAACTTGCCATATAAATCACATCAAATGAATTCTTATAAACTAAAGTTTTACTTGAGAATCCAAAAAAGAAAATAGAAGAAATTATTATTAAACCTTTCACTTCTATAAATGGACAAAATTCTAAATTTGTTTAATTACCTACTGGATAGTAAATATCAAATTATTAATTTTTTGATTGGAAGAGTTAAAATTATATTAATTATGATTTAATTTTTAGAATTCATACTCTAAATAGAAAAATGAATTTAATTTAAAATTTGTCAAATTCTTTTTGTACTATAAATAGTAGACGATATAATATTTTAGAAAAAGATGAAGATTAAGAATTTACAAATAATTACACTAAATATAATACTATTTAATATAATTCTGAGACTCAAGATTTTAATTTAGATGATTTAATTGTGTATTTTGATAATGATGTACCTGAAGAGATTGTATTATAATTAGAATTTCATTGTGATTCAATTAAAATACCAATATTTAATTAAACTTACCCATATTAAACTGAAAGATATCATAATGATTATAAACTTAGAATCAATATAAAGACTTTAGAATGTTAATTTGGAGAAATCAAAAATTTAACTGATTTCTCTTGTGTTATTTGTGATTCTAATTAAGGTCTATTTTCTTTAACTATAAATGCTTAAAAATGTGATATTTAAGATGATTTATCAACAATATCTGTCAGATCAAATTAATTATAATTAAGACCTGGTTATTGGAGACCCTATTTTGATACAACATTAATTAGTTAATGTTTAAATTTAGCAAATAATTGTTTAGGAGGTTGGAGAAATGGTGATATTTCTTGTTACACTGGTCATATAGGAGCACTTTGTGAATAATGTGATATATACGATACAAGAGGTGAAGGATCATTCTCAGTTGTTGGTAGATATTCTTGTGGAACATGTTAAAATAAATACTAAAATATAGTTCTTATTATTGGTATCATTATTATTACTCTAATATTCTTACTTATTTCTGTTAAAGGAACTTTAAATTCCATTGATGAATTTAGCAAATTTAAACCATTCTTTCGATCAACTCTTACTAAACTCACTCCTTAATCTAGTATTCTAATTAAAATTTTAACTAATTACTTTTAGATTGTTGCAACCATAACTACCTTTTAATTAGAATTACCATAAGGATTAGTTAGTACATTAGATGGAGTTGGAAATCCTATCTAAACAGCAACCTATTCACTTGATTGCTTTTTAGTTAATTTTTCTGATATTTAAATACAATATACTAGAATGATATGGCAGATTATATTACCAATCCTCTATATAAATCTATTTATGGGATTATTTTTCATTGCTTCTAAATTAAATTTAATAGAATCTATGTTAAATTGTAGTGTTATGTCAACCACATTAATTTATTTCTACATTTACTTTTAACCTAATTTAATCAATGGTTTTGTACAATTAGTATCATATAGAAATATATCTGGCTTTTAATGGATTAAATCGAATGTTGCTGATAGATATGATACACCTGAACATTTAAAATGGATGATAGAATTTTGTTTACCAGTTCTCATTATTTTAGCTATTCTTATTCCATTTTTCTTTTTCTATGGACTTTTCAGTAATAGAAATAGTCTTCATTCCAAAAAAGAAGTTAAAATGCGTTGGGCATATCTATATATTGAATATAAAGAAACTGTATATTTCTGGGAATTAATTAAAATAGTTCAAAAAGAATTAATAATCTTATCTCTTATTTATTATGAAGAACGTATAGTCATTAAAGGGGTTCTAGTACTTCTAATCACTTATTTTTATTAGGAATTAAATTAAAATTATCAACCTTATTCAATGAATAAAATGAATAAGTTAGATTATTATTCAGCAAATATTTGTATGATTACTGTTTGTTTAGCTATTGGTGCCTACATAGCCTAAGAAGCTGATATTAAAGAACTATAAATACCATTCTTAGTTGTGATGGCCTTATTAAACTTTCTATTCCTTCAATCCATTTTATTATAGATTATATCCAAATATACTTAATAATATGAAGATACTTTAGATATAATTAAAAATTTCATTAAATAAAAATATCCATAATATAGAAGTTCTTAATATCTAAATTAGATTTTGGAAAGTAGAACTGAATAAAGAAATAGAGTATTGAAGTAATTCAATAAACTTAAGAAATTTGCCATTCCTTTAGGAAGACTAATGATATAAACAAGAGAAAAATATAATCAAAGTAAATAATCAAATGCTATTGAATTTCATACTAGACAAGAAACTATAGACATAGAAAAGTCATCCTAAAAGAGATTGCTTATTATATAGAATTCCAAATGATAATCATAAAAAATATTTAATCTAATTTAATGTTACTTATCCTAAATTGGTTGTTTTTGAATATATAAATAGAGTTAATTAGATTATAGATGATTTGACAATCAGTTTTAACAGTTATTCAAATTTATCTAATCTAATTCATTAAATATTTCTATAAATAAATTATATTGTTTGATTTGAATAGATTTATAGATAAACTCTTAGAAATTGCTTTAATTAATCAAAATTTTTTATAATAAATCCTTTTTCATTATTTTTCATTATAAATTATTTACATTAAATATGAATGATGACACATTAATAATCAGGATTACTACTTATTCTAGTATGTTTGCTGGAATCATAGGGAAAATAGCTTGTCATCCAATTGATACAATAAGAGCTAAGATATAAGTAATTTTAATTCTCATTTAAAGATTAGACAAACAATGATGCTTAAGATTAAAGCTGAGAAATTGATTTCAACATTGGCAAAAGAGACATTAAGAACTGAGGGTTTACGTGGACTTTATAAAGGTCTTGGAATAACAATAGTAAATATGATAATTTCTATATAGATAGGAACAGGACCTGCATATTCTTTATATTTAACTACTTATGAAACATCAAAGTATTTGTTAAATTAATTGAATGTAAATTATGTCATATATATTAGTTTATGAAAGACAGTCCAAATTTAATCTCATTTGCATCTGGAATGATGGCTGAAACTATCAGTTGCATTTTCTGGTTACCAATAGATGTGATTAAAGAGAGATTATAAGTTCAAAGTAATATAAAGGTTTTTGATTATAAAAATACATTTGTATTATACTGTTTATATTCTAGGATGCCATCCAAAAGATTCTAAGATCAGAAGGAGTAGTTGGTTTGTATAGAGCTTATGGAGCAACTGTAGCCTCATATGGTCCATTTAGTGCATTCTATTTTATGTTTTATGAGAAATTAAAAAGTAATTTAAATTAGAATTAATAAAATAGCAATTTTGGAAAATCCATTGTAACCATCATTTTTAGAAAGTCTTTGTTTATCAGGGATTGCAGGATCAATGGCAGGATTCATATGCAATCCAATGGATATAGTAAGATTGAGAATGCAAGTTTAAAGAGCATCAGTGGCAACTCATGCAGATACAGGTAATTTTGGATATAAGAACTTAATTCATGGACTTTATAAAGTAGTAAAGAATGAAGGGATATTGTCATTAACTAAAGGATCCATGGCTAAAGTATTATACACATGTCCAAATACTGCAATTTCAATGAGTGTAGCAGAAGTAACAAGATCTTACTTTATTAATAAATACAAGAGTCATTGATTATAATATAATAGCTAAAGGAATAAAATTTACATCAGATTTAATTAAAGAATTCGTGTTTTAGTAATTCTTTTGCTTCAGATCTTTGAGATGGATCATAGGCTAGACATTGTTTTAGTAAATCTAGGAGTTAATTTTATTTGGCTAAAGATAGATAATTGCAATTCTATCTTATAACTTAATTTAATTGCAATTACTATTATTTTTATATGATTCTAATATATAACTATATTTATTTACTTGCTTAAATCTCTTCCTTTGACAGCAAATAAACCATATTTAATTTAGGGTCTTCCTTATCTCATAATTTTGCCTTTATAGGATAACCAATTAGGAACACCATGTAATATGTCAAGTATTATTGCCCCTTTATTTGTTTATAAAAATACCATAACTCCAAACGTCGATTTTTGGAGTCCCATGCATTTGAGTAAGGGCTTCAATTTAAGTGTTGTATTGATTAGAATATTTAGTCCAATTATGCATAATATCAAGGGCTTCAGGAGCCATGTATTCAGGTGTAATCATTCCAAATTGATCTTTATCTTCATTTGAAAATGCTGATCCAAAATCTATAATCTTTGGTATATTATTTTCAACTAAAATATTGTCTGGTTTTAGATCAAAATGTGTAACATGTTTATCATTTATACATGAGATTCCATTCAAAATTCCATACATAAGTTCAATGAGTTTTTATGGATGTTCATACATATCTAACAATTATTAAGTCTCACTTATCTAAAATATATAAGTATTTATACTGCATATACTCTTTCTCCTTTGTAGAATTCCCCTTTCATAGTGTAAAGCACTTTGCTTAATGGTTTACCTCCCAACTCTTATATAATCCAAGTATCTTTATTTGAATGTTCCACTCCCATGATCTACACTATGTTTTCTGATTTGATGTAACTGAATTTTGCCTCTTTACTTTATTGTGGTTTTGCTATTTATTTCAATGCTATCTTTTAATTGCCTTTCGATGCCAACCAGACTAATGCAAATCCTCCCCTGAAAAGAGATAAATATATGATGTACCTTCCTAACAATTCAAGCTTGTCAAAACCCAATAATTACCTATCTCCATAAGTTCCTTTCTCTTCCTCAGTGAGTCCATAATCTTTAAGTATCTTAAGGGATGGCAATCTATTAGGTTTGAGTGTGAAGCTACTGTGCTTTTATAATTTCAAGGCTGTGTTTCCAGGAGATTAATTTGACTCTTTTTATACAAGGTCTATAATTATTCGTTAGTGTAACAGTGAATCTAATCCTACTATATTGTATATATAAAAATATGATATAAAAGTGTGATATATAGAGGGTGAAGGTGTTATAAATATATACTGTTAGTTGAGACTGGAGTTCTCCTAGATTTCTATGACAGTTGTCTCTAATATTGAATGGGCATCATATTAATTAATTATATTTATACTCTTAACCAATTATTGGTAATATATAATTATTTATATAATATTTGAAATGTAAGAGTGGCCTAAGAAATTGTTTCTTGCTATTGCATTCATCTCTTGTTTCACCTGTTATGCAAGACCAGACTATAATCTCCCATTATTTGCCTTTGCATATTTACTTTGGGATATAGATAGACCTGTAAGTCAATCATTAATGTGAATTTAGGTATCACAAAAGATTAGATTAATTTACTTATTTGTTTATTCATGGATTATTGATTTTGTTTGGCTTGTTTATTGGGGTCCATTTTGGAATTCATCAACTTTTAGTCATAATTGGGCTGATGGAATTTAAACATTTGTTTTAGTATTGTCCGTTATCAATTTCATCTTGAAAGTAGATATCGAAATCATATTGTATAGTTGGGTACAATTGTAGTGTGCATTTTGGCAGAAAAAGAATGCAAAGATGCATTACATCCTGAAAATGCAATGGCACATGCAAAGAACATATTTAATAGTGATGGTTAGCATTAGTGAATTACTTAAATTTTTAAAAAAAAAATTAATATCTATTTTAAATTAATGTCTTAATCAGTACTTTGGGAAGTAGTTAAGGGCAATAATGCTTTTTTGGTCAAAAGAAATGGATTGACACTCTCAACTGATCCATTCAATAACACTGGAGTATAAACATACAGCAGTACAGGTATTAAAGCAATCTTAATATAAAAGGATTCATTACAAAAAATGCTATTGGTGTAGTACCAACATAATCAAAGGTTAATTAAATTAATAATGTGAATTTGGTTGCAAGAAAGAGCACAAAATTCTAATAAGTTGATAGAAAGACTAAAAATACTTAATCAGTTTATGCTTCAACTTTGAGTGTTAAACATGGAATTCATACAGCCTCAAGAGTATATCATATCTTTATGAATAATAGGTAATTAGAAAGAGATTTGGTACAAGAAGACTTGGATTGTAGAAGGCAGCTCTTAGAAAATTAGTGAAATTGAACAGAGCCAATTCTGTCAGAAGAAGAAATGAAATTGCTGCAACTAAGGCATAAAAGAAATGATTTGCATTATCAAACGACGTACAATATATATATATATAAATAAATAAATATTATTTTATAGATGGTAAACTATTCATATATATTATGATAATAATTTTATTAATATTCACATCATAATACATTGATATCTTATTATTTTATGATTTTTTTAATTTAAATTAATATGAAATAAGAACTAGTTGCACCTAAACCATATTTTAGTATTTTAAAATAGCAATAACCATCTACTCCAGATGATGTATTATCATATAATAGCAGTAAATCAATGAAGTTATTGAATAATGCTACTCTTAAAGTTCGTTATGATAGATTTGGAAATGTCATAGATAAAAAAAGAAGAGATCATTAAATTTCTTTTAGAGATAAAGTTACAAAATAATAAAGAGTTTATGATTTGTTTGTGTTTGATTAATTCAAATATGAATATTTATAAATAGAGAATAGTAAATAATAAAAAAAGACTAGATGTTGTTCAATTTAATGAATTTAATTATTTAATATTTTTTTATGTAAATGTGTACTATACTTTAGAATTATCATTATTTTTTGGTTTCTTCTTGATGTTCTCTAGCTTATTTCTTTTCAAGAGCTGTCAAATATAAACCATTATCATCTGGGAGTGAAATTAAGGATTTCTTTCCTTTTCCAATTGTAAAGATATTATTGATTCTTGTAGAGAAGTGTTTACCATTTGAATCCTAATAAATCTTTATTAATTTATACTTTAACATGGACAATATCAAATGATCCAAGATGTCTTTCTCTATGTTAAATGAGACCAACTCTTCCAATGTTATTACCTCCAATAATATAACATAAATTTCCTTAATAAATTATATATTTATATATTACCTGGTTCTTCTTTAAGGAAATCAACAACCTTTCCAGTTTCCAAATCAATTTTTAATGTGTCATTAACATGAATTTCAGGATTTGGGTATCTGATGGTTCTAGCATCATTGGTAACAATATAAGGAACATTGTTTGGTCCAACCTTCTTTTATGTTACTTTCACTAACTTGAATTTAGCCTCATCTGGTTTGATTGATTTTAATATGAATTTTCCTGAGACATCATATAATACTCTGTAACTTTCTCTTGTCTTATCAATTGTAATGACATCTGATCCATTAATTATATAAATTTACCCAATAAACCAACTGGATATCCAAAGTCAGATCTCACTTTTCCGTCAACTTTAATATTACCATCCTTATCAGCAAGAATCATTTAGACATCTCTTGCATACAAAGCATATTTGAGTTTATGTTGCAATATTATTGACAAAGGAATTGATTCTCTCAATTTATGGGGTCCTTATGATGGTCTTGTTGTCCAATTTCCTCCTAATTTTGAGAGCATCCAACTCTTTGGTGCTGTAATTCTTTTCATATGTTTCTTGGGTCCTCTTGCCTATAGATAATAGTAATCATTATTCTTACCATGATTGTTTAAAGAAAAAATTAAAATCTTTTTAATTTAATTCAAAATGTGAATACTCATAATATCAGAAATATTTTATTATTAAGTATTTATATAATGGATTAGTCTTTTGTTTTTATTCTTATATATGAGATGACACATTAAAACTAGAATTTAATATGTAGCAGAATATCAGATTGAAAAATATGTTAGAATTAATAAATTTTGTTTAATACTATAATTATATAATTCAGATGAAACAAATTTTATAAGTATTCTAATATAATATTAATAATAAAATCTAAATTTATCAATTGTATGATTGATAATTTAATAAGAATAAAAATAAAATAATGTATTTATCTAATATTTATAATATATATACAATTCTAATAATCAATTCCTATATGATATGTTAAAGAACATTCTCTCAAAACATTTGTTATAGAAATATTGAGAAATAAATAAAGCTCTATAAACAAATATATCACTAATACTTTTTACTAATATGATTATCAAAAATTAGTTAAACAAGGTAAATAGAAAGATTACTTATTAATGTTATTTTGTTTCCCAGAACTAATTTATATATTATATGATTTAGAAGAGATGAAGGGGGATTTTGAAGTGGAATAATTTGATGAAATTTAATTACCAAGTATTGCACCTATTCATAAAGAATAGAAATCACTTTATAATGAATATTTTACATTCTAATTATGAATATCCACATAAATTAAATAAATATGCATCTGTAAAAATGCAATAGATTTTAGATAAAAAAATAATAAGAAATAAATGTATCCTTTATAATTAAGATAATACTATTATAATTGAAGCAGAAGATGAAACACATATCTATAATGTAAGACATTCTGTAATAGAGGCAAAGGAGAAATTTACTGAACATAATAAAAATGAAAAATCATTAGAAACCCTTTCATAATTGTAATTATTATGAAAAAGATTTGATTTTAGTAATATATTTTGAACCCTGTATAATGTGTGTTATGTCTTTAGTTCATTCAAGAATTAAGGATGTGTATTTTTATCAAAAGAGAGTGATAGAAGAAGGAGTCAATGATCAATTATAACTTAATAATATGAAACAACTAAATCATAAATATTTGGTGTTGTATTAGAATTGATTAATTTTATTTATAATTCAATCACTATTATTTGTAAGTTCAGTTATTATGTTGCCTAATTGAGTGACCTATTATGAAATGGAACTAAATGTATATCTAATTAAAAATACTCATAAAATTATTAAGCATATTCTAAATTGTAAAATACTTCCTGAATCATTTTGAGGGAATTCTCAAATTCTTGTTCTCCTTAATTTGCAATGATAAGAAATGGTTACTTATCCTCCAATTAAGATGCAATCTATTCTAAATCTTTTAGATTTATTGAATTAAACTATAATAAATATAAGTTATTACTATAGCATCATATTCTGTAATCTTTATTTAGATCATTTTCAATGCTTATAATAAAATATTTGAGTCTATTGTTTAATGATTACTTTAATCTAATCCTAAATCATCAATATATTTTTCTAAATTTGCCAATTAAATTTTTATTAAATCCATCTTATTAAATATTGTCTCAACAGTAATAGATAACTTTTTCAAAGTATTTAAATTCTTCCTGTAAAAGTTTTGTGACTCTTACAAAGAATTCTACATTTTACAAGCAATCAATTGATTATTATTCTATTCTATAAATAATAGTTATTCTTTAATGCCATTAATTTAATCCTCTGTAGTTCTATTTATTAAACTTGCCTCTAATAGTTTCTTTTATATATCTATATATATTATAAATAAAATCTATTACCTTCAACAATTCTTCTAAAATTATCTATCTATTAAGATAAGAGTTAATAACCCTGATTAGGAGCTACTTTTTACATAGATTGTAAATCTAATTAATTTTTGATATTTATCAATTTCTTTCCTTGATCCTATTACAATTAATGTATCTTTTGAATTTATTATTGACATCCTTTCCAACCTCCTTTTGTTTTAATAAAATCAACTTTTTGCTAAATTGATGGAGTTAATTTTAAAGTTTCAGCATTTTAATATGAATCAACCATAAATTGTATATTATATTAAGAATAAATAGAATTAAAATTATTTTGTAAATCTAATAATTTTTATTAAGCAAAAGTTTTATTGGCATTTATTTGTAAAATTAAATTTTTTGTTTCTACTTAATATTCTTATTATTTATTTTCTTATCTATTTTAAAATAATTCTGGAGGTCTTGCCTTAATAAGATCTTATTTAACTGGTAATTATAATAATTCATATTCTTTAGCTATAGGATGTTTAAAAGCATTTTCATTAAGATATAAATACTCTTTCTTAAGAATTAATATCTATTATTATTATAAGAGTAGGAACTCATTTTTTTATTTAAACTTTTTAAAAAGATCAGATATGGATTATTCAGCCTTACTCAAATAGGTTATTGCTTTTCCCATTCTTTATTCTTTTGGAACTTCTTTAGCTGTATTAGCCATCATTTTGGCTAACTCCATATTAGTAATAACCACAGTAATAGTATGATCATTAGAAAACTTCTCCATCAATTAATTATATATAATAGGTGGAATTGGTTTCTTACTTCCTTATTTTGTTTATGTCAAACATCTAATAGTTTACTCATACATCTTAGATGATTCTTATAATAAACCCAAGGCAATTAGATGATCATCAGGATTTTTATTTGTTTAAAAATGATCATATAATTTCTTATATCCAAAGGCTTCAGCCTATTGATGAAAGATATATAATTACATAACAATTATGCATATGAATATGCACAAATGATAGATCAGAATGTTAATGGATAGTTCTTGAATTAACAAAAGCTATGATTTCAGAGAGTCTCTAAAAACACCACTAGGAATTACGACTCTTGTTAATTGCATCCTTTACAGTTGCCATATTTTATCCCAAATGATAATAAAGTAATCCAAGATTGTATAGAGAACAAGAGTATTCATAATGCCATTAATTGGATTAAGTAAATTTATTCTAAATTATTCTATCTGTTTTACAGGTTCATATGAATCATTCCATGAGAATGATATATCAATCTTAACTTGTTATTCAATAGCTTAGTCTAATAGTAGAATATATTCAGTCAATAATTTCTCAAGTTAAAGACATGCTTCCACATCTCCTTTATAACAATCTTACCAACGAAAATCAGATATCTTCTTTCTATATTCTTCAATTTTTATGAGTAATTAATTCTTATTAGATAGTAATATATCTTATACCTCAATTTTTGGAAATTTGATTGGTTTTGTTTATTTGAATCTGAAACCAAAGTTCATATTAATATTTATATATTTTGCGAGAGTTGTTATTACAAATATATTAATTTACTCATAATCTTTATTTCCCTTAAGCTTACTTCAACAAATGCAATAAGGTTTCTTATCTACGACTCTTTCGTTTCTTTGTCTATCTCTAGAATACCATTATCTTTTCTTAATACTACAATCACAATCATAATCATACTTTTGCTAATACTAATGAAATGTTGTTATGAGAATTATAATTGCTGAATTCACAAACTCTATCAAATTACTAAAAGATATCTATGTATTATCCCATAATCTTATCTTCATCATCATCCTCCTCTTCAGAACTATCATCTAACTTTAATTTTACTGATTTTCTTCTCATTATTTAGTTTATTTATAATGAGGGTACTTACAATACCTATTAATAACCTTGCTCATTCATTACACATAAGGATTCATTCCCTCCTTTCTTCATACTCTTCTCATATACAGGCACTTCTTCATCAGGAGATTCTGTCTAAGACCCATAATTTATAGATATTTTCCTATGGTTTTTAGTACCATTTGTATTTAAATATTAATTATTCTAACAAAATCTAAAAGTTCTAGGAGAAGAATCATCCAAAGATACTTAAATTCTTTGTGATAAAGATGATTTTCCATGTGTCTAACCCTATATATTTGTTTGGATTTAATTAAAAGTAGATTGATTTCCAAAATGAATACCATGTTACTATTACAATTCCTTCATTTCTTCTATTTAAACAAGATCTTCATTTTTCATCATGTAATTTAGAACACTCTCTAAAACAATGAAATGATGTTTTAATGCATACATTTTCCTTGTATTATTATGTCTAAGATATCGAGATGTTCTATCAACAGGAGTAAACCTCCTATAATTATATAAGGTTTTTATTCTATTAGGTATTCCAAATAAAAATGGACAAGTGTTTGTAAAATGACAATCACTTTGACATGTATTACATTTTATTTAAATTGCCTTTAAATTTTAATTTTGTATAATGTCATCTGTTATTTATTAGAATATCTCCTAGAAATTAAATATATTTTAAATATTTACATAATCTAAAGGGTGATCCTTAAAGACAAAGTTCAATTATTCTCTTGATATTTGAAGAACTTTAGTTGTTTTTGAAGCTAAAGCATCATAAGAATAAGCTCTTTTTGAAAAGAAATCCAATTATCCAATAAAAGATGGGTTAGATATCTTTTATAACAATCTCTGTTAATCATTGAGATTTACTACTAGTTTTATCTCTCCTGTTACAAGGATAAATAATTAAGATGATTTATTATTCCTTTTGAAGAGATAATCATCAGATTATATTTATTTCTCTTCTAAATACATACATAATTTATTCAATAAAGGTTAACTGAAATTCTTAAAAAAAGAAAGTTAATTTAATATTTTAGCATTAACATCTACAATCATTTGATCTTTTAAACTTTTAGGAATTAAATCTGCAAATTAAATTACTTTTTATGAAGGTTTACTCCACAAATATTCAAAATATCTTCTAAATTTAATTTAAAGATCATCAGATACATTTTAACTTTTTAAATATCTATTTAATTAATTCATATTATTTTTTAAATGAACTGATTATTTTGAGAAATCTTGGAATATACCACCAATATTATTTACAGTATATGCAAATGTTGCAGATGAAATCATTGTCATAAAGATGACAAAAATTCTTTCTGTTAAATTCACAGGAGTTATATCTCCATATCCAATTGTTGTCATTGTAACTATACTCCAATAAAATGATACTACATATCTATCTAACCAAGATTCATTCTATAAATTGGCCACTTTCAACCATGTCTTACCTTCATGATGACCCCATTCACCCCATTATCCAATAATATGCCAAATACATGCTGAAAAATGGGCTACTAAAATCATAAAAGATCTAGTGCATATTTATATGCATACATCATTTTAAATAAATCGAATAATGCAGTTTGTCTATTTGATAATTCTAAACGATTAAATAGTGATGAAAATAAACTAGATAATTAGAATACTTTCAAAATTATCACAAAATCAAAATATCTAAAATCAAATTGTTAACCTATAAAGAATGGAACAACTAAAAACAAATCAATAAAAAACCCTATTTAATATTAATAATCATAAACCTTCAATGCAATAAAATTTAATTATTTTTGCTCTATTTGTAATCAATATTCCTTTATTGTAAATACAAGTATTGAATTTTAATATAATCTCCAAAAGAAATGAATATACAGGCAATTATTCAAAAAAGAATTCTTTACTTTATAAAGGAAAGTCCAATATTTCTGGAAAAGAAATACGCAAAGAAACATAAAATACATTTATTGTAACAATCACTATTAAATAGATATTCCATATGATTATGATTACATCATCTGGTTTCAATAACCACTTTCTAACATTGCTTTTGTAAAATTGGTTATGATGTTCTGCAATTATTATAGATATTTACATAGTATGCAAGAAAACCAATTATTTAATTTAAGTAGAATATATGATGGTTTATCTTTTGGTAGGAATCCTTTATATTTGTAAAAATTATAGTCTGATGCATTATCATTAATTAAATTGAATTCTTGCTTTGTAAAACGACTCAAATCTTTTCTTGTAATCTATCTAGTAATTAGAACAATGAATCTAGAAACTATAAGTATTATTCTAAATGCTCTATATTTCCATATAGGATTCTCAATTCCAAAACTGTGATGTTGAGTCCTTCTTCCCCACAATAATACTTTAGAGCTTTTATTCATGTTGGTTTCTAGAGGATCAGGACAATCTTCATTGTTGCTGATTTAACTAATAATCATGAAATTATAATAATTATTTTAACAATGGATAAACTTGATAAAATTATTGCACAATTAGATGAATTGGAAATTAGTCAAAAACATAGGGAAGAATTACTAAAACGAAATTAAGCTACATTTCTTCTTAGATTGCCAAAAGTACTCAATCAGATTTTTTATTCAGGTTATTTTAATTTAGAGAGTGTGTGGATTTTTAGATGATAATGATCTATATAGATTTACAGCAACATGTTCTACTTTAAGGAAGGTGATGTTTTGTCCATTAGGATTCAAATTATTAATGTTGAGTAGAAATGCTAATCATTTGGTTGGTGGACCCAAACATTCACAAATACAACTCAAACATGAAAAGATCGATATTATATCATGTGGAAATTTATCAACCAATAATAATATGTTTGACACAGAGGAAGATGCATTAGCTTAATTGGAGGTCTTAAAAGCTGTGAAGGATTTCTTAACAAGTAAATTGTAGGATTCATAAGCAACAATTTAGAAATTATAAGATATGTTAGATGATGCATAAGCAACACTCAAATATGAAAAATCTGTTAATTTAAAACTATAATCTAAGATTAATATATTGTAAAATCAACTATCAATTTCTGAACTTTAGAGATAAGATGTTAAAGAAAATTTGGCAGAATTGAATTCTAAATATAATAAAATAGTAAGAATTTATTGAAATTCTCTTTAGATTACTTAAATGGAATAGGATAGAATCATTTTATTAGAAGATAAGGAGAAACTTCTTAAACATAAGAAAGTCTTAATTGAAGAAGTCTATAGATTAAGAGGTGTGGTTGCTAAAATGGAAGAAAATTAAAATAATTATAAAGAAGCCTTGAGATAAGTGAAAACTTTTATGGAAAGTGTAGAAGTTAAACCTATTTGAATTTGTTATTGATTTGAATTATTAATTAATTTTTATGATGTACTATTTTCACAATTTATTAACTCATATTAAAATTGGATATTTTAGAGTATGTATTTTTAATTTAAAAATCTTATCAAATATTCCAATTTTAATTATTTATGGATTATTAATTACCATCCTTAGCTGATCCATTCACTTGGGTTTCATACACTATTTTAGGCATCTTAGTAGGTTTATCATAAGCTGGTGGTATTGGTGGTGGACCAATCATATCACCAGTCATGATGGTTTTGTTAGGATGTCCAAGTAAAAAAGCAATTTGGAATACTTACATAATGCTTTTAGGAGGAAGTCTTGGCAATTTCCTTAGATTGGGCAAAGAAAGAGTAATAAATTTATATTTATATTGCTATAGACTGCTAATGGAAGTGCTCCATTGATTAATTATTAATTAGTTCAAATAACATTACCATTGTTATTGGCTGGTGCAATTCTGGGAGTAGCAACAGGTAAATGGATGCCAAAATTAATCATTGTAATCTTTCTGTTTGGTATATTATTGACTGTCTTTCTAAAAACAAAGAGTTTATACTTCAAAACTCGTAGTAAAGAAATGAATGACCAATTAATCCCAGTTGAACTAAAAGAATTAACAATATAAAAAGAAAGTAATCATTCAAAAGAATTGAATATTATAAGAGAGAAAGATTCAAGACTCTATCCAATCGAACCACTTACAGAAATCAGTTTGACTATTTTAATCATCATTGTTGTGACACTATTAAAAGGATCAGGAGCAGTACCATCTATTCTAGGCATTGATTTTTGTGGCTATGGTTATCATTTCTTTAATTTTGCCATTTTTGGAATAGCCTTTTATAATGTTTAAAGATATAGAAAATATATATCAAAAGATGAAGAATATAAAGAATCTATTGGTTATGATTTTGCAGATGGTAAAATGAGTTCTGTATTTGATATTACTGTGAAATCAAGTCTATATGCTGGTTTTTTAGGTGGACTTGTTGGATTAGGAGGAGGTGTAGTATTGACTCCACTTTGGTTAGAAACTGGAATTAACCCTCCTAGAGCTGCTGCTTCTGCTACCTTCACAGTATTATTCACTTCATCCATATCAGTATTCATTATAGCTCTATCAGGTGGCTATTAATTTTCTGAATTTGTCATTTTGGGAGTAAGAATATAAATATATTATTTTAGTTGGTTTCTAGTTTTGGCAGTTATTTAGTTGCAGGATTTCTTAAGAAATTAGTGAAAAAATATAAAAGAGAATCTATATTAATCTAAGTGCTTCTAGGAGTTATAGCATTTGGATTGATTATACTTCCTTTTCAATCTATAAAAGATGTTTATTAAAATCCACTTGGTGCTATTTAATTTGGTCGTTTGTGTTGATACTTTTGACAATTTTTATATTTAATTAATATATTATTATTATGTATCATTATTTAAATAAAGATAACTTAAAATCATCATAACAAAGTGGTTGAGTAAGATTATATTTTAAATGGCACATATGCTTATTAATATAATTTAAATTAAATTTCTATTATGATAAATAATATATATTACTGTTTTAGGAAATTTCTAAATTCTTCATGATTAAACTATATTCATAAGCTAAGACTTTTTGAATAGAAATTAAATCTTATTAATTAAAATATCCTTAAAATTCGAATTCAATGAATTATTCCGATTTAACCTTAAAAGAAATGAATAACTCATTTGATTATAGAGCTTCCATAATTGTAATTAGAAAAAAACTAAATATAGATGGACAAGTTCTAATTTTGATTTATAACTCATTAAGAATTTAAATTTTTTTCCATTTATATAATTAATTTAAATGTTAAAAAATGATTGGTAGATTAACAATTTTAGATTTGATTTATGAATTATTTAGATCTTAAATGAGTTTAATAATGATTAATTTTTTTTATACTTTCCCAAGATAATCTTCTGTGATATTCTTTTTTTTAATTACTTGGCATATCTTGATAATTATATTTAATAATTATTCATATCTTGATTGCATAATTTCATTATTTGTTTAAGAAATATTTGATATTTCAGGAAACACAAGAAGGATTGTTGGTTTATTACTGAAATAAACTGAGTATTCAATTTTAATTATTAATTTTTAATGTGAAATTGTGATTGTTTTGTTGAACAGATCTACACAATTTTGTTTAAAATTCTTTATTTCATTATATATTAACTATTCTATAGTTTTATCATTATGTTTTGCTTCTCTTAAAAATTTTAATGCATCTTCATTAGTAATAAATAATCGTTGGCAATTCAATATTTTAATAATTTAGAATTTGAATTATTCTTCATCGAAAGATATCAAAATATATGGGATTTACTTAGTAATTTAAGTTAATATATTTTCCCATGATTAATCAACCAAAGTTAATAGATATTATGATCTTATTGCTTTATGATATTGATATAAATATCTAGATGCATAAAGTATGAGTATAAAGGCTGAAAATATAGCTGAATACTCAATGCTAGTACTCTTATTAAAGATAATGATAATTCTGATAATTGATATTGAAATAAGAGAAAACATTGCATCAATATATTCACCAGCTAAAATGATTAAAAAATTTGATCCCATTTAATTTACACCTCTAAGATGAGCTGATAAGGAATCAGAAGATTCTTCAACAAACAAAAAATATATAGTAAAGACATGATTCAGCAAAATTAATGATGGTCTCAAAAATTATTTGTATTTCTTACTCAAAAGATACTGCACAAAAAAATAGGTGATCATAGCTATATATGTATAAACATTAAAGTAATTTTATTAAAGTAGACCTTACCCTATTCTAACTATAAATACAACTGCAAAACCCAAAGTTATTAATGTAAACATTGTCATTCTAATTTCACCAATACTTGTTGATTAATATTTTGCTTCAATCTATGGGTTTTTGAATGTGAGTAAATATTTGTTCATCAGATGACTATTTAATTTATTAAATATAAATGGAATTAAATTATTTTTGATTTTCTTATTATTATTTTATAATAAATAGTTATTAAAATTAAAATTAAAAATAGAAATTCCTTTTTTAATTAAATAACAATCATTCTAAATTTCAATTAAATTATGTTTTATAAGTGTTTTTATTAGCCTTTTTCCTCCACTGATTGTAAACCTTAATAACTGAATCATAATTATAAGTAGGATAATACATCCTGTAGAATTTCATCTTCTCAAAGTCATTAATAATACAAAAATCTTAATGAAATACTTTTTATTAAGTAAAATTTTAAAACATTCTAACTATAGAAGCACCTTTAATCTTAGATCTTACACTTTTGAATTCTACTCTATTACTTTATTTTGGAGTTGCTTATTTGTCAAAGAAGACAGTAATAGAATCTTTATTTTCATCTAAATAATGTCTTGATTACTCTAATTCATCATAAGACTCTTGCTTATTATGTATATCTTACATCACTCTCTTCATCTACAGATTTTTCATCTTCCTCATCACTTTCCATTTCCCTCTCTTACATTCTAATTGTTTTTATTGTTCTTTAATAACATAAATTTGCACTTCTTCTTTTAAATTCTAATTCATTAAATACTCTAGATTTTTCTTTTCGTTTTCTTTTATATTTATCCTATCTTTCTTATTCAATTGAATATTAATGTTTTGCTAATATTAATTCTTTATTTAAATTAAAATAGATATCTTCACATATTTCATGTCCTTATTTTCTACAAAGTAAGCATTTCAAAAATAAGTTATCATAATTTTATATCATTATTCTATCTCTAATCTAATAGAATTAATCTAAATCAGTATCCTTTAATTTCTTAAAGAAATCACCTTAAGATATATAATAAACAGTTGAAAATCCTTCACTTATAAAAAATAGTTTCTTATTCTATTATTCATTAAACAATGATTTCAATCCTATACCATCTCCTGGTTTCAAATTCCCCACAATAGTTTTGTTTTCTCCAAATATTACATTTATATTTCCCTTTAATAAAATATATAATCCCTAATCATTCACTAATTTCTCTTGAGGAGTTAAATTAATTTCTTAAACACTTTCAATTAATTCTCTTAGTAATTTCAATGAAAAATTATTCACAAGTACTGGTTACTTTAATAATAATAATCCTTTATCTTATTCATTTAATTCTTACTTTAATTATGGACTCAATTTACAAAATATCTTCTTCTCTTAAGTAGATGGTTGATGTTTATATACTAATCGAAGATAACTAAATTAAAATATAGATTATTTTACTTTTCTACTCTCTTTTATAAATCTGAATCAATATTTCTTTTCTTCATATAATGACTCAATATTTCTAAATCATGTTTCACTTTACTTTTATCTGCATCCAAATCTTTCAAAATAGAAGTTATTGTATTAAACACATATGCAAATATACATGATGAAAATAGAGTTAAACAAATACTAACCAATACTTCATATGGATTTATTGGGGTAATATCACCATAACCTACTGTAGTCATTGTTGTAATAGCAAAATATAAACCAGTTAAATAGATTTCAATCCAATGTGAATCTTCCAAGCCTCTTTACACTATCCAATTCCTTTCCATTGAATGTTGTCCTATACCTATCCAAACACAAGCAAAACAATGAGCAAGTAATACTACTGTGATTAATAATTTCAATAATTTAAGATGATTTTTAAATTTACCTCTTGGATCAATTTCATACTTGAATACTTCCATAAATGTTGATAATTCCTTTAATTTTAATATGAATAAGTATTTTAGAGGAGTAAATGTTGAAAGCAAGAAAACTATTAATCCCAACAATCCTCCAAAATCAATTAAGAATTCCTTTCGAAAATATTATATAATTATTTTTCTTGTTTATGTTATCAAAATCCCCTTATTATATATCTACACATTCAATCTCATTATTATATCAATTGTCAAAATCACTATCTCAACAAAAAATATTGGCATCTAAATATCAATGAATTCATCCAATTGATTTACAAATGAATCTGATAATGGAAATATGAAACATAAATGTAATACCAAAAGAAATTTTAAGAAACTCCAAAATATTAACATAGGATGACTTGCCTTAATACTAGTAAAACTTCGATGCTTTACCATAGTCATCAAACTGGATACTAAGACTTATAAACTTACATTCTGTTATTTGTATTGATAATATTATTTTTCAAATTATGAAGAGTCTTTCTCCTTCTTTGATTGTTAAATATAACTACTTGAAACATCATTGAAAGCTTGCAATTATTATTTACTTAATAGAGAGAGATTCTTAATTTTTGTATATTTCCTTAATTTTTATATTGCTTAAATCAAAAGTTCCTTTAACCTTGTTTATATATTAATCTGTCTTAATTTTATTTGACCTAGAGCATCTTAAAATAATAGTCGTTGTTCTCCATTAGGAGAATGCACCTAAACATGACTAGCCTGAAGATCATTGAGGTATAGTTAATTCATCAATTATTAAATTCAATTTATAATATATTAGAATGATTCAAATTATTTGAGAGAAAATAAAATGACTTTCAATAAATTATAAACTGCATTTTAATTTTAATTCAAATACAAAGTCAAAAGCCATAATTGTATTTTTTGACTTTTTTAAAAAGAAGTGTTGTGATTACTAATATCATTTTATTAAAAAGATTGATTATTGAAAAAGAGATGAATCAATTTTATATCCAATCAATACAAATAAATTTAATATATTTTATAAAAATATTTAAATAGGAAGAAAACATTCTTTAATATATCAGAAATTTTGTAATTCAATAAACAAATTGAAGAATAGCTTAAATAAATATATTACACTTTATTTATATATATAATAATCTGAAAAATCAATAAAAAAACCATATAAAATCATAAACATACTTATAATAATAATTTAAAAATAAATTACATAGAAATAAAATGAACTAAATAAGTAGAATTTAAAAGTAAATAATTTTTGATAATCCTAAATTTTTACTATAATAGAAATAATGTTGATAAATGAAATTAGAAAAATAAATAATAATATATTAAGGATACATTATTATTTTATTTCTATTATCTTTTAATAATAATAATAATAATTATTATAATAATAATATCAATAAGAATAGGTTGCTTAATTAATATAATTGTTATTTTATTTTGAGTATAATAAAATGTTGATAAAATTAAAATTAAAACAATCACGAAATCATTGACAAATTCAATTTGTTTCTTTTAGCCTATTGAACAGAAAATGTATTTGATAATAAGGGTCTAAGTAGTAATTTAACTCCATTACTTTTAGGGGATGTATTAATTTTTTTCTTACTTGCACTTTACCTTGTAGTAGATGGTTAATCTTCAACTCCTGTTAGTTATTATTAATTTCTTTTTTAGTAGTTATTTCTTAGAGATTTAGTATCAAATATTAATTTTTGAATTGCATTCTTTTTAAAATTCATAGATTCATTATCTGTATCAATTCCAAATAATTCCATAAATTCTGCAAATATCTTCATCTAAGATTTGAATGTCTTATTCATAACATTAAATTAATCTTCAAGAGATAAAAAATCTTTTAAATTTGATTTAAGTTTTAATGCATCTTAAACATCAACTTTATTAGCCTTAGATTTTTAGTAATCTTTAATACGATCTATTTATTAAGCAACATCTTCAAGTTTATAAAATTCCATTTATTTATTAACATTTAGCTTAATAGTATCTTCAATACTACATATAATTTATTCTGATAATTGTTTAGCCATTAATAACCTCTATTCATCATAATATTGATAACATTTAGTGATTTATTTTTAGGTATCTTAAATTTAAATTAACATTTTTTAAGTTAAATGTTTATGATCTTCTTATTCTTTTTTTTAAATTATCAAATCCATTTTTGTCGCCTTTTATAATAATTCATAATCTGTTGCTTTAATTATTTTACGAAATCCTTATACTTCTTGGAAATCTTTGTCTACAATATCAGATAATTCTTTAATTTTGGGCAACAATTATTCTGACAAGGAAGAAAGTTGTGATTGTGTAGCAAATAATTTGGATGAATCTACAAATTCTTAAAATTCATGTAATTTAACTGTTGTAGTTAAGTCTGAGAGAATGAACTAAAGGGAAATTTATCAATTACATAATACATCTTATTTTTTGATTATTTCATTAATATTAGTATTGGTGTATCGTTTAAGATCTATAAGTTGTTCACTTGTATGATGAAATCTACATTCCAAGAGATCTAACTATTATATGGTTATATCTTTAGGTGCAAATTTGGCTTAGAGATGTGTCATATGATCACTTATCTATTCTTCAAAAAGCAGATGAAAATCTTAAGTATTAATATATGTATTAAGAGATTCTTGAATAGTTATTAATTAATTGTTGAATTGTGTTTATATCTTGTTGAAATCTCCTTCATATTATCTTTAAAGTTTGCGTATTTCCATTTAGATATCACACAAATCTTCTTGGCTTGGTTTTTCATTGATTTACTGAGTAAGCTGTTAGAGAGTATGATCTTGAGTATTGAATTTATACATTATAGCATCAGTCTATTGTCTAGATTAATCTCTTAAGAGATCAATTTTTAAGCTAATTGAATTATTTAGTTCTGTAGAGATCTAGTTTATCAATTTATTTTTTGGTTTAAATGATAATTTCTTTGGAACAAAGTTTTATTTGCATCTCAATTAATATAGTTTATCTGTATCGAATTCAAAGATATCACTTAAACCTATGATATAATCTAAGAGTATTGATAATATTTCTTCATCCATGTGAGAGATATAAAGAAATTAATAATTACTTGTTTATTTTGCATATATTTTGATAATTAAGAAAATAAAAGGGGGAAAAGTCAATATATATTTAGAAATAAGTAATAAGAATAATAAGAAAATACTCAGTAAAATGCTGAATAAATATTTGATTAATATACATTGCTTACTTTCATAATATATTGACTAGATTATGGAAAATAACCCAAATCATTAAGAATAATAATAAATCTGTTCCAATTCCAGAATAGTAGGCATCATAACTGGATCTAAAGTATTCTTTAACTTTAAAATTCATTTTGATTGCTAAACAAGCACTAACCATCAAGAATATTACAACATAAATTGCAATTCCAATCCATCCATCTAATATTATTCATCAATTTCTACCCATTCCCAATATACCTGCAATAATACCAGCATTCAATGATCCATATACTCTAAGATTTTTAAGTTGATTTGTGTTTTATTTTAATCGTTCCTAATTAACTTCTAGATCATCTAATTCAATTTTTGGTTCTTCCATTAATTAATTTAATTAAATTATATTTATTACTTTCCATCATATATATATATATATATTTAATCATAATCTTGAATATGAATTTATGATTAATATATAAAATAGATTATAGTAATCAACATTCAAGTATATTTATATACATTATTCCAATAAAGAAGTTTAGATATATAATAAATATTGAATAATAATAATGAAGATTTAACAATTATTAATTTATTGAATATAATAATGATGTATATTATTATTATTTCAAAATCTCACACAATTTGTAAATAAGTATTTGACTATTTTGGAAAAAACTAAATTTTGAATATCCAAATCTTTGGCATCTTGATTATCAGCTTTAAGTAATGATACCATTTTAGCAATCTCCTCACTTAATTTTTCAAGCTTAACACGTTTAGAAAACTGTTTTTATAATTTCTCAAATCTTAAATTAGATTTCACACTCATATACATCAAAATTACCAGAACTATACTCTATAGAATAATATCTATACCTATTAAATATAGAGGTAGCATCTTTTAGATTATTCTCCATACCTGTTTAGAATATTCGAATATAATTAATATCAAAGTGTTATACCATTTTCTTCTATTTCTCAAATCCATTCGCTTTTAGTAATTTAACACCCTTAACTAATAATTTTATTCACTATTGAATTCTTATTTGATAAGAGTCTCTAAAAGAATATTCACTTTAAATTAATTCAAGTATATCTATATTGGTGCTCTGCATACTGGACATGAGTTGTAATTTTGATAGAAGTATTTATTTCGAACACATGGTTTACAAAATGTATGACCACATGTTAAAGTAATTGGTTGTAACAGTGTTTATAAACATATTGGACAATCAAAAAGTTGTTGCATAATTAATTAATAATGGACTAATTTGACTATATTAATATACTTAATTCACTATCTTAACTTAAATATATTCTAAAATACTCAAATGCTACACTCTTTATTATAAATTCATACCTCAAGATTAATTCTAATCAAAATATCTGCCTCTATATCAATTAATTATTTAAGATTTTTTCAATATATACAAAATCTTAAATAAAGAAACAAAGAAAAAGATTTTTAAACTTACAGATATTTCTATTAATTAGGTAGTTTAATTGAAATGAGATAATTACATAAAAGAAGTTTATGTATTTTTAATAAACTCTTTCTTATTATTAATTAGAAATTAATGGATGGTATAATCTAATCAATATATATATATAAAAACAATTACAAATAGAATTCTTTTTAATAAGGCTTATATATAAATACAGTTATTAAGATTTAAAATATTCTTAAACAATTAGTATTATTAAAAAGATTTATTTGTTTAATAAATGTCTAAGATGTCTTTATTATTATTCTGAATAATTTATATAGTAAACATTATTGTTATAATAAAAGAAATTTGATTTGCAATATATTTATACATTAGAATAAGAATTATATTTTTAAGAATATTAATCTTTAATTTTTGGATAATAAAAAGGGTTGCAACATTTTTTATCAATACATAAAATAGTAAGTTTAAATTTAAGTAGAAAACAAAATAAAATTACATGTTTAATAACTTAATATGGGTTTTATATTATAAATACATGTTAGAAATGGAATAAGTTTGATTTGTGTTGGGTTAGAGTAATGTTAATTGATAATGAATTGATTAAGTTATTAATAAATTAAGAATGTTTTGGATGATGAAAGATTAGAAATAATGAAGAGAATTAAGTTTATTAAAATATTCATTTAAATTTTTAATGAATATTATATAGAAATAATTGTTGTATATTTATCATATGAATGAGTGATAATTTAATAATTATATATTTATTTATAATATGTAATAAATTGGACACCAGATCTTATCAAAATGGTAAAGAAATAATTCTATCATTTTAGGTACTAAACAAATTACAATTATAGAGCACTATTTTAGTATGAAGTTAAAGAAGAAGGGTATATTATGGGACAATTGATAGAAAGAAATGAGGATATTTTGAATGTGGTCATTCACACAATTCGTTTTACTTATAGATAAGGATTTCAGGCATATCAATGTTAAGATAGTGCATTGACAACAGATTCTGGATGGGGTTGTGTAATAAGAGTGGGATAAATGATGATGGCAGAACTCTTAAAAAGGCATTTGAAGTGTTTTTATAATGTGGATCTGTTTTCGATTCCTCGTCTTTTGTAGGAAGTTTTATAATTGTTCAAGGATGATGATGAAATGGAAAGTTAGAAAGGTTTTGTAAGACCATCAAAGTATGGATTTTCGATTTAGAAGATAATGAGAGTAGCCTATAAGGAATGGGGTAAGAAACCTGGTGAATGGTATAGTCCAAATTAGATAGTTTAGGCAATTTACAAAATTCTATCAGAGAATAATATCACATGTAATTTTAAAATTTAAGGGTAAAAGATTGTTGTGGTTTGGGTTTTGTGCCATTCTACGAGAGCTAAATAGATCTAAGAGCTATATTTTAAGAGATGTGCATGGTTGAGAATTGTTGTTGTTAATAGAGAACATTTTCTATTGAGTAATTTTTGAGAGCATTGGAAAAATTGGAGATTGGTAAAGAAGAAGTAGTATAAGTTATGCATGGTAATGATTCAATAAGTGATGTTTGTTATGATGATCAATCAGAATAGAATAAGAAGGAGATTGGAAATTTGATAAAGAAATATATTTGTTAAAAATGTTTTATACCTATTAGAGCAGTAACAGTATGTTTATTAAGCAGAATTGGATGTGATTAGCCTAATCCAGATTATATATAAGCAATTAGATAATTTATGAAGAAGAAATATTTTGCTGGTATGTTGGGAGGTAGACCTAAGGAAGCTAATTTCATTGTAGGTTTTGTTGATAATAAATTTGTTGTATTGGATCCACATTTAGTATAAGAAGCTAAGATGAATCCTGAAGAATATATTAAATCATGTTTTCCAGGTGAAGCTTTATTTATGAGTGATAAAGAGATTGATTGTTCACTTGGATTGGTATTCTATTTAAATAATATGGATGATTTGATTGAATTGATCTATGATATCTAAGCACATTAGTAAATAAACTTTTTTTCATTTGCTCATCTTTAACATTGGAAATACTAAGAGACGAAAAAAGAAGAGTAACTTCAAAATATTAAAGAAATGAAAGAATTCTTAAGTGAATTTTAAGTACAATAATAACAATAATAAATATTGAATTTAGAGATTTCCACATATCAAGAAGCACATTAAAATGAAATTGAATACTTTGATCAATAACCAATTCTAAAAGAAATAGATTCAAGTTATGAAGAAATTTGAAAAATTTTAATTATTTTTACTATTCAAAATACGAATTTTATTATAATTAATCTTAGTTATTTCTAAAAATATTAATTATCAAACAAAAAAGAACATTAATCTATAAAATTCTAATTTCTTAAATCCATTATTTTTATAAGATTATGACATTAAAACTTAATATATTTATAATTTTTATGTTATTAGAATACTATTCAAACTTTTAAACTCACATATTAATATCAACAATTTAAAAATGATATCTATATTAATAAACATAAATCTCTATTTGTTTGTCTATTTAATTCTTATCAAAAATTAATTATATTTAAAGTATTATAGAGATACTTAAAGATTGTTTCTTCATAAATACGTTTTTAAATTATAAATAAATAAATGAAATATTATAAGCAAGGACAATTTCTTTGTTACATCGGAACATGGATACCTTTTGTTATATTAGTCACAATATTTCTATACTTTTATGTAGTGTATGTGTAGGTATATGATGCCTATTAATGTTCAAGACCTATTTGTTGCCTCGTATAAGATCAGAGTATATTGAAAGACCAGTAGTAGAAATAAATACTTACTTGATTCAATTAATACACATCAATGACTATGTCTTCAGCAATTCAACAGTGGTAATTACAATATTATTGCATACATTACTTGTTCTCTTTTTAATTACATTAATAAGAGTAGTAATAACATTACCTGGAAGAGTACCTTAAGAATGGTTAAATAAAGTAGAGGGAGAAATAACTAAGATGATAGAAAATGAGGAGAATATGATCAATTTTCATAAAAAAGGTTCATAGACATCAACATCATTCTCTTCAGAAATAGATGATGAATAACGATTATAATTGAATATAAAAGCAAGATTGGAATTGATAGATAAGTCTGGTCATAGATTTTGTAAAAACTGTTAATCATTCAAACCAAAACGTTGTCATCATTGTCGTTAATGTAAGACATGCTGGTTGAAAATGGATCATCATTGTTAATGGCTCAATAATTGCATAGGTTATAACAATTATAAATTGTTTATCAATCTACTTTGTTATTCATGTATAACATATTATCTATATATATATATAGGGTTACTTATAAGTTTTATAATGATAACATATAGTCGTTGTTATTATGATACATTAAATTCATTTTCATCTGATGGTAAACTATTCCTAATTTCATTTACATTTCTGTATTGTTGTTTCTTGTGGATACTATTAACAGCATTCACATTATTCCATTTATGGTACTTTAATTCATTATAATGAGATCAATAGGGCAATCAAATCAAACATCACAACCCTTGAATATTGTGAGAACAAACCTAGACAACCACTTTAGAAAAGTGCTTTAGAGAACTTTATTGAAGTGTTTGGTATCAATCCTTTAATTTGGTTCTTACCAATTTAACCAAATACGAAACCAATATTGGATTGAGAATAGATAAATAAAAATTAGATAATTATATAATTATATTTTTATATAATGGAAAAAATAGATATGTTAGTTAAAGTAGTAATAATTGGAGATACAACAGTAGGAAAGACAAACATTATGACATAATATTGTGATACTAATTTTAAAATGAATTCTCTTCCCACAATTGGTGCTGATTCTAGAGTAAAGATGATTTAAATGAATGAAAGAGAAACTATTAAAATGATGATATGGGATACATGTGGTTAAGAACGTTTCAAATCTATTACAAAAAATACATTTAAAGGAGCATAAGGATTTGTATTGGTGTATGATATAACATCAAAAAGCAGTTTTGAACATGTAGAAGATTGGCTAGAAGTAAAACTTAACTTAATCCAAGTCAATCAAAGATAATATTGATACTAATACAGTATCAATTGTATTAGTTGGAAATAAATCTGATCTTGATGAATTGAGATAGATTTCAAAAGAATAAGGATAAGCTTTGGCCAATAAACATAATCTCAATTTCTTTGAAACTTCAGCCAAAATGGGAATTAATTTAAGTGAAGTTTTTGTTTCACTTGCTAGAAATATTAGAAAAATCATTAATTCTGCTAACAAAGATACAGAAATGTTGACTACAGATAAAACTAAAAGTACAAAGAAGAAAGGTTGTTGTTGATATTCCATATACTTAGTTAATTAATCAATATTATTATATTTTGTCTCTACATGTTGGACACTCTGCTTTTATAATCAACCATTCTTTTATGCATTAATTGTGGAAATAATGATTGCATTTTAGAATTTTGATTAAATCTTTATCATTTATCTCTTATAAACATATTGTACAAATTCTACTCATTACATATAATATTTATACTCTGCTTATGTGATTTCATCTACACCTACTAAAATTGGAATGTCATCAAACCAATTTTTTGGTTTCCTTGGCTTCACTATCCTTAAATTTTATGGAATCTATTGAGGTAATTGCTTTAAATTTAAGTTCATATAAATGTTATAAAGGAACCTTTCTAGATTATACTTTAGTTACATAAATTGCCAAGGGAATCTTGGTTATTGTATTTAAGTCTTATGTATCCTCTTCTTTATTTCTTATACTCTCTCATAAGCATCTTTAAATTACTATTATCTTCTTTCATTCATTTGATTATTTATTTCTCATTATTTTACTATATTTCAATCTAGATTTATACAAGATAAAATCTTTTATATTCTACAGATATATTATTTTATACACAGTAATATTCATAATAATAATTATAATTCACTAGACAAATCAAGAATTTATGATAAGTATTAAATTTTCTAATTGTCCATATACTTTAATGATTATTATCTATGTTGCTATAATTCACTACTCAACTACTCTATTATCTTATCCCTATTTCTCAACAAATTCTAACAATTCTATATATCTTATGCATATTAATTCTTCAATTTAGCTACCTCCTAATCTTTCTCCAATTACAATGCTTACAAATACTCCTTCTAATATTATTTCTCAGCTTCCAAATCCTTCTAACTCTACTCAGTCTTCACCTTACTTACTCCTTAATTTTATTAACTAAATTGCATAATCTCTTAATCCTTCTTACTCACCTCTTTTGTCAATAATTATAATTTTGTATTTAAGTAATTGATCTTCACTGTTAATTCAATATTATTACTTTCTATTCATATACCTATTGCATTAATTAAATTTCTGCTTATTTCAACTCTTCCAAACGAGCAATCTCTGAATTCATCTTATCGTTATTTAATTTAAATATTTTATATATCAAAAATATTACTAATCATCCTTTATCTTATATATCAAATTAACTAATTAAAATAATCATTCTCTCATTAAACTATTCTATATGTTCCATCAATTCCTCATTCCTTCTTACTCTCTTCTTGGTTTTATACTCTAATCTTTTCAATTTAGTATAATAAAGTAAATTAAAAACTATTCTCGATTCACATAAACTTAATCCAATCTCAAATTGAAATCCATTTAAAAATATATTCAAATCCTTTAGGAATAATAATATTTCTCTTTTTATTCTTTTGAGATTTCAATAATCTTTTTATAAATAGAACAAAATACTCATCCCTTTGTTTTATATATATAAAATTAGATTAGTTTCAAGCATTCTCATTAAAAGATAATATTGATTATCAAAATCTCTAACTAAAAATTGATTAAAGTTTTTGATTTCCTCATAAGTTTCAAATTCTTCTTCTCTATTTAATTAAACATAAGCTATTAATAAGTGAGTATAGTTTTAATAGAATTCTTGAAATGCCTATCCAAAATACTTTATTATTTTAACAAAACTTAACCATTATTTTGATTGTTCAAACTAAATTAGCATTCTATAATAATTACAAAAAAAATGTATTTCCCATTGTTGATTATATTGTTTTTCCTCTTCATATTAATTGAAATTATCAAACTACTATGGTTTCTTCATTTAATAAATACTTCCTATTTTGTCACCTCTAAGTATTAATACGAATATTAAAATATATATTCTTGATAAATACTTATAACTTTTGTTCATCAAATCTTAATAATAAACACAAATGAAGAAAAGGAACAAAAGTAAGTGGTTATTGAATAATATAAAATTTTAATAATGTTAAAGGAATTAGAGAAATATCGTGTTCCTGATAATTTTACTGGTGCTCGTTTATAGATTGCATGCACATAAATAATTGATAGTTGGGTAGCTTTGAAACTAGCTTTTGAACATTAAACATAAACAATCCAAGAGAGTCCTGAGAATATCAAAAAGCTAATGGCTTACTAATTAGCAGCATATATATACAATTGCGAGACTGAAATAGATGACTTAGTATAATTTTTATCAGTTTATTTGGAATAATACTTATAGTTGATAATTGAAGATAATTCAGATCGATATGTATAATGTTGTTTTAATATTAAAAGATTGCAGAGAGACTATTGGATGTGTTTAATGATTTGGAATAAGATAAAGAGGGTAAGTATTTGAAGTTGCTAGAAGATATTAGAGTATATAATGAACAGAATAAAAATGTTAAACATGTGGCTAATATTGAAGATTCAGATGAAGAGTCTGAAAATGATGAACCTCCTTAATTGGTTCAATAATAGTAGTAATAAATGCAAGTTGAAGAAGAGGAAGATGATGTTGATTCGGATGGTTATGAAACAGTTAAACCAAAGAAAAGGTACAATAAGCGTAATTGATTAATGTTAAGCTTTATATTAATTTGTTTAATTCGGATTAATTAATATTATAATATTAGAAATACAAATATATATTATAATTTTATATGTAACAATAATCTAAATAGTTGGCAAAGGAGGAAGAATAAAAGAAAGTGGAAAATCATATTTTGGAGAAGTTTGAATTATTGGAATTCAAAGGAAAAGGAGCATATGGAGTAGTATGGAAGGCACTTGATCGAAAAACAAATTAGATAGTAGCACTCAAGAAAGTAAATGCTATTAATAGGATTTAGATTTTTGATGCTTTTCACAATGTTACTGATTCTTAAAGAACATTCAGAGAAGTGATATTCTTGGAGTAACTTAAGAATCATGAAAATATAATCAAATTGACATCTGTTATTAAGGCAGAGAACAATAAAGATTTGTATATGGTATTTGATTACATGGAGACAGATGTGCATAATGTATGTATACTTCATTGAGAACTAGGTTATTAGAGGAAAAATTCTGCAACCTATTCATCAAAAATATATAGTTTATTAAGTGTTGAAAGGATTGAAATATTTACATTCTGGTGAAGTAATTCATAGAGATTTGAAGCCTTCTAATTTATTGATCAATTCTGAATGTAAAGTCAAGATAGCAGATTTTGGATTGGCCAGAAGTGTAGCAAAACCAGATGATAACACAAATCCAATACTCACTGAAAGTGTGGCTACTAGATGGTATAGAGCTCCTGAGATATTATTTGGATCTTAAGATTATTCCAAAGCAATTGACATATGGAGTCTAGGATGTATTGTGGGAGAGATGATAATTGAAAAAGCCATATTTCCAGGGACTTCCACTATGAATTAGATTGAAAAGATAGGAGAACTATTAGGACGACCTACTCCTGATGATCTATAATCTATGCATGCTCCAATGGCATAGTAGATTATGCAAAACATTACAATTAAATAGAGAAGTAGTTTTGTGTCAAGTTTTCCAGCTGCCACAGAAGATGCAATTGATTTCCTTAAGTAAAATTAGAATCTGTATATTTTAAAGGAAAACTTTGGTCTACAATCCATCTAAAAGAATGACAGTAGAATAGGCATTGGAACATAATTATATCAAAGAATTTAAGAAAAAAGAGTTGGAATCTAAAAGAGGTATAATATTAATTGTATAAATAATAGATTCACCATTTAACACATTCATGGATGATAATTAAAAATATTCCATTAAGTAATATTAGGATGCTCTATATAATCGTATAGTTGAAAAAAAGAGAGTTGAATATAAATAAGATCTAATTAAAAATTCGAATAATGGAAGTGTTAATACAAGTATTGACAAGTCTGCATCTCCGACTAAGAAGGAGACATCCATTGTAAAGAAAGATGCTGAAAAATCCAAATAAGATAATGATATTCAGAAGTATACGAGAGGTTTTCATTAGAAATCTTAGTCGTACTCTTAAGGGTAGTTTATGGGTAGAACAGCTTCATAAGAGGATGTTTAGTTTTAGGTCTAGATGTATCAAAGTCCTACTTAAAAGAAGCAATAATCAATGTTTCCAATGGTCGATTCCAATAGTCCATTAAATAAAGGGAATAGAAGATCTTCTTTGGACAAGAAGTTGTTGAGCACCTTGACTGCGTCGATGTAGAGTACTCTATCTCAATAGTAATTGTCAAGAAAAGGAATACAAGGTTCGATATCGAAAACAAATGTTTTCAATAAATCTATGATAAATACATAATACAACTCTTTATTATAGAAAAAGAAATGAACTTAATATATTAAATTCCTCTTTATACGAAATTAAATATAAGTAGGGGGAGATTATTATAAATATAATAATGAAAATTAACATTATTTTAAATCTAATCAAGTTAAAAAAAGAAAGAAGATAAATATAAAAAATATTAGACAGTATTCATCCTGAAGAATAAAATTTTGCATGCAATAAATAAGAGGAAATCCTTTATTATAATATCTATATTTTGACCATACTTCCTATTTTGAGAATATTGGAGATTGTTAAACATACTTTGATTGAGAAGTTTATTACAAAGATTCCAGCATTTCATCCTTTTACAAAATAATAAGTTGAAGAGGAATCCTTACATATTTTCAATGATTTTCTTGATTCTTTATCATAGAAAGGATAGATGAATGTTAATAAATATATACACAATATCATAAAAAAGTAGATAACCTATAAAGAAGTGTTAAAATTAGCTACTACAGCTAAAACTCATTTAATGTAGCCAAATGATTTCTAAAGATAATCATCAATATAATTAAAACATATAAATGGGAATGTGAAAGTTAAATCAAAAATGTCTGATTTTTATGAGAATACTGCAGATGATCATTTATAAAGGAATTTAATAGAAAATAAGACATTTGATTTTCTTTATATTTTTATAGGAGATATACATTATCATAAATTATTAGAGGATCCAGATTATTTATACAATTAAATTTAACATATGAATCCAGATTATTGGAAAACCAAATATACACCACTTATGCATAAAATAAGTGAATGTATAGATGAAGATTTGGAAGTATACATTAAATAAGATGATAAAAATTAAAATAAATAAGAATAATAATAATAAAAATAAGAATATTGTTGTATACTTAGAGCAATTTGTTAATATGCAGTAGATTTATTAAAAAGTATTAATGTAGCTACATTGTATTATTATTCTGTTAATTATTCATTTCAAAAATTTGTGAATCGTTTGAATGGAAATGAGGATTTATAGAGAATATTGTATTTGACTTAAAATCATTATAAGGAAAGGAATTATAAATAACATATAAAAGACTATTTAAGAGGATATTCAAATTTCATAAGAGAGATTAGAAATAAGTCTTTGGTTGATAAGGGAGAAAGAGAGCTGATAAAAATAATTTTAAATTTCTGATTTTTTATTTATTTAATGTTAAAACCACATCAAGTGTTGCTGCATGAGTTTGCTGAGCTGATATTGAATCAGAGAGTAGAATAGAAACCATCAAGTTTGAGACATTCAAATGTCTTGAATTTATGGTAAATAAAAGGAATATGGGTGAATGAGAATTCAGATTTAAGATTGCAGATCAATTTCTACATATAGAAATGGAATACTCGGATTCTAGTTGAAGTTTGGGTCTTAGAAGTAATCATAACAAACGAGTAATAGAACAACACTAAAAAGATAATTTAAGATAAGCCATTAGGAATTTAAGAAAACACAACGACTAGCACTATTGTAATCAAGGAGTATATTAGCAATTTTGGCCAATCTTCCACTTTCTCAAGAAATCCCTTCTTTCAACAAGCATATGAAGATAGTATACAATATTGAGAACACTTCAATTCCAAACCATTTCCAAACTATCAATTTTCCAGTGATCCCTTGTTCAAGTAAAAAGGTCACTTATTTGTACATGCAAGTCCATTATTAGAAGGAAATTATATTCTCTCCATAACCAAAAATTGCATAAAAACCAATCACTTAAAGAGAAGATACTGAGATGAGCATCTTGCATCAAATTCAGAAGAATTTCCGAAAGAGAACCAAAGCTTCTTCTTAAATTGCTGAGACTCTTGAATACTTTAATTTAATAAATTAAACTTTGAAATGAATTATTACTATATATATATATATATATTTATTAATAACTGAATGATCATCGATCCAACTTTTATAGTCAAAATCACTTTCTATGCAAGCATGGTGATTTTCATTTCCCTAACATTCACAAGTATTCTCTTTGGTTAACCTGATAAGCTGACAAGAGGATTTGATCCAGATGGTAATACAAATATATTTATATATATATATAGGTATTGCATGTGGTGCTGATTTTGGATCAAATGAATATCCTTATATATATTTCAGTAATCCTACACCTACTACTCAACATTAATCAGTTTGTGTAAAATCATGTCCTAAACCTGATCATAAAAATGGAAGTACATATAAAATTCAAATCATTTAGTGCCAAAACAATTAGAATGTGTCCCTAACTCTAATGTTTAGTAATGTTAAGCTAAATTCTCTATTGATAATCCAGAGGATTAGTTTTTAATATATGATACTTTCCTTTACAAAGGCAATATTTGTATGCCTAGAAATTTAGCTTATTATGAGGCAATCAAAGATATAGCAACACCTCCTTCTAGATTAACAAATACAAGTGATGTATTTTAAAATAAATGGATGCTCCTTATTTTTATATTTATTGCTGGTATTGCATCTAAATTATTGCTCATCTAATTAAAGGCTAATACCTAATATAGTGTTTGGGCATTAACATTTGGATTATTTATATTTGTGGGAAGTCTAGGAATTATTTTTGTTTCTTAAGCTAGAGAAGCTATCTCTAATTCATTAGAAACTAATTCAATATCGTCTTTTTAGGTTGATGAAGAATATATTTTGAAAATGACTAATGTACCAGATCCAACTAAATTGATCTTTTTATCATTACTTTTTGTCATATTGACATTTTATGGAGCTTATTTCTTATATCACAATTATGATAGAATAAAAAATCTGTCATAATTATTTGAATAAGTTGAAAAATTTATGGCTGAACATGAATATCTATAAGAATTCTCTTATCCAACAATTTTAGTCCTTAATTTCTTTCTATTTTTAACCATCTATACGATTCTGTATTAAATTTATATATTAAAAATAGTTCATTAAGATCTTGTTTTGTAATTGATTTTGAATAGATTGGACCTTTTGAAAAGATTTAAGGAGGTATTCTTTATTATTTCCAGTACTTGATATTTATTTTTTTCTTATGGGGAGTCTAAATAATTTTTGGATTTAATAACTACATCATATCATCATCCTTAGTGTAATGGGTTCAAGTTGGTCATGTTCATAGATAAGAATAGGATTTTCAATATAATCATAATTAATCTTCACTTGTTTTAACAAGATATTTTTTATAAGAAGCCTTTTATAATTTAGGTAAGATAGCTTTTGCTTCATTTCTATTATTGATTTCACCAATTAAATTTGTATGTGATGCTTTAAAGGATTGGGCAATTAGAAGAAAAAATGAGAAGTTTAGAAATTTCCTTACAAAATATTGTTGCTTACCTTTTATTGAAATTTACAATAAAACAAGGTCAATTGAAGAAGTTATTTATGTTGAGTTAACAATAAATAGAAAAAGTAATGTATCTATAAATGTTTGTTTAAAATTCATTGATGATTATTTGGAACTAAAATAGGAAGATTCTAATGCTGCAGAAATATTTGAATAATTAAGTAATTTTCAATTAATAAAGAATAGGAAATACAGTTGATTCATTTTTACTAATAACCAAAATATTCATTGCACTCTTTTGTGCAATAATATGTAAATTTATATTGAATTTTAAATACATTTCTAAAGATATGTATGAAACAAATCTAACTTGTTTAATTGCTGCAGTGATAGGATATTATGTTGCATCATTGTACTTCTAAACCTATTCAATTGTTCTTTAAGGCTTTGGCTATATCTATTTAAGAACAATGCATATAAGTAAAGCATAGAATGAGGTATATGAAAAGAATTAATAAAAAAAGAAAGATACTGCATTTGAAACATTTAAGACTATTTTTAAAGTATATCTAATTATTTAATTTTAGGATTTCTCAGATATTATGATCAATTTTGAGAATAAGCTTAGAGAATAGAAGAATGAGCAACTTCCTAATTGATAAAATTTATGTTTAGACAATTAGATATATATTATATATATAGAAAATTATATATAAATATATTATAAAAAATATAGGAAAAAAGCTAAGATGGATAAAATAATTGCTTCTGCTACAAGTGTAAAGGAGAAACTAAAAGCGCTTGAGTAGAGCTACAAAGTTTTGAACTAACAAGAGATTGAAGGAGTATATAAACACATACACACATTAGGAGAAGACTCTTTGGTATTATTGGATTAAGCATAAAAAATTAATTTTGGATACATTTTCAATGATTTACAATTATTTAAGAGAGTGAGTGAGAGCATAAGAGAATTAGATCAAATTTGTATGTACCTTAAGTACATAGATAGAAATTATGTATAAAAAGCATATTTGAAAGAATTGGGATTCTAAAGTGAAAAGCTCATTATGGAATTTAGATAGAAAGGAAACATTTTATAAAAGATGCATCTTGATACTTAGGATCTAAAAATTTAGAGATAGATGATTGAAATGATAATAAAATTATGTCCAAAAGATTTAAGTTTTAATCCTGAATTGTTTTAATTAATGTTAATCCCATTCAAATGTTATCAATAATTAAATCCTAAAGATAATGATTTATTAGACAATCTAGCAAGTGTTTTATTATAGTAATGCAATGGACAAGGATAAGCTAATCAAAATTAAGTACATGATTGGTTGGTACTAATTAGTGGAATTATATAACATGCTTATGAAGGAAATACATAGGGATTACATATATTATTAAAGAAAGTAATAATATTAATATATAAACATAGATATCTTAAGATTATTTAAGTGAATTGTTAATTAGACATAAAAATTATATGTTGGATAATTATTTTAAAAACTCTCAAGATACAATCAAAATATTTCAAGGATTGGTATCTCATACTATTTGTCAAGAAGCCATTTTTATTATTAAAACTGTGAGTTAAATGTTCTACAATATAGTGAAAGATTAGAATAATAGTTATTATTTAGATATACTAAGAGAAGTATATAAAGAATTCATTCTTACTAAAATATTAGAAAATTTATAAATGATATCACTAGCTATAGATATTTTAGATCTTTTGCTCTTCTACATCATAGGAATGTCATAAATAGATAATGAATCATTTTTACGTTCTATTAATTTAATGATAAATAGTTTAACATTAACAGCATCTTTGAGATTTTAATCAAGAGACTTTATAACACCTAGATATCAATTTTTGTAAATTATTAGATAGAATTATCATTCATTAAATTAAATTGAAGAATTTTAGAGAATTTATACAATTTTTAAAGAGAAATCATTTGAATAAACTAAATACATTTCATAAAGTAATTATTAATCTTGGGAATTTCAAAATCTAAAAAATTAGAGTACTAATAATTATTCTTTATAATAAAGAGATTCTAAAGACTTTGTTGGATTAGAGAATCTTACAAATACTTGTTTTATGAATAGTATTCTTTAAAGTTTATACATGACTGAAAGTTTTAGAAAATTTGTTTTATAAATGTAATTTCCTGATTCAAATCTTTAATTTACACCTTAAACATTAAAATGGAGTTGTCTACAAAAACTATTTACATAATTAACATATTAAAATTAAGGTTATTGTTCACCATATGAATTGAAACGATCATTGAGATAACCTTATTCTAATACAAATGATTAATAGGATGTTGGAGAATTTGTTCATCATTTTTTGGAAGATTTATTTAATGAAACACAAAATGAAGCATTTAAAACTACTATAGGAAATTTATTTTTTGGATATTAGAGACAAATTATAAAATGTTATAATTGTGTAAAACCCTAACCAAATTATGGATAAAAAGAAAAATTCTTAGGAATTGATTTGCATTTCAATAAATTAAATGATATAAATATTATAAGTATGATCAAAAAAGCATATGAAGAAGAATAAATTGAATTTACATGTGAAAGATGTAGATAAAAAACAAATAAAATTTATAAATCTTAATAATTACTTTAATTACCATCTGTCTTATTTATGACACTTCATAGGTATATATTATATTATTCATTTATTTACTAAGATTTACATATGATTAAAATAGCCAAACCATGACCAAAATCTTAGATAAAGTTCCATTTTAATTTTAAATTGATTTTAGAGAAGCATTTCCAAATAAACATCTTAATAGTTAAGATAGTGTTTATAATCTTTATGCATTCATAGTTCATTTAGTATTATTTAATTTTTTATTTATTTTAAGGGTAAAAACAGTTACTCTGGTCATTATATATGTTATGCTAGATAATTAAATAAACCTGACACTTGGATTGCTTTTGATGATACTATGATTTCGACATTTTAATATAATAGCAAATAATTGGATGAAGAATTGATGTATTATGAATATATTATTTATTTTAATAGAGCTGAAGAGGCACCCTACTTATTGTTTTATTAGAATTAATCAGGATAGCCATTGATATTTAATAATTGATTTTGTATTGATTATGAATTCCTTTAATATAAATAATGTATATAAAGTTCAAGCTTTAGATTCAATTTACACATTAAAACATCTCATGTCTCCTGTCTATTTATAATATATGTATCGCTTGAAATTCTTAATATATTAATCCCACATATATTTCTCTTTAAATTCATCTGTCAATATATAAACTGAAGCATAAGGTATACCAAAAATCATTAATTTCATTAAAAATGATGACCATCTACCTTAAATTCTTGAAATCAATGGAAGATGCTTATAAAAATATATTGCAAATAAAGAGACAGCAACTGAACCTATTAAACCATAATCTCGATATTCTTATAATTAAACATGATTTTTTAAGAATTCTCCCTTAAAAACATAATAATTCAATAATCCTCTCTTTAAATAGATTTAAATAATAGAATACATTCTTCATCATATCATGATAGAATTGAACATTACTAACCTTTGGATAGTATTTAACAGTATAATCATGATCATAGGAATCTCTCTCAGGTAATAACATTATGAATTAAATAATTAAATTTATAAAACATTTTCAATATGTTTATTAAATATCAATATAAATTAATCATTTTACTACAGCAGAATAAATAATGTTTAGTTCAGTAACTTTATTTTCCAACTTTTGAGTTGAAGATTGAATTAATTCATTTTCTAAATTTTTTGGTTCAAATTCATTTTAGATAAACTTCAAAGGATGAAGTGAGAAAAACATGTTAATTTATAATGTGTATATCTATCTTAATGTTGCTTCGTCAGTAATTTATTTACTTTTAATGGACTTAGTGATTTCTGCTATAAAATACATATAGACTTTGTTGAAAGAATCCCAAGATTTTTTATTTCTCTAATTGGTTTGCACTAATTCATCAATAATTTTTATCTTAAAAATATATAATATTATGTACAAGTTAATTAGTATTGTCAGCCTATTTCAATTTTATAAATTATGGTAATAATTTTTCATTGTAAAATTAATTCATTGTTTCATGATTAGTTTTTAAATAATTTAATACAGAATAATATTTAGCCTAATCAGATTAAAATGTTTTAATATCATTCTCCTTAAAATTTATTTCAGAGGGAGGAAGCTATTAATATTTAATAATAAATATATACTTAACCTAAGAGGATTTATATATAAAAATTATACTAGTTTAATAAATATTTAGTTGATGTAATACTAAATAATAGCTACTAAGATGGACTTATTTATAATTTGTCTGGTAATGTAAAGAATAATCGAGCGGTATTATTATTAGAAAATGAGAATATTCTCTAAACATAATCAAAGTAGTCCTTTATTTCATCAATTTTATTTATTTATTGTTCCACTTTCTTATAATTTGTTTAAAATCTATCACTATCACTCATATGAGTTGTTGCCACACTAAAATTTTCATCAGTTATAATTTAATTATTTTAATCCTTTGATAATAATAAGAATATTTCATCCCATCTGATTCTCATTTCAGGATCTACTTTTAACATTTTTTTTAATAAATTTATGTAAGATTCGTTTATTTGAACATCTTGAGGGAATTTAAGTGGTTCTGTTGTTATTTTTTTATGTAATTTATTTGGATGTTGCTCATTAAAAGGTGTCGTTCCATAGAGCATTTCATAAAAAATAACACCCAATGACCAAATATCAACTTTAGAAGAATATTTTGAACTAACCATCATCTCTGGAGCTTGATATAATAGAGTGCCAACAACTGTTTAATCTGCAGCCAAATCCATTTCTTCTATTATCTTAGCAAAACCAAAGTCTGCAATTTTAGCTACACCTTTTGAAAATAATATATTTTCAGGTTTTAAATCTCTATGAAGAGTCTTCAATTTATATAATGATTTATAGCCCTCCACTATTTGACAAAATATTTGATAAGCACGTTCTTAATTGAATCGTCTCTTTGGTTATCTATTCAAAATTTTATTTAGATTTCCCTCCTCACAAAACTCTAAGATTAAGTATGTCGATTGATCACATTAGATTACATCTATCATTCTAATAATTTTTTTCAAAATTCATACTTCACAACATTTTCACTATCTATTTATTTGTGTATTTCACGTTCTCTCTGATATAATATCTTAAGAGTTTCTATTGTTTTATTTGTCGAATCTTTAGGCAAACTTTGAAGAATTTTTATAGCCACTTTTTCTTATGCATTTCCTTTTACAAAACCTTCAAAAACTGTAGCAAAAGCACCCTAATTATATGATTTATCCATTACAGTTCCTATTTATTTTTTCTTTAGTAATACATACTTCTCTGCTATTGTTTTTGTATCTAAATTCTAAGAACTGAGTAGCATTTTTTAATTTAATAATTAATAATTTGAAATTGAAACCTGAATTAAATACTTAAATTTGCAAGAATGTCTATCTGATATATATGAAGATCCATATTATTTATAAGTAGAATTATTTTCATTTCTCAATTCTAATGTATTAAAAATTAAAATTAGTTATGTAATCACAAACTTAACCTATTTTAAAACATATTATTTTTTGTGTTAAAATATGTAATTATATTGATAAGTAAATTTATTTAATATGAAGATAAAAACATAAGAGTAACATCTAATGATATATTAATTCTTAATTGAAATCGACTAAAAATCAAAATAAAAAATAAAAAATAAAACAATATAAAATAATAAACTACAAGTGATAAAAAATAAATTTAGGCCTTTAAAATAACTATTTATAAGAAAATTAAAAATCTAAGTCACAAATACTAATAAAATCAGACTAAACTTTATGAATAATTTTAAAATTCAATATAAAATGAATAAAAAAGAAGTTCAATAGATTTAATCTAAATATATAATTAATTTTATAAAAATTAATTAAAATGAGAATTATAAAAAACTTCAAATAATATATTTTATTAAAAATTCTAATTGGATATAATAAGTATTAAACCATTTAAACTCTCATTTTCAATAATGACTGCTCTATAAAAATCTTTGCATAGTCACTCTATCAGGTTCTTGAAGATCAATTTTGGTGTCTATTCTTAGATGTCCTTAAGAATCTATAACTTCACCTATTTTAAATCTTTTGTAATTTTCTATTGATTAATTTTTTATTTCGATTATTCGTTTTGCCAAAGGAATTCCAAAAACTCTCAATTTTTTAAATGCTCTTTAAACTCTTTGTCTTTCTTAAGCTTTGTTTTTTAGCATATTCTTAAAATATCTAGAATTCTACAAAATTGGCAATTTGGATTTAAGTAATTCTTTTAATTTATCCAATACAAATTAATAAGCTTTTGAATATTCTGCTATAATTTTAGTAATTATTTTATAAAGGAAAAGAAAATTAAAGAAAGCCATCATGATAAAAAATAATGCTTAAAGTTCAGATACTGAAGATTAAGATAAATATGCTCCAATAGCTAGACTGATTGTGATCATACATATATTTGCAGAATAATAATCTAAATTATTAAGACTACTTAATTTGTAAGGTCTATAATTACTATTTAGTTCTTAATATAGATAAGTGATGAATAATACTAAAATACCTTTTACTGCTATGCTGTCCTCATAATATATAAGAGATAAGATAATTAATTCTTTTTAAAAGATCTTTATCAATTCCCAAAAGTATGCTTCTTCTTTGTATTCATGATACAAATAACCCCAATGAAGTCTAGTAGTTTTTTGATCTTAAACTCTTCTGCATTTATAAAGTCCATAAAATAAATAGATAGGAATTAAGATTCCTAATGTTAGTAAAAAAGGTAAGCAGAAATATATCATCCATTTTATATGCATAATTGTATCATATCTTTCAGATACATTAGCTTGAATCCATTTAAATCCCGAAATCTCTCTATAGGATACTAATTAAACTAAGCCATCTGTTAAATTAGGAGAGAAATAAAGGTACCCATAAATCAAAGCTGTAGTTGGAACACTAGAATTATAAGAAGCTAATTTAAAATGAGCAACTATTAAATAGAACCCTAAAAAGAAATTAATATATAGAAAAGGCATGATGATTTACCATATCATCCTACTATATTATATTTCTACATTAATTAAATCTACTAAAAAGCAATCAAGTGAATGAGTAACTGTTTATAAAGGATTTCCTACTGCTGATATTGTACTATTTAATTCTTAAGGGAAATTAAGTTAAAAGGTAGTAATGGTAACAATGATTTAGAGATAATTAGTTAGCATCTTTATTAGTATGCCTGATTGAGCTTTATTTAAATAATTTGAGATTCTCATGTTTTTGAATGGCTAAGCACGAGTGTGTTACTCAACAGTTTTGATGTTACCAGAAACTGAGATAAAAATAAATATCATCGTCATGATAATGACCCCAACAATCATCATAATATTTTTGCCTTTATCCAAACATGTTCCACAGATATATTTTTCACTTAAAGAAAATGAACCTTCTCCTCTAATATTGTATAAATCACATTATTCACAAAGTGCTCCTAAATGACCAGTATAACAAGATTTATCACCTTCATTCCATCCACCATTACAATTCAAAGGTAAATTCATACAATAACTAATTAATTTTGTATGAAAATATGGTCTCCAATATCCACTTCTTAGTTATATTTAATTTTTGTAAACAGCAATAGAAGATATATCATTCTTAATATCACACTTTTAAGCATTTAAAGTTAATGAAAAGAGTCCTTGAGTTGAATCACATTATTCACAAGAAAAATTAGTTATATTTTTGATTTCTCCAAATTAGCATTCAAAAGTCTTAACATTTATTCTAAGTTTATAATTTTCATGTTAATTTTCAACAAAATAAGGATATTATGAACCAAAAATTGGAACTTAAATAGCCTAACAACTAAATTAAAGTTGTAATACAATTTCATCTTCTGCCTCATTATTAAAATACACAATTAAATCATCTAAATTATAATCTTAAGTATCTGGATTAAATTTAATTTAGTTTACATTAGTATAATTATTAGTGAATAATTAGTCTTCATCTTTTTTAGAAATATTATATTATCTACTTTATATAGTGCATAATGATGTTTCAATTGAAGGATAAAGATTAATTTTCATATCTCTGCTTAGTGTTTAAATACGAAATATTAAATTACCATTTATGAATATTTAATTCTTCCAATCAAAAAATTGATATTTTGATATTGACTATCCTGTTGGTAATTTTACATATTTAGAATATTCTCCATTAAGAAGATAGTATGGTTATATCATAATTTCTTCAATCCTCATTGTTGAATTATGTAAATTACTAATTGTATTTAATATAGGTAATTCACCTTTTAATCGAATTGATAATCTTTCAGGAATAGAAGCAATATTATTACCATATTAAATTGCTTAATTTTTTACTATCATTGTATTAGTTTTTATATAATTCATTGGTAATTGATCTTAAAGATACATTCCCCCTCCAATAATTGCTCTATTATCAGAAATCATACAATTTTCAATTAAAAGAGGTTCATCTCCTAAAATATACAAAGCACCCCCATTATTTGATGCATTATTTGATTAAAAATTTGAAATTAGAATTTAAGTCTTAATTTAATTTAAATATAGACAAGTTCCATCTCTACCAAGATTTTAAGTACAATAATAGTTTGAAATCTGTAGATCATATAGAAACTTAAACTATATTTCATTCAAATTTCTACCACTTAGTAATGATATTTTCTCAACAATAATACACCCTTTTTATCCACAACTTGAATTTAGTACTTTTATATTATTTAGTTATTAAACTTTTGATTGTTATTAATTTTAATCTTAAAGTTATAGAGAAATCAATCCTTAGTTACATTCTTTACATATTATTTATTTTAAAAGAATTTCATACATTTCTAATTAACATTAAAGAGAAGAATATTTGAAAATCATCAATCCTGAATTAAAAGCATCTAATTGTATCTGTAAACTTATATACAAACATTATCCAAATGATTCATTGTTTTCATTATCCTATTATAATAAATTAGGGGCAGTTTGAGTATCTTATGGGCAATCATAGAAAACATCATCTACATCAGATATTAGATTCGTACAAGTAACATTTATAAATTCAAATCCTACAGAAATCAACTCAATCTTGAAATTTCGTAATCTTATTGTAACATTATTAACTATTAATTAAAATTTAATAAATACATGAAAAGGGATTTATTGATATTAATTAATTACTTAGATAACTATTTTATATATTTATTGTATCCATATAAATATGTCTTGTATTTTATAAATTAAGAAAAGATTCTTAAATTAAATAATACGATGAAATATTTTACAATGTAATTGATAATCCATATTCTACAAAAATTAATGATCTATTATTAATAAGATAATATTTTTCAAATTCATTTACAACTGTTGTAAATCTATTTAAAAATTTGAAATAACTCTATTAAGAGTTTTTAATTTCTAATTTTGAGATGAAAAGTGTTTATGGATATTAAACTAATCTCGAATAAGATATAAACACAATAGATCCTTATTATGCATAAATATCTCTTAAAATAATATCACTTATTGTAAGATTAGTTTAAGAATTATTAGATTTAAGATAAAGGAATCCCCCATATTATCGGCAATAAATATTTTGAACTTTGATATTTTTTATAACAATTTCTAGAGCTGTTGCAGATGATCCTTCGATATAAATAACTCCTCCTTATTCAATTTCTTAATAAAATTAAGTAGAAAAATTGTAAAATGAATTATTTTCAATTAATATTCTAGATGATCCTTAAGCAAATATAGAGAAACAGCCTCCAAACTATCCTATTGAATTTTAAAAACTACTATCAATTATATTCAATGATTAAACCCAAATTTATCCTATTCCAGATAAAGATTTTATTTAAAAGATTTTTTCGATTGCTTTGTATGTTACAGATTGAGAAAATCCCCATATTAAATAAGGTTAAATAATATCATAATTAAAGACATTATTATTTTCAAAACTACAATTTTTTACTTCTAATGATTTAGTAATTATTGATAAAATAGTTCCTCTACTATTTGTTAAAATATTTTTATCAAATATCGAATTCATGAGAAGAATTTAACAGTTGGGACAATTAATTAATAATAAACCAGTTTATTTTTCTAAATCATCTTAAATATATTCGTTAAGAACATTTAATTGAAATATTAAATTTTTAATTTCAATCAAAGTTTCTTAAAGAGAATTTATTTATATCAATGAAGGTGACAATTAAACTTTAGATACTAATAGTAAATTCGATTAAAACATAATATTTACAAAAATAAGATTTTCCAAGATTTTTCTTTAACTCAATGGAGCTGATTGAATTTTTATAATTGGAAAATTGTATGCTTAAGATTATAATATTGTAACATTCAAAAATGAAGCATTCTAAAAGGATCCAATATTTATTGAAGAAGGATACAATTATCCTTTTACTTATTTCAACTAACAATTTAAATTCTTATGCAACCCTAAGAATTAGAATTTATTTTGCATTATTTTTCCATTAATTATTGACAACACCTTTGATTCTAAAAATGAGAATTCTACTAATCCAAAACCTCGATTTATTATAAAATTAATTATCAAAATCTCATCAAATTTAATTAATACTAAAGAAGAATCATCTTGTTATTAATTATATTCTAATGGTTCATCTGTCAAATAATTATCAATAAGATTGATTTCTTAAATTGTAATTTTTTATTTTAAAGTCTAATATTTATTAAACTCTATGAATTTAATAATATTATTATAAGTATTGTTTACAAATTGAATATTATTAAATTAATAATCATAATCCAAATGAGACAACTAATTAATATTAATAATTCCAAAGCATCTATTAATAAAAGTATTGTTCAGAAATATTAGGTTATTTAATAAAGCATCATTGGTCAGAATGAGGATTTTTGAATTAGTTATAATAGATTAAATTAAACTGAAATTCGTTATTTCTATTTCTTTAAATGATTATAATGAAAAAAAATTGTTGCTTTCTGATATTATACTTGTTATTTCTATATTTTTTAATACTAAGGATCCTACTGGATTCAAAGTTTCTACTTAAATAAAAGTTATATTATTGAATTACGAATTTAGGATAGTAACATTATCAAACTCAACTAAATCGTTTTCTTGCAATTCTAAACTAAAAATAATTGAATTTATAAATTAGCAGTTTTTAATTTATAAATCTTTAAAAATAATTTATTTGATAGTTTTAGATCCTGAAATTGTAAAAAATTAATCAATATTTCTTTAACCAAATGAAATAAATTGAAGTCCATTTGCAAACAGTTATTTTATGTTTTTAAATTAAATGGTTAAATAATCAAAATAATATGGTTCTAAAATTTATTAAATGGTAATTTAATTAAAAGATATAATTTAAGGGAATACACTCTCAAAAATAATTTTAATCTATTAATAACAAGGAACACATGTATCAAAAATGATATTGATTAAAGTAATTTTGTTGAAATTACTAAATTATAATAATTCTTTTATAGTAATTATGGATCCTTAGGGCATATCTAATATTAGTTCAACATTTCTTTATGATATATATATTAATTTACATGACTGAAAAAATGTTATTGCAAAATTTTTAACTTAGAATACCTGTAATTATAGTGTGAATTTTACTCACACTAACAATTTTCAGAATAATAGATTTAATTTATTTCATATTGGCTAATGTGTAGAATTCATCATTTTCAAACTAAAATCAATATTCACATAAATACTTCAATAAATAAAAAATCAAATGAATTAATGTCTTTGAAATATGTATTTCTTTTTTTAAATTCAATTCTACTCTCTTCATCTTTTAATCTATTTAAATCATCAAAATAACTAAATTAATTCGAATATAAATTTAACTCAATAATTAATTATTTAAAACATCCATGTCTATTTGGAGTTTATTTACATTCTACAAATAATCCTAAATCTTAATCATAATAGTAATTTTAATCCTCATAGCTCTTAATGCATTGATTAGAATATTTTTAATATTTTGTATTGTTGAATAAAGGATTAATTTCTTTAATCTCTTAAGGAGTCCTTGGCCGACATAATTAACAATTTTCTGGGCATTCAATACATTCATTATTATTAATAGATTGTTTTCTTCCTTTTTAATCATTTAAGCATCTAACACAATGATATTAATCATCTTTGAATAAGCATTCTACACATGAATCTGAACAAAACTTAATGCATTTATTTTAATATGCTCTATAACCAAATTAGCACACTACGCAAACCAACTCATAATCATTTATATTTTAACTCTGAGCATTTAGAATATATTAATGAGTATTTGTTACTTCAATATACTTTCTATAAAATGCTCTAACATCTTTTTTCCAATAGTCTTTGGAAATAGAATTTTCCTAATAACATTATATGCAATTAAGCTCATTTGGACATTATACACACTAACCGGATAATTGTTCTGCATAATATCCATTTTCGCATTCTAAACAATGAAAATAATTTTAAATATTTGTTTCTAGACAAACTTTACAATAATTTACTTATGATCTACAATTTTCGATAAATTCAACAACTTCTTTTTCATATTTATCTGATTTTAAACATTAAACCAATTCTAAAATTTAATCACTATTTTTATATTATCCAATACCAATCTAACACTATTCAGTATTATCATATTAAACACATTATTAACTTTCAAAAACATATAAATAATTTTATTCACATTTGGCACATAGTTATGTAAATTTACTTTAATCCAATTATGGTGTGAAATTGATATCTAAAGAATTGATAGTATAATCTTTATCTAATGTTTAAAATGCATGCTCACAATGAAGAATATCATTTAATATGCAATTAATACCATCAAGAGAAATTAAGTATTTAAAGTCATCAATACATTTTAAACATTTTAGATAACTATATCCCAAATTTTCATCATAAATATCTTTACAAATTTTACAATCGCTACCACATTTAAAACAAGCTCCATTTTTAATAGTATATTATTCAATGCATTCTAAACACATTGCTTGATTTAATCCATTATTCTAACATAAAGTACAAGTATTCGGGCATTAATAACAATAATACCAAACTAGGTACATACCTGTTAGACAATCAATACAATGTCCCTAAATATCATATGTTTTACATATTAAATTGCTTCTCAAGCATACTTAATTAACCATATCATATAAATAATTATATTTGCATTTTAAGGTAGGTTAAGATCCAAGATGAAAATGAGCTACTTTATGACAGTAATTGTTTTTCTCTAAAGAATATTAACAATAATCTTCATATTCTGAATATTAATTTATCTATTTATTATTTCCAATTAGATAAACATCATTTTATGCAGGTATCCTCTATTTAATGACCAAAGTTTCATCATCATATTTAAAAAAATTCTATTTATAATCTTCTTTACACACAGGTTTTAGATACCATGTTTTTGGATAGAACAAACAATCAACACATTAAATTGAAGAAGTTCTCCTCAAAGATGGACTAACTTAAATATAAATCGTACCATTCTAGACAATCATATCCATTTCCTTTTTCATAAGGTAGTTAAAAATATCCAAAAGGACATTAGATTTCTATATCAATTTCAACCTCTTTTTGAACTATTGAAAAATAAAATTAATTATTGCATTTAAGACTTCCATATTCAAAATAACCTGAAAAACACTAGCATATTTTTAACTCATTTTAATAATACCTATTGGAATTAGGATCACAAGATAAACAATTTTATTCTAATGGTCCGAAACAAGTCAAACATGTGTAATGGCAATCTATATTAANTAAACACATTATTAACTTTCAAAAACATATAAATAATTTTATTCACATTTGGCACATAGTTATGTAAATTTACTTTAATCCAATTATGGTGTGAAATTGATATCTAAAGAATTGATAGTATAATCTTTATCTAATGTTTAAAATGCATGCTCACAATGAAGAATATCATTTAATATGCAATTAATACCATCAAGAGAAATTAAGTATTTAAAGTCATCAATACATTTTAAACATTTTAGATAACTATATCCCAAATTTTCATCATAAATATCTTTACAAATTTTACAATCGCTACCACATTTAAAACAAGCTCCATTTTTAATAGTATATTATTCAATGCATTCTAAACACATTGCTTGATTTAATCCATTATTCTAACATAAAGTACAAGTATTCGGGCATTAATAACAATAATACCAAACTAGGTACATACCTGTTAGACAATCAATACAATGTCCCTAAATATCATATGTTTTACATATTAAATTGCTTCTCAAGCATACTTAATTAACCATATCATATAAATAATTATATTTGCATTTTAAGGTAGGTTAAGATCCAAGATGAAAATGAGCTACTTTATGACAGTAATTGTTTTTCTCTAAAGAATATTAACAATAATCTTCATATTCTGAATATTAATTTATCTATTTATTATTTCCAATTAGATAAACATCATTTTATGCAGGTATCCTCTATTTAATGACCAAAGTTTCATCATCATATTTAAAAAAATTCTATTTATAATCTTCTTTACACACAGGTTTTAGATACCATGTTTTTGGATAGAACAAACAATCAACACATTAAATTGAAGAAGTTCTCCTCAAAGATGGACTAACTTAAATATAAATCGTACCATTCTAGACAATCATATCCATTTCCTTTTTCATAAGGTAGTTAAAAATATCCAAAAGGACATTAGATTTCTATATCAATTTCAACCTCTTTTTGAACTATTGAAAAATAAAATTAATTATTGCATTTAAGACTTCCATATTCAAAATAACCTGAAAAACACTAGCATATTTTTAACTCATTTTAATAATACCTATTGGAATTAGGATCACAAGATAAACAATTTTATTCTAATGGTCCGAAACAAGTCAAACATGTGTAATGGCAATCTATATTAAATGGTTTATCTTAATTATAATTGTACTACATCTTGAAATTATATATTTGAGCTTTCAAAAAATTATTATTTATATTATCACCACCAAAAAATAGATTAAATTTAGAATTTGTAAATGTACCACTGAAAATATTATTCCCTAAATTGTCTTTTAATAGTCCTAATTCATTTGAAAATTTTATAATCAATAACATTCTTTCATCAAAATTGCTTCTTCCATATTCATACTAAATAAAATGCCATTATTATAATCCTTCATAATAAAGTTAAGTGTTGAGATCTTAATAATATTTTTTTGTTTGTAATACATTATAGTCAGGATGTTGTGATCCTTAAAAAAATAAATCATATTGGGATTGAAATGATTATTAAACTGGCATACCATATGCATCAGCATTTACAATTATTTATGTTTCCTTTGGAGTATCAGACGAGATAAATACTTCAACTTTTAATAATTCGTCTCCGAGAGTTTTCTCTTATTCAAAATTAGAAATCCCCTTTAATTTTAATAAAGTGTATTTTTGATCACTCAAATTTGTCAGTATATATTTAACCCATCCTTATATACAGTATTTATTTCCATATTAATCTACTAACATCTATAGAACTTGGTTTCCTTCAAATAACTTTAATCCTTGTACAATTTAAATGGTTTATTCAAGGCTTGTTCTTTAAGGAATTTAGCATTCATTCATTAAATCTTAAGAAATATTTTCTGAATAGTCAATTGAAGGTTTGAATATTAATTTACTTTAAAGTCCTTTAAAATAGTTAAGGTTTAAATTTGAGATCTATATTTTATAAAATAATTACATATCCTTTTCCTCCAATTATTATTTCTAAATTTAATTGATTTTAAAAACTAAATTATGCTGATTGTGCATCCTATTAATTTACTTTCACAATCATTTTTTTTTTTGAATTCTCAAATACAACTAAGTGAAAAATCCAGATTCCTTCATACTGTAATGAATTGAAATCAAATGTGAATTGAAAATTACCAACCCCATTTTCTAAGAGAAAAATGTGCTACACTTTTTATTATACATAATCAAAAGACTTATAACAAACTATTAAATTGCCATTAGTTTCAGTATTTTTTAATAAAAAAAGAAGTTCTCCTGTTTATGGTTCATTAATTTTAAATTCTTCACCAATATTTAGATTATCAGTTTAAATTAGTAATGGTATATTAAATGTCCAAAATCCAAATGTAAATACACCTCCATTTGATGTATCATCATTCTCTAAAGTTTACATCCATGTTTAGCTACCTGTATTTATTATCGCCTATTAATAAGTATGAAATGGGCAAGCTATAGTATTTTTAATCAAATTAAGGTTAAGTATCAATGTTAAGATAGACCAGAAATAAATTGTGTGATTATTCATGTTTATTTTGTGTCGAATTTAAATCTTAAATAAATGATAATTGAAATCAATACTGAAAAATGGAAAATAATTTCTTATTCTTGAATAAATTATATTTGTAAACTAATAAGATTCAAGATTTACACTCTTTCATTCTTAAAAAATAAAAGATGAATAAATAACAATTATTTTTCTGAAAAATTCAATTTTGTATTTAAAAAAAAAATTAAAATAATTGTCATTAGATTTAATTATGGATATTGAGATATCTAAAATCTTTCATTATTATTTTCATCCTGAATCTTCAGTTAATTTTCAATTTAATCCTTTTGGTAAGAGATATTTGATTATAAAAATTAATGGCTACAAATCAGTAACTTAATTTAAACTTAAAAATTAATGAAGAATTTCTCATAAAAGTGAAATAGATCTAAATCTTGGAAATTTTATTCGAAATCTTCAAATCTATTGATTTAATGAAATTTAAAATGTAATTGAAGATCAGGAACCTCTGGATGAACCTTAGACAAAGTAATTTATTATATTTTTTTAGAATTGTTCCATTTCACTTTTGAATTAGGAGTTTCCTAAATTTTTTATTGTTAATTATATTTTTGATCTATTTCATGCAATATTAATTGTTTAGCATATTTTTAACAATCTCCTTTAGTTTTATCTTTTAGAAGGCAACTGTTCTTTTAATTTTGATTGCAAATATTATCTTGACTTTGTGGTGGATGTATCTAGTTATCAATTTACTATATATAATAAATTATTAATCGTTTGCATATAATAATCAGTTTTAATATATGCTAGTATTTATTAGCACTTTTTGAAACTTAGTGTATTTTTATTTTTTGTTAAATCTTTGTATTGCACAATTTAAATCAAATCATCCTAAACTGAATTTATCTGAAATACATCCATATATTAATAGTAGATCACATTCCATTTAATCTATGCTAACATATGTATCTCTTTGATCAAATTTTTAAGCATTAGAAAAAGCATCTATTCGTTATTTTTATTTTTTAAATAATATATATTATATAGTTTAGTTAATACTTTATTTTAAAGATTGAAAAATTAGTTTGCATATTTTCATCTTTCAGTTTAATTTTTATCAGCCATAGAATTGTTTAATCTTTCCAATAATAAAGCCAGATTTGGCTAAGTTTATAAAAGTAAGGGAAGACATTAATTAAAGCAATTTGGGCTATTCTAATGAGCAAGATCTATACAATAATGAATATCAAAGAGGGGATGCAAACTTTCATGTCTCACCTAGAAGAATCAGGTAATTTTATTTCTAAATTGTTTTTTTTTTTAAATTTTAAGAAAAGCTTTTAGTTCTAAAAAGAACATGAAGATGTTGTACAAGTAGTAACTTTTGACCAAGATATATTGTCATCAATAAGTTAAATACTCTGATACAACAGAGTACTATAAGGAAGAATTTTAACTCCAAATTTATTCCATATAAATTCAAGTTACTATCATTAAATAAAGTAAGTAATACTAATGATAAATTTGAAATCTGATATTTAGATATTGTTATGCTAACGACTTTGCAGGTTAGTCGTAAAAAATGGCTGAAATTATTAGTGAAAACTGGAATTGATGTCATCAATTAAATATTTATCATTTTTTAATAATAATTATTATTTTGATATTAAGTTAATATTAATAATGAAACTAAATTTTGATACAAATGTAATTAGCTGATTTACTTTAGTATTTAATTAATTATTGATTTATAAATATGATTTATTTTACTAATTAACTATAGTCATCTGTTTATTTAATTTTAGAGATAAAGGTCCTTAATTATCGAAGTTAATTTTGATTAGAAAACACAAATTTAAGTTCTTTTTGCGAATTAGGAATAAAAAAAAAAAAAATTTTAATTTTTGTATATAATTGATTATAATATCATTTTCTTGATTTATAGATTCACATATTAATATTCTAACTGTGGATCTATAAATAATTAATTAATAACTTTACCTAACATTCAAAGCTAAACAATTCTTCATCAACATTTTCACTCAATTATTTATAAGAAAGGAACAATCCTTCTTTTTATAGTGTATATCTCTATTTATAATATTCAATTTCTAAAAGATCCCATTCTTATTCTAATATTTATGATTATTTTTATTAGGATTATTACATTTGCTAGCTTTCCTTTTATTTAATAGAAAAGTACTTAAGTTCTAGATTGGAATGATGGAAACTAAGAATTTAACTATTAATTCTCTCTTTACATTATTATTGAATCCTATCAACTGACAAGATAATTATTAAAATATTTTAAAATTTTTTGATTACTGTATTGACTTGTTACTCTATCAATAAAGATAGTGAGTTTCAATCGTTAGCCTAGTTGAAACTACAAATTTTTTTAATGTTACCAGAGTCTTCTTTACCAAATATTTTTACTTAACAAAAATTAATTAAAATTTTTAAGTTTTCATTTTTCCTTCTAATTTCTTTTGAAATTTATGGAGTAATGAATTCTCTTAAGAATGTATAATCAGATAGAAATAATTACATATTCAATTTTCCACACTAAATAATGCTATTTAGCCTTAATTCTTCTTTTAGGGCATCAATTAAATCAGTATGAGATTCCTTGAAACCTTAAAGAGATCCAATCCCCCAGTAGATACTCAAGATCGTATTTAAATTGAATTACTATGTGTTTAGTTCTGAAAATTCAGAAGTAAATTTCTTTACCAATAATGTATAAAATTATGATCTAGTCTCTAATAATAGATCTTCTTATGTTATAAAAGTTTGTTAGTGCTTCTAAAATTTATTCTGAACTTAGAACTATTTTTCTTATTTAATGTTTGAAAACTCTTTAAGAAGATTAGCAAATTGTTATTTGTAGAAGATTAAATCAAGATATAATCTATTTGAGTGCAATATTTAACTTGATGTTTAGGAGTTTGAATTTTAATTAATCTCTTATTCGCTACTCTAAGAATTCTATTTGGGCTCTTCTTGTTTTCCATTACTTAAGAAAAATGTATTTGTAATTTTTATTTGATCAACTTTTTCTTTGAAATTACTACCATTTCCAACACAATATCTTTCTTTTAATAATAAAAAAGAAACAAATCCTGTAGGTTCTTGTTCTTCATAACAAACTAACAATTCTTATTCTTTTATTTCCTCCTATTCAATTTATTAATATAAATTCTTGTTTTGAAGGTCTTCTTTTGGAACTGATTAAGAATCTAGAAGATTCTCTTTTTATTTAGGAGCTTGAAAGTTTTCTAAAAAATTTTCTTAGTAAATGTCCGCTTGGTAATTAGAATCAGTTTGAAAATTTTATTAAAATTGTTTTTATGTTTACTATTATTAAATTTATTACCCTTAAGGTGTTCTTATCCAAATCTTTTGGTATTTTTCTACTTTTTATTCGATTTGAGGATCCAATAAGTATTACGAAATGATTATATATTAAAATTTTTGATCTACATTCAAACCAAAAGTTGACTTAAATTTTTTACAAATAAACTCAACTGGGATGTATTAAAACATACTCACACATCTACTGCAAAGTCTGCTTTCAGTGGTTAAAAAAATATAATAAATTTAAACCGAAAATAAATATATAAAAAAAATAAAAATCAAATTATATTATATTTCTTATGGATAATCATTTTATTTTTATGGGGTACTTTTCTTAGCTACTTTGTTTTTCTAATTATTCTTCTAAAGCTACCTATTTGTACTATCCTAACCCTTACAAATGAGGAATTAAGTTTTTCATTTCGATATTGTTTTACTTAATTCTGAAAAATCTGTAAAACGATGATTAAGTGTTTTTAAAAAATGAACTAAAATTTTTAATAAAATTAGGTATGATTCTATATATTAGCACAATTATCACAGCTATAATTGTTATAATTAACGAATTATTCATTTTTGAATACCCTTTACTTTTTTAATCAGCTTTCGTTTATTGTAATCTATTGATTTCATTAAGATATTCTTTATAATTAAAATGTGTGATTTATCCATCATTATTAACAAAATATAAAGAAAAATTTTTTTGTTTAGAGTTTCGCCTTACTTAAATAGACTTAATACTATCTACTGTTGATTGTTAACTTTTAGGGTGAAGCTTCAAAACATCTAAAATAAAAGAAAAATCTTATTTTTTAATAGTTTCTTTGTCATTATATAGAATTAGCATCATTTCAATTTTTTCCTCCAATTAGGCATAAGAATCAAATTGTTACCCAGCTATCTTAAAAGGTATCTATTTATTCATATATATATTTTTAATTATAATTGTTATAAACAGAATTATTAATTTTATTACAAAACATAAGGGCTGATGGTTGGCAAAAAAAATATTCAGTATTAAGAATCAATTAAAACTCTATAATACTTATAATTGAAATCTGAAATAAAATCATTTTAACGTTGGATATAGGCTTAAAAAATGATGATCAAATTACCAATAATTTTGTTCTTTGATTGAATAATCATTTAAGTAATAGTTTTAGAATATTTTATCAAGATATAATCTATAAATTGAATTTGATCTTCTATTAAATTTAGGATATCTTGATTAATGACTATTACATGATCATTATGATTTAGTATATATTAATTAAATCGAAAAATTCTAATATATTTTCTTTATATTTTCTGATTTTTATTTCACTATTATGACTCTCAAATGTTATTAAATATGTCCCATTATATGAAATAGTGCCATATTATCCACAATAATCGCACATATTTTCAGATGATTAATCTTAATGCTTAATTATATTCACATATCATCCATTCTTATTAAGCAGAATTAATTTTTCTTTAATTACATTCATATATCTGCTGTAGCATGCCTTCTTTTACAGGCGAAAGAGATCCAAGTTAAAGTCTAGTTGTTATTTAACATAAGAAGTTAATTATAACTTTAAATCTATTCCAGTAATCAAAATCAAAAATGAGTTTATTTATTATAAGAAATAAATTCACAACCATATTCTTAGCTAATATTTTTTAGTATTCAATAAAATTTTTTATAAATCTCAATGTGTATTTTAAAAAGAAAATTGATAGTCATCAAATAAGAAAAGATTGATGCTCCATTCTCCATCTATTGTTGCATTCTAAATTTCTAGTATTTAATAATTAAATTTAGAAATTATTTAGACATACATAATGAGTTAAAATGAGATTAATTAAGAATTAACCAGGACGTATATTGAAAATTAAACACTAAAATTGTGCACTAATATTTTTCATTAACTTTGAATGATCACAAATGCTATAGTATTAGTGATAGTAAAACAATTTAATTAAGTTGAATGTAAAAATTTATCAATAATATAGTAACTATCTATACAATTTACAAAGAATTTAGAAACTCAATAATTTCATCACAAACTTCTGTCCTTATAATTAATTGATTCTTACATCTACCTCTTCTAAAGGAATCTCTAAACGAAACTTAAGGCCCAGTATAATTTACAATATAAATTTGAAATATTATAAGATTAATCTACATGGATGATCTGCAATTATAATTTATTAGTAAATCATTCCCACTACTTCTCTGAAGAATTGTTTCTCGTTCATACCTGATTTCTTACTATCCTCAAAGATAGTATTGGCCTCTTCTTCATATTATTCAAATATATTATATTTGGATTATTCGTTTTGTTCCATTATTTGCAATTTTGTATTTATAAAATGAAGAATTTGTTTCATAACTAGTTATAATCATTCTTATTTAATTTAGATAGATTGCTTGTAATTCTTCGAAATTCCTAATATCTATATTTTGCAATCTTAACTTCATTAGATCTGACCATTAAAAGTGTCTATATTAACCTCTGTTTAATTTTCTTAAGGTATAATCAATCCAAGATAATTAAATCTCTACTACTTAAGTTTTGAATGTAAAAACTTAAGTAAACTTAAAACTAGATGATATAAAAATGTGTTTACTTATAGTTATAATATAATTAAATATGAAATATGATATTTATCAATTTAATTACAATAAATCAAATATCATATTTTATTATTATGATTTAATCATTGCCATCTCGTAATAAATAATTGATCGAGTCTCCATTTGTGTGATTAAAGGAAAAAGCAGAGAGAGACAGATAAAAACAGTACACCTTATGTGTGTTTTAGATTAGGAATAATTTTCTACATTAAGGTTTTTTTGAGCCTAGATGATACTTAGCTGATTTATCATTCTTCTCCCATTTCCATTGGGCAATTACACATTGTATTTCTCATCATCATTTTACTAACAGTAATATTGATTTAGAAGTCACTTCTTTTGAACCCTATTACAAAACTCAAAAATCTAAACTTCCTAACAATAAATACTTTCGTTACTATATGGATGTATTTTTTGCTTTAGTAAGTATTATACAAGTTTTATCGACCAGATAGCAACTGCTAAAAGGAGAAGAGAGAATAATGAAAGAATACTTTATCCCAATTGTTGAATATTTAATACTATACTATTTTTGTGGGGATGCTTTGGAAGGATTAACACTTTTTATGGTAATTTAATCCACTTCAAGTTACTTAACCCTCAAATATTCATTAATTACTCATCATAATAATATTTGTTATACAGATGGATGCTCTATTGTCTTATTTAGAGATTTTGGAATCTATACCTTATAAACAAGCCAAGATCATGATCTATAAGTTATTTCCCTTTTAGCATGTTTCTTTTTTAAGGGTTTAATTTACACACATTACAACATATGTTTCCTACTGTAGAGGAATCAAGAATTCCTGAAATTCAGAACTATCTTTTGGAAACTCTACAAGATTTCAATTTATAACATATATATAAACAACGCAGAGTTGATGAATTATACAATTGAGTCAAATTTAATAAATTATAAACAGATAATTTAAATGCATATTTCCATGATAATTTCGAAAGCTTTTTATTCTGCTTAATGACAACATATTTCAGTTATTCAACTGCCAAGATCATTTATATGTTGCTTAATAAAATTTTATTTAAATAAATATTTAAACTCCCAATTTCAATTAATAAATTATTAATAAATACTCGGAAACAATTGCAACTTAAAATATCTGAATTTTATTTTAAAGCACTTTTAAGATTGTTGCTCTCTAACGCTTATGATTTTAATTTTGCATGTGCCATTTAAATGGCATATTATCCTGTTGAAAGAATAATATTTTACTAATAAATTATTATTTGACATGTCTATTTTACATAGGAATTATTGGTGCTATCTTATTTTTATAAATATTTCTAGCTCTTTCTCAAAACAAAATTCAATTAGAAATAGATCAAAATATAAAGCAATGTTTGATGGGATAAATGACAATTATAATATCTGGAAATTTTAATAATAATTCCATTTAATTAATAAAGAAGCTTATTTTTATTTCTTTTATTCTTTTTTTGTAATACAATGTATTTAATTATGTAATTGGAATATCATTCTTTTAATCATTATTTTTAATTCACTTTTCTCAACAAGCCATTTAGTAATTAATTTGAATACATGAAAATTTTAATCACTGAATCATTAATAGTTTTTAATTCAATTTCAATTTTACTTTATCTTTACTAAGTTGAATTGACTTAAAAATCACAGATTATAATCAATATTGGATGGTTGTACATATCTACTTTTTCATTGATTTTGGCAGCTACTTTTATAATTGATTTAGAATAGTATATAAAAAAACTAATTAAATTTATTGGGATTGTTGTTAAGAAACAAGAATAATAACTGGAGCCAATATTTCATTGATATTATGCATTAATATTATTTCAGTTGTCAATATTAGTTAAAATAATCTAAATATAATTCTATTAATTAGTTTAATTAAATTCTTTTCTAAAATCATATCAAGTAGAAAGAATCTAATAATAGATTAGAAATTAAATAATCATTGATTTACAAATTTTGTTGCAAAAAATCATCTTTAATGTAAAAGTATATTTGTTATGCAATAAATTTTAATAATTTAAAGTCATTCAACATTACAATCAAGTTCATATTATAGTATTTCAACTATATGACTCCTGTATATCTATATTCTTGTTCATTCAACTCCAATAATACCTTAATCCTTTAAATGCAATACAGATTAGTTACTGCTTATATAGAGATTAAAAAATATATAATATAATAATAAATTTATTTATCTTATTAAATATAAACATTATAAAATATAGACAAAATCGTTAAGAACTGTTTAAAGTCTTTTTGAAATTTGCAAATTAATGATTATAAATATCAAATAGTATATATTTTAGTACTTTAAATCGTCATGTTTATGAATTTAAACTATAGATTAAATTTTTTTCCAATAAATTAATAATTATAATTCATTTTGTAGATATCTACAGTTCATTTTAAGAATCATAAAGTTTGACTTATGTTAACATCCGAAAATAGCTCAGTTAATAGAGCGAGGGACTGTAGTGTTAAATCAGTTATCCCCAGGTCAGTGGTTCAAATCCGCCTTTTCGGATTTTTTTTTGTTTTTTTACGAATATTTCAAAAAATTAATTAAAATATGATGATGATAGAATTATTTTTTCCTGTGCTTACTTATATTTAAAAAAAAATGATGAGGAGTAGGATGATAATAATAAAAATAATAAAATAAATATGAAAATAAAGAAAGGAAGACCTAAAGTCTAATAAGTCTAAAGAGAGATATTTATATAAAGAGCCCCAGATGAATAAATTAATTACATTTAATAAGATTCTGATTGTGTTAAACTCTTTAAATTATTTGCTACCCAAGGATGTAATAAGATTAAAATTTTAACTAACAATAAAGAAAGAAAGTCATAGGATAAATAATAAGTTAAAGAAATCTAACAAGCCTATTTTTAATAAAATAATAATTGCCCCAGTTTTTTCTTTTTATCATAGAGAAAGAAGAATTATTCATTTGAAAATTCAATTCCAGTTGATAAAACTCAATATTTAAGCATAAATTCAAGTGAATTTGATCCTAAATTTGAAATCTTAATAACTAAATTGAATATAGTTCTGAAAGAATTAGACTAATAGTTTATTTCTATAATACTAGATATATTATTACAATATATATATTTTTATGATTGGTTGTTAGATAAAGATTCATTAGCATAATATATAGCTGAAGATATATAAGACCCATAAAATCATATAAAATATCAATATTTAATAACATGGTAAAACTAAAAAAAAATAATTAAAGAAGTTCGAATGAAGATGGCTTTTGATAATCTTTAAAATACTAAAACATAAATAAATAAAAGAACTTCTAAAAAAGTTTAAAAAAAGTATTAAGAATTTCTAGAAAAACAAGAAAGACATTTAAATAAAGAATATAATATGGAACCTATTGAATATTTGATTTCTAAATTAATAAGGATATTTAATAAAATCATGGCGAAAAATTGATATTCATTATTTTTATACAAGATATTTATTTATCTAATTTTATTTAATACTATTGAAATTAAGAAAAATAATAATAAAAGGCTATCATTAATTTTTTGTGTTATTAAATAATTGTTATTATTATCTTAAGTAATTATTAATATATATATATATGATTTAAAACTGGACCCTCCCCATGATTAGTCATTTAGAAGTTATTTTGGATGACCAAGTTTTCTTCTGGTTTCATTCTTCTAATATGTTTAATTATTAGGAATAAGTATCATAATGGTTACATATAATAAAAAAATTATTTTCCAATCTATGCTGATATTTTTAATCAATCAATAATATCTATATAAACTCCTCTCAAAATAGATCACATATATATATATCTGCTTTATAAAGAATAATATATATCTTCTGTACATAGTATTATTTTAATTTTATTATCATTTTATATAAATCCTTAATAATATTTGATGAATTAAATGTAAACAAGGAACAATAAATATGAAGAATTAGAAAAAAATTGTAAGAGAAAGCTCAAACATATATGAATATAAGTAAATATAATCTTAGTTTAAAGAACAAAATTCGAATAGATAGTGGGATAGGATTTTTGATAATTAAAATAATATCTTTAATTTATTTTAGGATTTTTCAAAGATGCATTATCTAATGATTTTTTATGGATTAAATTAATTCTAATAAGGTTCTAATGGATCTTAGTGCCAAATATATCTTAACACATTCCAATTAAAAAATAAATTCACATATCCTTGCTAAGTCAAGCCTATCCCTAAGATAAATGAATAATTTTGAAATATTATAGTAATAATGTGAAGTTTCATTGAAAAATTATAATTATGTTGATAAGAAAGAGTTCGTTTTCTTTATTCTTATGGGGAAATAGAGATTAATTCATAAATAATATAAGCAAGTTGCAGTTTTTCTGATCATCAAACTATATTTAATGTTATTTTAAAAGAAATGATCAACAAGTAAATTTTTTGATGAAATTTGTAAAGGATATCTTTTAATTTTTGTTCTCTTACTTTTCAACTAAATGAAAAAGATTTAAGTGAAAACAAGAAATATTGCTGTAAATTATCAGCCTTATGAAACATTAAGTGAGTTATAATTTTTGTAATCATTTATTCCAATAAATACTAAATTATCTATAGAAATGAACTATAGACTTGAGAATTTCTTATTTCACTTATTCGAATCAAAGGATTCTAAGTAGCATATGAAACCTTTATAATAAAATTTATTATGTAAAATCATTTAAATCTTCAGTTATTTAAAAATTCTTTCTAATGTAATTTGCTGATAAGCATAATAATAATTAATATTTTTTAAAGATGAAATAAACTTAAAATAAATTAAATTTTGCAGAGTCAATGACATTGAAGAATACCAAGGAATATCAAATTGTTAAATGGAATTATCACAAAAAATCATTTTAGAATACTAAAATTTATATTACAATTATCCAGGATAATTAACTGGTGTACTCTTTCGACGGAGTAATATTAAGAAAGTTAATTATAATTTCTAAGTTTAATTAGACAATTAATATAAGATGACCCCTAGAATCTAGATATTTTGACAAATATTGAATAAATAGAACGACTTAAATGGTTTGGGGAATATGGAAAGGATAAGAGAAAATAAGGTAAGTAGGTAGCTATTTGGAATGGAGAAGTTCTTAGTGATTTTGGAGGTTATTTTGAAAATGGATTAAGGAAAGGTTTATGGAAAGAACTTTTTAAAAATTATTGTAGGTAAATGCTCATTAAGTAATTTAAAAATAGTCAAGCCAAAGTTTTTGAAAGTGGAGAATACTAGAATGATAAAAGAAGTGGAATATGGATATATATCTATGATAACAATAAAATGTATTATTAAAAATATAATTAGCGGAGGTGGATAATATAATGAAGAAGGTTAGAAGAATGGTAAATGGATTGAGGTGAGTGATGATTTTAATTGTAATTCTTAACTCACTTATCATGGAGAATATAGAAATGGTCAAAAAGTTGGTAAATGGGATATTTGGTATAAGAATTAATAAATTGGAAAGAATGAATAAATGTAATCTTTTATCTAAAAGGAAAATATTATAGTGGTTGTGGATAGTATGACGAAGGTGATGAAGAGTAAAAAATTGGAAGATGGATTGAGGTTAGTGATAAGTTCAATGACTCATCTTAAGTTACTTATAAGGGTGAATATAAAAAGGGTAGAAAAATTGGTAGATGGGATATTTTTTTCAGTCATAAAGGAGTAAATAAATAGATGTATAATTATATTATTTATTATTAAAAACATATTCTATAGTGGTGGTGGATAATATGATGAAAGAGATGATGAAATTAAAACTGGAAAATGGATTGAAATGAGCGAAGGGTTTAATGAGTCATAATAAGTAATGTTTATAGGCGATTATAAAAATGGCAATAAAGTTGATAAATGGGATATTTATTTCAACAATAAAGGATAAAATGAAAAGATGTAGAATATGATTAATATTATATGAAAAAATTGTAGTGGTGGAGGATAATACGATGAAGGTGGTGAAGGGGCTAAAATTGGAAGATGGATTGAAATAAGTGATGACTTCGATGACTCTTCTTAAGTTACTTATAATGGTGATTATAAAAAGGGTAGAAAAATTGGTAGATGGGATATTCATTTCAAAATTACAGGAAGGAATGAGCAGATGTAAAATTATACTTAAATATTATTTAAAAATCTATTAGACGTGGACAATAAAATAACGAAGGAAGCAATAGAACAAAGATTGGGAGAAAAAGTAAGATTAAGTGATAGTTTTTTTTAAGTAATTTCAGATAAAAATAGTAAAAAAGCTGTAAGATAGGACATCCCAGATATAAAAGAAGGAAATGTGTAGATGTAAAAATATATATTTTAAATTTATCAAAAAATGATATAGTGGTGGATCCTATGATGAAGGAGGTGAAGAGTTGAAGATTGGGAAATGGATAGAGTTGATTGATTCTAAACCATAAATAACTTAAATAGGCGAATACAAAAAAGGGTAAAAAGTTGGTAGATGGGATATTTATTTTAATTATGGAGTAAATAATAGGATGTAAAATTATTAAATTAAAAATGATTTATAAATGATTCAGTGGTGGTGGATTATATGAAGATGGTGAATATGGTTTAAAAATTGGTAAATGGATTGAGTTGAGTGAAATTAATACATAATTAACTTACATTGGTGTATATAAAAAAGGGTAAAAAGTTGGTAGATGGGATACTTATTTCAATTATTTCGGAAATAAGTAGATGTAAATATAAATTATGTGAACTAGGTAGTGGTGGAGGATTATATGATGAAGAAGGTGAAGGAATTAAGATTGGAAGATGGATTGAAGTGAATGATGAGTTTTTTGATTCATCCTAAGTAACGCTTAATGGTGAATATAAAAATGGGTAAAAACTTGGCAAATGGGATATTTATTTCAATTATGGAGTAAATAAAAAGATGTAAAATAATAATTAATTATATAAACGTTTTAGTGGTGGTGGTTCATATGATTAAGTTAGTGTTGGGGTCAAAATTGGGAAATGGATTGAGATAAAGGATAATTTTAAATGGGCTTTATAAACTACTTTGAATGGAGAGTATGAAAATGGTAAGAAAATTGGGACTTGGATAGAAATGCATGGTAATATAAAAAGTAAAGAAATAAGCTTTGAACATTGAATATATATTATAATATAAGATTAAATGTGATATGTTAACAATATTTTTTTGAAAATGAATGTATCATTCATCAAATAAATTTAATTTCCAATAATAATTACATAAATATAGTTTGAAAATTAAAAATAATTTTTATGAATAATTAAATTTAAATATCTACATTCAATAACATTAAAATTAACTAGTGTTAGTGAAAATATAATTTGAAGTGGAAATGTTTGAAAGAAGGTTAATATACTTTAATAAATATTTATGAAATTAAAATTGATGACAGCAAGTTGATATCAAAAAATATTGTATTTGACATAAGCCATGTTCCTATAAATCCATTCAATATTCTGTGATGATTTCTAAAAAATTTATAAGCAAATTACAATCCTCTTTGCTTGACAAAATACTAGATTATAACATCATTTAGATACGCTCATTTATTTGATTAATACCTAAATCCTAAATTATAGAGGATTGCTTATTAACAACATAAGAGATGGGTATCTAAATAAGATTTTAATGAAAGAGTTTAATCTTTTCAATTATTATTGGAGTGTAATTCTATTTTGTACTTAATTTTTATTTTTTTAAAACCATTTAATATTAAAGGTTAAAGTGACGGAAATTATTTTAGAATATTTCCTATTAAAAATTCTTCAATCTTGCTTTCTAAGTAAGGTTGAAAAAAGTAGATTAAATTCACTTTCGTTTGTTTAATTTCTTAGCAGTAAATTTTCTAGATAAATATAATCTTTAAATTGAGAGGAATTTGTCAATAGCCTCGAAATAGCAATTTATTATTAAAAATTTTCTTAACATTCTTTTTTGTATAAATATTGACATCAAAAAAGAAACCAAATAAGTTAATCACATTATTTTTTTTTCAAAAAGAATTTGAGTCACTATAAAGAATGATACCTAATAATTTATTCAAACGAGAGCCATATTTTGAGAAAGTAAGAAGATCAATTTAAAGTTTAGAGTAAATCTTTAGGACTAAAATAATTTTGATTAATATTTTTAAATATGGAATAAATCTATATTTAGAATAATAAAGTGGATATATATAGTATAACATTAGAAAAAATAATATACTACAACAATGGAGTAAAGTAAATTTTATGGAATAAAATTTTAAGAATTATTTGAAAAATCTTTAAGCTTTAATATATAATATGAGAAATAGGTTGATGAATAATTCTAAGGGAATGGATTATACTATAAAAAAATTACGCAATAATTTTTGTAGATTAATCAGAAATGCAGGATCTTATGATGAGGGATTAATAATGACTTAAGTGGGAGAAAACATGGTCAACAGTCATTTTAACTCAAACTCCTTAATGAAAATACTTATGGGATTGACAAGAACAAAACATTTTTTCTGTGTATCTCAAAAAAAATCCTACCAAAAAATACTAGAAATAGTTATATATTATATTATCTTCTAATAAAAAAGAAAAAGCAGAATATTTCTTCTCAAAAATTCTTTAAGAATATAAGGCAGTTTAAATCTGAATGATTTGAATCATTTTTAGATTAAATACTTATATTATATTCCTAAATACACAAAACCAAGTTAATGCCGATGAAATCTCTATTACTAACTCCTTAATCTTCAAATTTAATTCTAAAAAAATTAAATTTGGAAAACAAGAATAAATGTATTAAACAATATTAAATTAAAAAAACTTATAATTAACATCCTCAAGAAAATGGAGTAATAAATTAGGAATTCCAGAAAAAAAATTCAAATTTAATGAATTTAAAGATTAGCTAGCATCTTAGGGGAATACAATTTACTGAAAATATTAATAAAAAACTTTGATAAAAAAAAGAGAAATAATACCTTTTTCTGCAATAAAAAGAATTTCAGATTAAGTAACAATAATTTTGTGAATTTTATAAATTTATTTTGAAAAGTAACTGATTAGAGTAATCCTGAAAAATCCAAAACTTTGAATCAATAGTCACATAATGAAAATACCTCTAAAATCTTTAATAGAAAATAAGCATTTTTCATAACAAAAGATGCTGATATAAAAATTTAGTTTTATCAATCCCCTATACTCGAAGATCAAGGAATAAGCCAAAAGATTCTTACTGAATAGTCAGATTTATTGAATTTTGTTTTGTAAATATTTATTTAGGTCGTTACCTTTTTTCAAAGTACCACTTATATATTATTTTAAAGTGTCATAAATATGAAAACAAGTATTTTTAATCATTATTGCATTAAAAAATGATGTGTAAGTGAAAATATTAAAAATAATTTCTGATTATCAAATGCAAATGTCAAGTAATTATAATCTTGATAAGTATAAAAAATTAAATATGATTATTTGTATAATTGACATCTATCACGCTGAATTTGATTGCAATTTTTATATAAGATATTATAATATTCTAGGCCCATAAAATTAAGTTATTTATTTGTAAATATAATTAGATTAGGTATGTAGTTTATTAAACAACTAGATATTAACAACTACTTTAGGCAGTAAGTTTATATAGGATCTAAATAATAATTATTTGTTATTGATCATTAATTTTTAGGAATATTTATTTGTTTAAAATCTATTTATCTATCAGAGTTCTATTTCCAAGATAGTCGATGTAATTCTTAAAAAATAATATCACATTGAAGATCTCCTCTAAGATTATATGTAATATATCTGTTATTCATACTAAACTTTTTAAGAAACTAGAAGACATTTAATTTATAAAATAGAAAAATCTTCTCAAAGTTAAATTAGATTAATCGAGGACTTATAATTGATATTATTTGTAGTCTATAAAAGTATTTTAGTACAAAATTAATAGTATTTTGAGTTGAGAACTGTGAATAATTATTAAATTATAGACTTTAATAGAGAGGAAACCTATTCAATAATTATTAAAATTAATACCACAAAAATACATATTGAAATGAATCAACAACTTAACTTGTATTTTTAATCAGTTTCCAGTTTTGTTTCTAATTATTTTAAAGAATCAGGATTGTTTCAAATACAAATTTATAAAATAATTTTGTAAATTAGATGATATCATTATATTTTCAATAATTTTCTAAAACTTGACATACAATGCTTAAAAGATACAAGCCTTTACTCTTTTTTGGAAAGCTAGAAATATTTACCTATAGTAAATGAATAAACCTCTATATTTGAATTTTAACTACATCTTTTTATTAATACAATTGAATCATTTGACTCTGTATAAATTCTTTAAACGTAATTAGAAGTTTCTAAGTTTCTCAATAATTTTCTTGTTTATTAATTCCAAAGCATCACTTTTTTGAAACCCCTTTCAGTTATTAAGATTGATTAATTTTCATATTTTAAATAACCATCAAATCTAATCCTTAGTTATTTATGTTTCTGATACATCCATTGATGAAATATCATTCCATTGTAATTTCTTATTTCTTACAAAGAAAAAAAACAATTATTTAATCTAGCTCTAGATAAAGGATTTTTTGTTTTTAAATCGTAGATCAATAATTCAGTGTCACTAGAGCGTAAGTAAAGTTTTAAAAATATTTTATTTCCATCAAAAGCTGAAAGTTTGCTATCTTAAGGAATTCTAATAAGGGTGGTAGAAGAAGAAGCTTTTGTTCTAAGATTCTTAACTGCACACCGATTTCTAGATAATTGATAAATAAAATATTCTGAATTTTTAGAGAATAGTGAAGAAGAAAAATAAGAGCAATTAAGTATTTATTAAGACAACATATTAGTGCAGTTTAGCAGTATAATTTAATTATTCATCTTAATTGCTAAATAATGATTATCATTCGATAGCTCCCAATTTATGATATTCTTTATGAAATGAATATGTTCTATCAATTGTTGATAAATTTTGTCAATTTCTTACAAGTTTTAATTCATATTTTTATTTTAATTAATTATTTTTTATAAAATTCTCACTGCTTATTTTATGTATTAACAGGGGGGAAATGTTTTAAGTACAATTAATTATTATCTTATTAATAAAAAATAATTTAACTAATTATGGATTACTGATAATTCACACAAAATGGAAGTACAATCATGCATAATTTATAAACTGACCTTAATTTAACATGAATTAATTTAACTCTAGACCATTATAGATTTTCCTTTTCTACTCTATCCAATCAAAGATTGACCTTAGATTTAAATGATAATTACTTCTCTTCTCTTAATATTTGCTCTTTTTTTCATTTTAATCAAGGATAATAATTCATTTTATTCTTTTTTTAATAAATTCACTCAACTAATCAATAAATTCTTTTGAATTATCTTAGAAAAATCAAACAACTAAATTTTATCAATATAACTTCAGAGATCCAGAAAATTTTGATTAAGTTTTGGTATTGTTGTGGAAAATTAATTAAAAAAATATAAAACTCTAAGTTTATGATTATTATTTTAATAATCCTCTTGAGATATTATAAATCCTTCCTTATATAATTATCAGCTACTAGATTGAATCATCAAAAATTAGAATAAATATTTGAGCATTACTAAAGGAGGAAATATTTCTTCAGATTGATTATTTTTACAAACTTTTCTATCCAATATCATTAACTTTATAATTAAAATTCTCACATTTATTTTAATTTATGCAAATCAATAATGATGAATCAATTATATGTCCATTATTATAAATAAACATCTCCATCATTATTTTTGAAAAAATACTACCCTGAAACAATTCGAAATGATTCACAACTTAAACAAGTTTTGGTTGAATAATCGCAAAAAGAAACTTTAATTTTAGAAAAATATTTACATCAATCAGAATCTTATTATTCTAGTGTAACAATTTATTAAATTTATTTTATATACTGTAGGTTCAAAAATATAAAATATCTTCTGCTTTCATTTAATATTAAAAATTACAAATGATGTTTTCTATAGCATATAAGACATTTATTTTTTGAATGCCAAAAATTGAATACATAAATATGTATTATCTTCTTCATAAAATTATATATTCAAACATATTTTAATGGGAAAATTTTATCATTAAATTAGGGAAACTTTAAAAAATCATTTTTATTTTATTATTAAGATTTAATTCAATACTTATTCTGAAAACAATTGAATTTTAAATGGAATGAGGATAGAATTTCAACTGAGTTAATGAAAGAGTTTTTAAAAAAGTTAAGAAAATTATTTTGTTATTCTTGTATGAAGGAAGAATTGTATACTTTAAATAATTTTTTTTCTAATATTGATGATAATTATAATTACTTATAAAGATAATAATTTAAAAAAGAAAAAAATTATGCATTTCGAATTTATTATTTTTCTAAAAGCTTAAGCATTATAAATAAGGTGCTATTTATAAATTACGGTTATTTGAAATATTAGAATATTCATAGGAATGATCAATGATTCTCAAAAGAATAGTTAACAGTGAATGTTGAATTTTAATAATTAATATTGAATAATCTGATATAATAAAAATAATAATAATATTCTGGTATTTTATTATTTTTATTTGATAATACTCATAATTCTCTGCACTTTCTAATTTATATTTCCTTAGATTTATCATCCCATGTAATCAAATACTCACAGTCATCACTTAATTATCCATAAATCATCTAAGTACCAAAGTCAATTGATTATTATGTACTAAAGTCACCATTTCCTTTATTTCTCATTAAATTAACATTCTTGCCATTCTTATTCACAAGGAGGCATTTTGACTTTAAGTATTATTAAGGAAATAAACAACAATCATCCATTGAGCCGCATTTTACATGAATTTCCTTATTCTTAAGATACTCTTTAGCAAATCTATTCATCTCATATACATGCATAAAATCTTTACAAATTGATTAAAAGGTAAAGTAATTATCACTAATAAAACATAATCTGAATCCTAATGAATTTATTGTTTATACAACGTCCCATTTTTTATCCAATTGTTATTATTCTATTACTAATATTTTTTAATCAAATGAACAAGATATCACTTTATTTTATTGTTCATTTATGCTTAATGAATATACCTAACAAGTATGGTTATTTATAGTTTATTAACACAACCATTTATCCTATTTCATCCAAAATTTTATTGTTTTATCAAAACTCCCAGAGATAATTAGATCGTCTGTATTGTTCAACAATAAACACTGTATACTTTATTAATGTCCAATCAATTTTTATTAGCATTACCATTAATTATTTCCAATCAACTACCATATTATAATTAAACTATCTGAACTTCCAGATACAAAATTATTTGTATTTTTCATAAAATTTAAAGTTTTTACTTCCCCTGTATGTTCACTTAAGAATTATATTTAATTCAGCTTCTCTTATTAAAGTTGAAATACTTTAATATCCTTATTACATCCAGCAACTACAACTGAGTTATCTTGATTAATAGCAATAGCAAGACACTATTCATCTTATTTAATTGAATTTTATTTCATGAGGTCAAAGGTGAATGGATTTAGATTTGGTTTTGTGATTAATTTTTTTTTCGGTATTTGTTAAATCTATTCACTTATTTTGGAAGGTGGAATTTCTTAATTATCAGTTTACTTTATATTAGTTTGATTCTTAATTTTTTTTAGTATTTCATCTATAATCGATTTTGTTTATTCGATTGATTGATTAAGTTGTTTAAATAACCTCTCTTCGCATTCTTCCATTTGGCATAGACCTTTTATTAATTAGTCAATCTGTGATATTCCTAATTCTTGTAAATATTAATTATTTAAGTTATCATAAGGAAGGAACAACTTTATAAGACAATCAAAGGCAATTTTAGAGTCTTAAATATTTTTTTAAACATTCTGAATATTAAGGGTTCTTTACTTAATCCATTCAGATAGAAGTCCGAAATTTGTTACATTATTAAGATGTTAAGAGTGGCTCTGCAAGCAAAAATGACAATAAGGTCTTTAATTTGGGCATTTACTATCTATACAAAACCCTATTATTTATTCATTTTGATGATCTGCTTAAGTACATCTTATCTACATTTTCTAATTCTATTAAAATAAATATTAAAATTAAAAAAAATTACTTTTGATTTAAATTAAAAAATTCTAAATAATTTAAATTAAAATCATGCCAATCAAAATTAATAGAGGAACAAAGAATAGTTTTAAAAAATCAACTCACAAAATAGGAATTTCAATTGCATTCATTACAAACAAGCCATTTGCATTTAATTATTTTCAAATTTTGCTTCCAGTGACCTTTAAACCTAAAAATTTTGATTTGCTAAATACTTTGATTATAATTTATCTTTTAAGAATAAACATATGTTCAATTAAGTTGTCATGAGTTAATAAATATTATTTAAACCTCTTTTTCTGTTATGTAAGAATATTAATGAAAGAAAATTAACTAGTTAACTTGGCTCTTTGATAAATACTATTCTCATATTTTTAAACTAAAATAATTAGATTTAACTCAAACTATTAAAGCAATGTCTTTTCATTTGATCCAATTAATTGATTGCAAAAATACTTATTAATTATCATTATCGATATTGACACTAATGAAATTATTAAAAATTGGTCAGAAAATAACAGATTTTTGAATCTCACACCCTTTATCTATTGGATTTTGGAAATTATTTTTTGTTTAATATCATTTAGTTTTAAAAGAAAATAATCTTTTTAATAATAAACCTTTGCTTTATCAAATTTTTGAATAATTTGATCGTAATCAAAAATTAGTAATAGATTAGTATTTCAATTCGTGTTACCCTTGATATAAGCTTTTTTATTTGATTTCCTACTTACTAAAGAAGTACTTATGGTAAAGGGATTTCTACTTCTCTAATTGTAAATACTTGTACTTTACATAATTTTAGATAACTAAAATATATTATGGTTTTCTCTTTATTTGTTTAAAGAGTAAATGAAAAAATATATTTTTCCTAAAAAAACCTAACTATAATTATTAGTTATTGCTCAAATGAAAGAATTTCTAGCAATGACTTTCGTTAAATTAAAATTCTCAAGTGATTAATTCTTTAAATAAACTAACAAATATTAAAGTTGAGAATTAATACTTATCAAGAGTTTATTCTAATTTTTATAGTTTTTAGATTGCGCTAACAGTTGATTTTATTTCAATAAGAGTATTACAGTAGATGTTTATCTTCTTCATTTTCTTAAAGTTGTACCTTTTGTAAATCAGTAAGCGACCCTTCTGAGCAATTATTAGAACATTTAATAATAGATCAATAAGAAGGTATTCTATTTAAATCAAAGATGACATGTTATATGAAGCAATATTTTTAAGTTAATTTTCTTCATCTAATAAAATATTAATATCAATATTGAAGAAACAATCAATAATAACTTTACAATTAGTACCATTTCATAAAGATGCGATTAATAAATTGTAGCTTGAGATTTGTGACAGAAATAAATCTATTAATATATTTTTCTTCTTTCATCAAATACAACAATTTTAATTAATTAATTAGATCAACAAAGTCTTCTTTTTTAATTGTAATATTCTTAACCAAATTGAATCAATTTCTATATGAATCCTTAGACTTTTAGAAATAATAGCACTCAAACAGATAGATCATTTTGAAACCTAGGCCCTCCAGATGAAAATATTTTTCCTACTTTTTAAAGTTGGATATGCAAGTCCACATTTAGAATTTAGAAGATGATGTTTTTGAACAATTACTAAGTTTTAGCCAGAATCAGTATGATAATTATAAATTCATGAAATCTAACACGAAAATATATCAACTGATCATCCCAACTTATATCGAAGTAACAGTTGGAGTAAATTTGGTAAAAGATTAATTAATAATTATATTTATTCAATTTATACAAGTAGTAAATGAGAAAATTGAGATGGTTAAATAGGTATCAATGATTTTAATTTATTGTTTGGAGCAAAAGATAGATTATAATTTTATATATTAAATGAGAAGATGGAAAATATCACCTTTAAAATGTATAACTGAAGAAAGCAAAAGAAATCGAGAGTTTGAATAAAAAAATAATCTATTATATAATTGTAGGGGAAATATTGATTGCAACCAAAATAAGTTCAAAAAATTTTGAAGGATAGATAATATAGAAAAATTTCACTTATATATTTTGATTATCGGATGGTTTACGAAATAAATTAATTGGATGGTTTTTTAAGATACTTTATGTGAATCAGAATATCTTAAGTTTCTGGAACTATTTGGAATAAAAAAGAAAATAAATATCTAATGCTGTTACTCAAATTAAAATGTGATACATGAAAATATTATTTTTCTGAGTAATTACTCCCTTAAATTAATTATTAAATTAATAATAATTAAATAATAATATTAAGTGCTTAATTATAATAATTAGTAAATAAACATTCAAGATTATTCAAAATACTCTACTGAACCACCATTTTTTTAAATAATTCTGAGAATCTTACTTTAATTATAAAAATACGTACTAATAGAAGTACTTTCAAACATTAATACTTTTATTCATTATTAAATTAAATTTCCTATACTTTGATATTTTAAAACACTTATTTTTAATCTTAACTTTTTATTTATTCATTTCTTTTCAAATCAAAATTCATTTTTATTGTACAAGAAAAACCATTTTTTTTCAAAGTTAAATTCATATACCTTCTTTCATTTTATCTTTTGCTTGAACACATAATTAAACCATAATTTAAGTATTGTTTTTTGTACAAATATTAGTATTAAAAAGAAAATAATTTTCCTTTAATATGGAACTAGAAACTTTTTAGATATAATTAAAGAAATGATTCTACATTTTTAACATGGGAATCTAGGATTTGTAAAATAGTCTATAATCATAATAAGCTATTAAACTTTAACCTTTATAATTTTATAGACATCAAATATGTAAATTCTAGCGAAAATTAATAACTATTGTTATTTCTAAAAATTTTCTAGGTAAAATTTTTATGAGTTTCAGTTTTTTTTTAATTTAATTATTTAAGATTCTGGTAAAATATTTTACTTAATATATTAAAGTAATATTTTTAAAGATTAAATATTCGTCTGGTTATCAAAATATAATGAACAAAATTTCATCAAATTTTGTGAAATATAATTTGGTAATAAAAAAAAAATGTAATTTCATTAAAAACAATTGAACCCTACTGAATTACATTTGATAATAGATTTGAGCAATTTCCAAATAATATACCTTAACTTTGGAGAAATAATTACAACTTCCTAAAAACAACAACAAATAAATGTTAAATAAAAATGAAATGTTTTATGTTATAAAATCCTGAAATTGTTAAAAAGTGTTCCTGTCTATCGTAGAAATTAGGAAAAAAGCTTTATAGGGTAATTAAATTTATAACATTGTATAAAAAATTTAAGTTATATAGAAGACTAATAGCGGATTACAAATAGAAATAGATTCCAAACACTCTTAATTTGATATAGACTTATTAATTTATTTTTAAAAAAATTATATTTAAACAAATAAAAATGTATGTAGTTATTTTAAGTAATATGGAAAGAATTATAAACATTCTAAAATAGAGAAGGAATACCTTTCTTAAACTCTATTTATGGTATTATACAGTTTTCATAGAAAACTATATTTGTTATGTATTTTAATATAGTTTATAAACTTTAATTAGAAATTTGAAGTGAAATCAATCTGATAAATAAAAAAAATGATTTTATATTCAAAGCAATTTACTTGAATAAAATAATAACAATCATAATACTACCATAAATTAATTGAAAAATCAAATTCATTATTTTTCAACTAGATCTAATCATAATACTAGAAAAATCTAAAGTATCGTCTCACTAAATGAAAATAAAGTCAAAATAAATACACTATATGATTTCTTAACAATAACCAAAATTTGAATTCAATCTTATAAAGTTAAATATTTATTTTTACTTTTCAAGAACAAATTTTAATGAAAATGTAAAACTATATGAAAAATTAGAAATTAAATTAATTTATGATAAATAAAGTAAAACAAGAGTAAAATTAAATTAAATTTAAGTTTCATGTCATTAATAAGAACTATCTAATCATATTGAAGAAAAANTATGTCTGGTTATCTAAATATACTGTACAAAACTCCATCACAAATTTTGTGAAATATAATTTGGTAATCAAACAAAATGTAATTTCATGAAAAACAATCGAAACCTACTGAATTATATTTGATAATAGATTTGAGCAATTTTCCAAATTATATAACTTAACTTTGGAGATATACTAACAACTTCCCAAAAACAACAAAAAATAAAATGCTAAATAAAAATGAAATGTTTTATGTTATAAAATCCTGAAATTGTTAAAAAGTGTTCCTGTCTATCGTAGAAATTAGGAAAAAAGCTTTATAGGGTAATTAAATTTATAACATTGTATAAAAAATTTAAGTTATATAGAAGACTAATAGCGGATTACAAATAGAAATAGATTCCAAACACTCTTAATTTGATATAGACTTATTAATTTATTTTTAAAAAAATTATATTTAAACAAATAAAAATGTATGTAGTTATTTTAAGTAATATGGAAAGAATTATAAACATTCTAAAATAGAGAAGGAATACCTTTCTTAAACTCTATTTATGGTATTATACAGTTTTCATAGAAAACTATATTTGTTATGTATTTTAATATAGTTTATAAACTTTAATTAGAAATTTGAAGTGAAATCAATCTGATAAATAAAAAAAATGATTTTATATTCAAAGCAATTTACTTGAATAAAATAATAACAATCATAATACTACCATAAATTAATTGAAAAATCAAATTCATTATTTTTCAACTAGATCTAATCATAATACTAGAAAAATCTAAAGTATCGTCTCACTAAATGAAAATAAAGTCAAAATAAATACACTATATGATTTCTTAACAATAACCAAAATTTGAATTCAATCTTATAAAGTTAAATATTTATTTTTACTTTTCAAGAACAAATTTTAATGAAAATGTAAAACTATATGAAAAATTAGAAATTAAATTAATTTATGATAAATAAAGTAAAACAAGAGTAAAATTAAATTAAATTTAAGTTTCATGTCATTAATAAGAACTATCTAATCATATTGAAGAAAAAACTCTGATTAATCAAATCGAAAGTTAAAAAGTCTTTATTTAATAGAAATAGACATTTATGTAAACAAAAAGTGTTTATATAAAAAATAGATAAAAGTTTATTCTGAAATTATAGAAGGAAAAATTTTTTCAAAGATTATAGAATGAAGTGATATAAAAAAGGCAAAACAATAATCTTACTAAGAAATCTTTTAGAAATAAATACAAAAATGTATTTGATAGTTAATCATTGTCTGTAAAAATCCTATTTTTTAGAATAATATTTAGTTTATTTTTTAGTATAATTCAATAGTCTACAACTTCAATTTGGAGTCAGCAGATGAAAATTATAAAAAATGTCAAAAATGAAAAAAATATCATTTGTAAAATATTTTGGGTATCTCAGAAAATTAACTGCTTTATTAAATCTTTGGATCAAATAATTAGTAATCCAAACTTAAACTGAAAAATGGATAATTTTATTAAGAATCGATTATCATTTGAATTCAAATCTTGTAATTGTAATTTGAATTCTGCAATATTAATTTTGAATAATAAATTGTAATCAGTTGAAATAATACTGATATTTAAATCAAATTCTCACAATCTATTATCAATATAAAAATTTGGCTAAAAATACTTTTAATAAATACAAAAAATAAATTATTGTAAAAATAAAAATACTTTAAAGTAATAAACATAAATGGTGTTAAAATAGTTGTGTTTATAAAAAAGGGATTGCTGTATTTTCTAATTAATGAATATAAATAAATAATTATAATGCTGATTATGGAACTTCATACTTTTTAATTGTTTAAAATTTGTGTAATTCTACCATTTAATATTATAAAAAATATAAATTTAAGATGAGCTCTGGAGCTTGAGTGTTAACTACCAAAAAGGTAGTAAACTATGATAATGGAGATCAATTTGATGGAGTGATTGTTATAAAAAAATAACAAGCTTATGTTAAAATAAAAAGAATGAGTTTAAAGGTTTTCTAATATACTGACAATAAAAAAGCCTTCTATGTATTACATAATGTAGCAAAAAATTTTAATATATTCAAATATGAGTACAATTATTTTTATGATGATTGTTATTAGTTGAAGCTATTTAAGTATTTCATTTAAATCTGAATAATTAAATGGTAATTACAAAAATATTGTACAATGTGATGATATATTTTACAAAGTTAAATAGAACTTACAGAACAAGGAAACATAAAAATGAATAAAAAGAAATTATAGGTAGAGAATCTCATATGAATTGTAGGCTATAAGGCTAAAAATAAATACAAAATTAAGAGGATTCAAATATAAGTATTCAACATTAAGAGATAAAAATCTAGAGAAATAAATAATATATGATAGCTTTCTTGTCGCAATAAGAGTGATCATCTTTTCGAATTATATGTGAATTCAACTTTTACTTTTGAGAACGTTTCCCACCCATAGTTTAACAATTTGATACTTAAAACAATAACCCTTTAATGATTTCCTTCTAAATTATATTGAGAAATTCTTCTATTATTTCTTTCTTTTTGACTTTTCTATGTCACACAATAATCCTAATTTTTTCATTTACTATGCTATGATATTTGAATTATTACTTTTGCGTCAAACAAGCTATATTTCATAAATAATATTCAAAAACGAAACTTTTAAATACCTAGAAATATAAACAAATTGACCTCACTAGAGAATCCAAGTTTTATTCATTTTTGCCATTTTATTAAGACATAAATAGTGCTTCTTCAAACATATATATTAATATTATCTTAATGCTAAGCAATTTTCGATTATAAAGAAAGGAATGCCTAAATTTATTTAAATTTTAAACTAAGTAAATGAAAGACTTAATTTGAAATAAAAAAAATTAAAAAAAAATCTAAAGAAAATTAATTAATATCACTATAAACCTACCCAAGTTTACCCACAACTAGTATTATTGGTTATTTAATTTGGGCTGATTTTATTTTGCTTTAATTAAAATAACCTAATACTTTTATTCATTTTCGAAATAGTAACTATAATACCCTAAATAAAAATAGTTGCCTTAAACTCAGAAATTATCAAAAAACAATTTGATTAAAGCAAAAATATTAATAGATTTCTTAAAGGAACATAAATGAAATAAGCGTTGTAATAATTGCAAATTTCTTATAATTTTATTTTCAGATAAAATAATAAATTTTTTTCTTTACTATATATGGGCAAATGGAGATATATATGTTGGAGATTGGGTAAATGATAAGCAAACTGGAAAAGGCCCAAAGATATGAGTTGATGATTCTTTTTTATTATGGACAGAGACTTGAAGTAAAAGACATGGAATTGGCCAATTTCAATCAGCAAATAGCAAATGGAGAAAAAGATGAAGGTAAATGGATTTTGATAAGGAAATGTGAAATTTTAATTTTGAATGTAGTAATATAAATCTAATGTATAATAGAGATGTTAGAAGTAATATTGATTTAATCAAATTGGAAACTTGAGGGACAAAATTTGCAATATTGAAAAATTAAAGAAAGCCAACGAAATTATATGCTGCATTCGGGTATTGAAACAAAATCTTTCAAAGCAATTACAAAAGATGTTAAGTTATGTTATAAGTGAGAAAATATATTGTTCCATTAAGTTCAAATCAAAGTCTATTCTAAATTATTGATCATAAAAATTAAATCAAATTAGAAATTAACAAGCAAATAAAAGTATATAATAATATTTTCAAAAATTGAAATTAAGCATTCATCATAAGATTAAAATTTGCTTCTGATGTAAATTAAAAAAATGAACTTCATAATGCCTTTCTTTCTACTAAACAATAATTTGGAAGATATTATAATTTATTTTAGATATAAAGTGAAATTATAGGTATCTTCTGATATGATAAGTAAATAAATAAATTTGAATTAGAAATTATAAAATAAATAAATGCATATTCAGAATATGATCGAAATAATCGAAAAAGATTTTACTTTATAGCAAGAATATCAACTATATAAGAATTTATGTTCAATTAGATGTTTATGAGTTTGAATTAAGATACTCTAATGTAGAGACTTTAAGAGTTTATTTAAAAGTTAATAAAAATTTTTCAAAGTTGTTGAAAATTGAACCCAAACTATATTTTACCTTATACATTTTTAATTAAATCATTTTTTTTGGTATAATATTTTAATTATCAATACAATATCTATAATTGATGATCAATCATAATGATTTCTGAATTCAGATTTTTGACTTTTATAGCATTCTCATTTTTCTTAAACTATGTGAAGGTTGAATTTAATGTTTGACTTAATAATCAATCGAAGGGTCTTCTCTGTGGAAAAGCTATCTTAATAGACATATGGATTTTTTTCTAACTTATAATCATAAACTATTTAATTATGTATACAAAAAAGTTATTTCCTTTTATTATGATTTGTGTACCTAAAAAACCTTTTAATCTTCATTTTGTAAGGAAAAATGTTATTTGTAAATTAGGAAATTAGGAGTAATGATTGATTAATATTTCAATACTTGATTTTATTTATTCATTATTAAAATTATTTTTATTAAGAAAATATATTTAACTGTGTGTGAATTTTAAATTAAACTCCAATGGTTTTTCAATTAATTCGGTTTCGTATTTTTTTATTTATTTATCATTGATATTTATTTCATCTATGAAAAATCACAGATCTTTTTTATGAATTTATCAGGGCAAAAGATATAATTTTATGAATGAATGAAATTAAAAACAATTCCGGCTATAATTTCGCTATTTTCATTTTATGTAATGAAAGATATTTTCTCTACTAGTATAAAAATGCAAATAGTAATTCTTCTGAAGCTACTTCTTTAGAAATTGTCAAATATTTTGACCATGAAATAATAACAGAAAGAATAAGAATTTATTATTTAAAACCTTTAATCAGCTATTGCATGCCACTTTAGCTAAATACAGTGTCCCCATACAGTTAAGCAAGGTATATGTAAACAAAAATCTTAAATTTATTCTTTTACAACTTTTGGTAGTTATATCTTTGACCTTGATTCTCAAGTATGTTTTCACATAAATCCCAAGATTTGGAATGGTGATAAAAACTTAAGAATCTTTTTAAAAAGGATAATTAAATGAAATTTTGAATGTGTATGAATTTGAATTTTTGCTTTTGAAGTTTAAATGATACATGTTTTTTTTATCAAAAATTATGCCACTGATTAAAGGCATCATTAATAAAATGAGAATCAAAATCTTCGTTACGCTTAACTATTCAGATAATTTTATTATTTAATAATCACTTAGTGTAAAATTTTCGATTATTAATTTAATCATTAATCATATTTCTTATTTATTAGAAAGAAGTATTTTATTAATTACATTGAATATGTTAATAATCACTCAATATGAACTATATTTTATACCAGATTAAAAATATAAATAAAAAAATAATTATATTTAACAAATATTCATCTTAGGGTCCAAAAATAAAAAAAATTCATTTGTTATAATAAAGATAGAAATTATAAAGTACTTAATTTAAGTTTACAATTTAGAATTAAATTAGAATTTATAATTGTAAAATATTCCAAACTAAACAAAAGGAGGAATGAAAAGAAGAAATAAATGAAACTCTTGCTGAAAATAAAACTTTTGAATTTTGTTATATTCAATATTTTCATTAATAATCATAACATCATAATATATGATAATAAGTTTAGAATTCATAAATTGTAATTAATAAATCAATTCAAAAAAATGATATAACAAATTATTCATATCCATTGATAAATTGGAGTATTTTCAAAATTTTTTTAGATGTAAATTAAATTTTCTTCACAGAAGCAAAATAATAATAAAAATTATAATTAATATGAATAAACTAAAGCTGAGCTATTCCAAAATTTAATAATATTGTTTAAAAATAAATGATATATTTAATAATTGATAAGACTATTAAGTATACTGTTGATATAATTTTTGAAAAATCCTATAACTGATGATTATTATCTCTAAAATATTTCTCAAAGTTAAAATCTAAATGATGATAGTAATTTCCTGAATTTCTATTATACTTTATCTANAATACAGTGTCCCCATACAGTTAAGCAAGGTATATGTAAACAAAAATCTTAAATTTATTCTTTTACAACTTTTGGTAGTTATATCTTTGACCTTGATTCTCAAGTATGTTTTCACATAAATCCCAAGATTTGGAATGGTGATAAAAACTTAAGAATCTTTTTAAAAAGGATAATTAAATGAAATTTTGAATGTGTATGAATTTGAATTTTTGCTTTTGAAGTTTAAATGATACATGTTTTTTTTATCAAAAATTATGCCACTGATTAAAGGCATCATTAATAAAATGAGAATCAAAATCTTCGTTACGCTTAACTATTCAGATAATTTTATTATTTAATAATCACTTAGTGTAAAATTTTCGATTATTAATTTAATCATTAATCATATTTCTTATTTATTAGAAAGAAGTATTTTATTAATTACATTGAATATGTTAATAATCACTCAATATGAACTATATTTTATACCAGATTAAAAATATAAATAAAAAAATAATTATATTTAACAAATATTCATCTTAGGGTCCAAAAATAAAAAAAATTCATTTGTTATAATAAAGATAGAAATTATAAAGTACTTAATTTAAGTTTACAATTTAGAATTAAATTAGAATTTATAATTGTAAAATATTCCAAACTAAACAAAAGGAGGAATGAAAAGAAGAAATAAATGAAACTCTTGCTGAAAATAAAACTTTTGAATTTTGTTATATTCAATATTTTCATTAATAATCATAACATCATAATATATGATAATAAGTTTAGAATTCATAAATTGTAATTAATAAATCAATTCAAAAAAATGATATAACAAATTATTCATATCCATTGATAAATTGGAGTATTTTCAAAATTTTTTTAGATGTAAATTAAATTTTCTTCACAGAAGCAAAATAATAATAAAAATTATAATTAATATGAATAAACTAAAGCTGAGCTATTCCAAAATTTAATAATATTGTTTAAAAATAAATGATATATTTAATAATTGATAAGACTATTAAGTATACTGTTGATATAATTTTTGAAAAATCCTATAACTGATGATTATTATCTCTAAAATATTTCTCAAAGTTAAAATCTAAATGATGATAGTAATTTCCTGAATTTCTATTATACTTTATCTATAAATTTTTAAAGAATAAATTTTGTAATATAAACTAAATTTAAATATTACCAATAATTCAATAGTATTAATTTCATTAATTAACGGATATTTAATCTCTAAAATAGAAGTATATAACTTTGAGTTAGTAAATGAAGACTTTTCAAGAAAAAACCTCTTAATTAATAAAGAGTCTTTAGATTGTTACTAAGTATAATAAATTCCTAAATGTTCTAATGACTTCTCTTATTTATTGAAACTATGTAAGTAAAGAATTTTACTTTTAGAAGTAGAATTCTGATTATCAAAAACTATTAATGTGAATTTAGATTAGAGTTTACAATTTGACCATTAGTAATAGATAGTGCAAATTCAACCTATTCCTATAAGAATAGAGTTCCAATTTTTTTCAATTTTTACTTATTTAAGTGATGATATATGAGGAAATAGATAAATTTTCTAACTAATTAATAATTTAAATTTATATAATAAAGTTATGATGATTGAAAAATAACATTTTGTATTTACGCTTTTAACAAGTAAAGATATTATTATATTTATTAATTTTAGAGACTTAAACGAAAAATCATGTTTACTATTTTGGTTAATACATATTTCAAATTTATGAGCAATGTTAATTGACCAGAAAAAAATTGATGAAAAAAAATTAGAACTATTCAATAAATTAATCAATAACAACGGCAAAAACCAAGTGGTTTTAGAAGTCAATATTATACTCAATTTTAGATAAGAATCTTTTTAGGGAAAATTTGCTATCTTGTTAATATATCTCTTGACCATCAATTTGCTTGATTAGTATTTATATAAATCAAAACACAGAATAAATAAATTCATCTTTGTGCAATACAGAAATTAATATTATCATTATTTATGCCTTAAGAAGATTATGCTTTTGCATTTTTGAAATTTAAAGCTATTTAAGGCAACTAGGTTAAATTGATAACAGCCTCTTATAAATTAAAAACTTTAATACTTAATTTCTCCTGAGATAAATTTGATACAGGAAGTTTAAATAAAAATTAGTCCACCTTATATGTTAGCAAATAATATCCTGAAGTTTTAAATTGAGGAATTATTTCTGATAAATATTTTCAATATTACAAAACTATATCTTATTAATCGCGTATGTCATTGAAAATCTCTGTAAAAATAGATCAAGATCAAAATACTAATTAACAAGAATAATAAAAAAAATAAATCCATAATTTGTGATTGAACAGCAGATAAAAAATGGAACTAAATGTCCCTATGAACTTAAGAGAATTATGAAACCTATAAAAGTTATGAAACCTAATAAACCTATGAAATCATAGGAATTCATTGAACTGTGGAAACCTGATGAATCTAACTCATTTTTTGATATAAATGTATGAATGTGATTTTGAATTTAGACCTATCGATTCAAAGCTTAATCTAATAAAGAGAACTATAAGAGAGGAAATCAAATGAGAGATTTGAGATGTATTATAATTATACATAATCAAATTTACAAAATATTCTAATTTTCAGCATTTCGAATATGATTATTTCTTAAACTCAATACTTCTTGATCTTAAAATAAGAATTATGAATTTTCATAAGTTAATAATTCCAACTTATTATAAATGATTTATTTGTTATATTAAATAAATTTATTTAAACATATTTATTAATAGAGGAATTGTAGAAAATTTATTATAAATATCAGTCAATTTTATTATAATGTGTTTACTATTAAAATAATGGTTGAACAAAAAGAAATAAACCAGATATAATGGTATCAATCCATTACAAATCAAATTGGAATTGCTATACTTTTATCAAATTTAGAACATGCCAAATTTATATTCACACTTTTTGATTTATCTAATTTAAAGTATCATTTTTTTACAAAGAAGAGCTTTCCTTTGAAATAACATTTAATTTATGAAAGGTTTTTGTAATAATTCTATTTCATGAGTTGAAATAAACATCCTTCTGTATTCCTTCAAACTCTTAGTAATATTCGGGTTGAAATTTTCATGAATTAACATTTTTTAAATAATAATTATTTATTTGTAGATAAGGAATTTTAAAAGAAGAAGAAAGGAATTTATTTTGTCAATAGTAATAATTTTCCTAAAGTTTATTCTTTGTACAGTATTTTAGAGGTGACTATTTAAAGAAACTAACTGATTATCCTATTTTTCTATCTAATGACTAATGATATTTGAAACACCAGAAATTTTAAAGGAATAATGTATTTAAAAGCAATTAATTAACCTACCGAATAAGGTCACACTATTGTATATTGTGAAAAAATTATTACTTGAGATTAAGAGTGATATTAAAAATCAAAAAAATCAAAATATATATCTCATAAAAAATCTCTTAAATAAGGGTTGACTTAAGATTTCTGAACAAATCACTATTCAATTTCTTATAGATTAATAGCTTCTTTAACAGTCATAATTGTAAATAACACTATTGTTACTAGTTTAATCCCTAGAAATTAGCAATTTATAGATAGTGATTGATGATTAAACATTTAGGGTTTTCTCACCAGTTGGATAAAGTATAAAATACAAACTATTAAAAATATAAGTACTTTACCTCAGAAAATAGTTATTATAACCATAGAGATTGATATTTTTCATTTTTAAATTCCATTTGTTTTTTAAGTTTTTATTCAAGCTTTAAGTATTCAAAATAAGCTTCGCAAAGGATTTTTTTTCAACTTTTGATAATATAAATTCTAACTTTTCTAAAATGTATTGCAATTAAAAAGTTTAATTTTCAATAAGGTTATAAGCTAAGTTCTAGTTTGAAATAACAAAAAATCCCATCAAAATCAACATTATCTAAATTAGAATCTAAGATCAAAATTAGAAAAGAAAACTAATAATTTAACTTTGTCTAGATAAAAGTGATTTAAACTAATTAAGTAATTTTAACTAATATTTCAATTTTTTGCTCTAAAGTAATTTATTGAAAATATATTTATACAAAAGATAAATTTCTTTTATTCAAATCCTTTTATTTATTCTATCGCTGTTTAAATCCCTCTATCATCAGATGCATTAATTCAAGTACACATTCTTTTATTGAATCTCCAAATATTTATCTTGCTAAACATAGAACTCTACTTGTTTTCCCTATTCCAGGAGGACCATTAATATGATATTGGATAGATTTCCCATTTTTTGCTATTTCTTTATGTTTGTCAACAATAATTACCATAAACCTCATCTAGAGTTGTTGGATGATATTTCTCTAACCAAATTAAATGATTTTCTAATGACTGCAGAATTTAATTATATTTATAATTTACAAATCTTGATTAATTTGACAAAGAAATTTAACAATATATATTATATTAATAAAAATGACAGATGATTTCTTTAACCTTGATTTTGAAGTGATTGCTATTAATCATGTACATATCAATTCAATAGTAATAGAGATAGTGGCATGTCATCTGATAATACTCATTAAAAAAAAGTAAAGATAAAGAAGAAAAAAAATCGACAAAAAATACGAACCAATCAATGAAAACAATCTTGTATATTGATATGAAGATAATCAAGAATAGTATAAGAAAATTACAAAGTATATTATTAATTTATTTAAGGAAACTGCAAAATAGAGAATAAGCTAATAGAGTGAGAGGAAGGTAAAAGAATTATGGACAAGATATGGAATAGAAACTACTTGATAAGAAAAAAGAGATAACTTTAAATGTCATTGCTAAATTGTAAGCTGAAAAAGTTGTTCTAAAACAATAGGTTGAATTTATGTAAAATTATGTCATCACAAACACATCAGAGTGATAAAACTTTACAAAGAGACTCTCCTAAAAATAGTTATTTATCTACTGTGACTGCCTTCTCAATTATATTAGGTTTTGCACTTCTAAATGGAGTAGGATTAGAGAATTAATAAATGATCCAATCATTTCAATTCCAATCACAGTCACTCATTCTATTAAACCCTTTTATTTGGTTCACCCATAGCTCTTTGGCTCGTCTATACTCTCTATCTTGTCCATTAAGTGTTTTTAAAAAGTAAATTAAAAAAGAAAAATGTTATTTGATTATTTTATAATATACACACATGAATTTGATTGAAAATAATTATCGTTCATAATATGCTATTTTTACATGGGTTGATAAATATATTTTCAATTCGGAAAATAGGATTTATTGTGAACAATTACGAAATCTTATATCAAGCATTTGATAATGTACCTGACGCTAAATATTATTAATTTGTAAAACATAGAAAAGAAAATATGATCATGCTTTTCGTTCTAAATTTAATCATCTCAATTATTCCTCGATACACTAAAGATGAGATATATCAAGTCTTTAATTAGTAATTTGCTTAGCATAACTTTTAAAAATTAAAAATATTATTCTCTGTCTTTATCAAGGATTTAATTAACATTAATTAAAAGAATATAAATTTTTTTCATCTTTTTTTTAGAGGAATTTATTTTGATTCTAAGGAAATATTTGAAAAATTATCTTAGCCCTATAATCTTGATAAAAGGATGGAACATCTCAATTTTGTAATACAATTACTAGTGCGTCTGTACTTGAAAAAATTGCATATAATTTTTGTTCAAGTGGTAATTATGGAATACTTTATTAATTCCTATGGGATTAAGATGTTCCTCATCCGTGTTTTAAATTACAATCGTACCATACCCAATATCCAAAAGAGGAAGAAGTACTACTATTCCCATAATTTGAATTTATTGTTTAAGAAACCAATAGCATTTAAGTAGAACCCACTACAATCTATAGGGTTGCGATTTAACAAGAAAAATAACTATCCATGTTGGGAAAGATTTATTGAGACAAAAATAATGAGGAAAAAATTAAACTGAAGATTGAAGCTCTAGTAAATTTTTAAAGTAAAAGAACTTTTGATTTGGTATCAATTTTTGCTTGAGAATTGATGATTAAGAAATATGGATGAAATTCTCTTTAGGATTGAAAATGAATAAGTGAATATGTTTGGATAGATTCAAATTTAATTAACTAAAATTCTGTCATTCTAATTATAATGATGTTTTGAATCAAATTGAAAAGCTCACTAAAACATATACCTAAGTTATTAAGATTGAATTTTAACATTAAAATCCCTAAGAATTCTTTTAATCGATCAAAGAACTTATAGAAAAGGTCATGAAATCCTTTAGACTAAATATCTGGACTTTGATCTAAAGGGAATTATATAAATTGAATTTTGGAAAGAATATTTAGAAAAATTACAAGCAAAATTGAAAAGAAAAAATCTTAAAACTCAACAATAACAGTTCCCAATAGTTAGAAAGTAGACCCATCTTCTTTGTAATCTTCACCTGTTTAAAAGGGTAATACTGCAGGATTATCCTATTAATAACTTAAAGCATAGAAGATTACTTCTTTGCAATAAGTTTAACATAAGAATGGTAATTTTGTATATGAAGCAACTCTTTAAGATGGGAATAAATTGTTGATGCCTCACAATCCAAATAACAATAATGAATTGACATTTCCTAAAAATATTGATGCTACAGGTAAAAATCAATATAAGAGGTGTAATAATCATTAAAGGGATAAAGTCAGAAATTTAACATAGAATCCATTTAAGCAAAGGAAATGGATTATGAATTCTAAAAAGCTAAAATATAATGGTAAATAGAAGGGGTAATAGCAGGAACACTTGGCAGATAGACTGTTAACTGTATAATGGAATCGATGCATAAAAATTAGGCAAAGGTTTATTTGTTTCTGCTTCTATTTAGGAGGTTTTATATACTTAAAGTTTAGAGTGATTTTGACTAAATAAACAATAAAATCTTTTGGAAGAGCAATTTCATACTGTTGGAATTGGATTAACTGCATTTATGACAAGCATTACAGTTGGAGGAGTGATCTTGTCTGATTGCTTGTCTTAAAGTGAGAAAGTATATAATTTTGATTGCAGTGAAAACTGGAAGTGCTATAGGATTAGGTAAGGTGGAATTGAATTAGGTGCTGCAGGTGGTCCAATTGGGGGTTTTTTTGGAGAGGAGAGTAGTAATTTATTTGGAAGAGCTGTCGATCATTTTACTTAGTTTAATTTACAAATCGATTTTAATTATTTTAATTCGAATCAAAAATCTAAAGTTGAGGACGGTTATTTAACCTATCTAGCCACATCCCTCAAGATAAGTTGGAAATACGTCAAGAATAATATAAAGAGTCTAATTCGAATGGCATAAACTGACACTCATATGGCTTTTTTAATTCCAAATATTGATAGAAATAGAACAGAAATATAAGAGAATGAAGACATTGGGATTCAATTTAATGAATGTAAAAAGAAAAGGTCCTGATGATTCTTGTAAAAGTAATACATTTAAACTCCTTGAAACTACAGAGGAATATGTTAACGAGGATGAAATATTGTAGCAATTCTTCAATCATGAAAAAAACATTATTGATATTGTTAAAGTCAAAATTAACTTAGAAAATATTAAATAATTATGATTTACAATTAAATAAGAATTATATTATTATTATTTATATTATAGATATAATTGGATAAAAATATTATCATTATTATTGGATCATGTATATCATTTGAAATATGAATAAATGAAAATTATTAATACTATCATTTAGACTCTTGCTTTTTTTGTTATTCTTATTGTTCGAATTCTTAAATCTCTTTTTAGTACAATTTGTCCCATTCCAAAATGGTTTCATCTAAATTATTTACACAAATTTAAAATGCTCCCTTCCCAAATACATTCATTTGATAATATAATGGTCTCACAATCACCTTTATAAATCCCATTTCATTCTTTGACATAACATGCAACTAAAAAATTTTTAGAATAATTTATACTTTGTCTAAATCCTTCATAAATGGTTATTGAGGATATCCCTTCTTTCCTTCATCCTCATATTAAGCTCTGTATTCTTAATTAATCTTCTCACTCCATAATTAACTCTAAGGCCACTTTCTAGCAGTACCATTGAAATCTGCGGTATGTGTGATCATTCCACAAAGCAAAGATAAGTCTTCTGGATCATTTCCATACTATTCAATCCTAGATTCAAGTTCTTTCAGCATCTTAAAATGTTCTTACATATCTGTAGCTAGAATATTAGATATCAATTATTTTCTAAATGATCGAAAATCTTGATCTGAAAAATTGCATAAGATATTTGTTGAAGAATCTCTAAGAATCTTAACAGTTGTTGCTGCATGATGCTATTCCAATACCTAACATATTAATACATATAATTACCACTCTATCATGATATCTGATAGCCAAAGTACTTAATGAATTAGCTTCATACGCATTTGTTTTACCAGTATGAGCTACATCATGACAAAGTCCAGAAAGCAATAAACAAAATCTAGTTGTGTTATTGAATAAGTGTTCTCCTAAGTGTTATAATAATTATTTGACAAAGCAGTTTACAGCTTACATAACTGCAATACCATGATCATAATTATGATATGGATTATTATTCATATTGTACTGAGTTTCCA